GAGACTGGGGCATGAGTGCGATCGGGGTGGGTCGAGGGTACGGTACGGGTGGGACTGGGGATCGCGGTGGGATGATGGTCGCGGACGGGGGACAGGGGACGGGGGGACGGGGAAGGTGATCCGCATCGCGCGTCCCCTTCCCCCTTGCGCGAGTGAGTGAACGGGTGATCGTGAGACGTGAATGGGATGGGATGGGATGGGGTTGAGGATGGGGTCCTGTAGGGGTAGGGGTATGGGTAAGAGTAAGGGTAAGGCGGAGGGAGGGGACGGGGGGAAAGGGGAAGAACGGGGAAGAAGAGGCCTAGAAGGCGGGAGCGAGACGGAATGGGAAACCTACCTAGGCAGCGGTAGGGGTGTTGGTGTTTGGTATCTAGGTGTCTGGGTGCTTGGGTGCTGGAAGGAGGAAGAGGAGGAGGCATTTTCGCATTTTCCCCGCGAGAAGGGAGGGGGAAGAAGATAGATCCAGACTACTACTACACTGCTGCTGCTGCTGCACTTACATAAACACACATATCCATCCATCCACCCTTACCTACATACCTACCTACATACCCACCTACGCACCTCCCACGCACCTACCCTTCGACCCTTCGACCCTACCCTACCCCGCACACTACAACACAACAATCAAACAACCAAACAACCAAACAGCTACAAACAGAAGCAGAAACAGAAGCAGAAGCAGACCCATAGAAGCAGCCCCCCGTGGCCGGAACCGCGGGACGGAGTTTCGGACCAGGGCGCGGGGCGGCTGGGCCGGCGTGCTGGGTCGGGCTTGCTTGCTTGCTTTTTGCTTTTTGGTTTCTTGCTTTTTTTACCCCTTGGTTGGTTGGTTGGTTGGATGGATGGGTGCGGCGGTTTGGGAGTTTGGGAGTTTAGGAGCGTGCCTATGGAGGAGGATGAGGAGAGCTTATGCGCTTGCTTGCGCGTGCGTGTAATGCAATGTATAATGTATAGAAGAGCTCGTTCCTCGTTCCTCGTTCCTGCGCTGCAGCGGCTTTGCAGCGGATGGCGGATTATTACGCTTTTTATAGCTGTGGATATAGACGTAGAAATAGAAATAAAAGGAGAAGGAGAAGGACCTAGATAGGCTAACAATTACTTCTATCCAGCTATGTAGACATCTATCCCTCTATCTATACCTATCTACCTATACCCGCTCACTCTCTCCCTCCCACACACCACGGCCCATGTGTAGTTAGTCCATGCGCAGTGCGGACAGTGCGGGCAATACCCCCACCCCTCCACCATCGTCTGATCAGCGCCCACGATGCGCTGCGCTGCGCGACTGCTCGCCCCATCGTATCGCATCGTGTCGCATCGTACGTACATACATACACCGCAAACACGCACCCACCACACCAATTCACACCTACGCGCACGCACGCACGCATACGCATACCCGCATGCATACATATATAGGTACATACATACATGCACACCTACATGCATACAAACATGCCGCGCTGCCCTGCCCGGTCCCAGGTCGCCATCGCCATCGCCATCGCCCGTCCCTGCGCCTGCTGCCTGCCTGCTAGGTTGGTTGGTTGGTGCCCCTGATGATCGCGACGCACCGCTGCTGCTAATGATGATGATGACGCTGCCGCTGATGCTGATGCTATTGTTAGCTTGCCCGCGTCCTTAGTGCGTCCCTAGTGAGTGAGTGAGTTAGGTAATTAGTGAGCAGTGCGTGCCTGGCGCGCGCGAGAGAGAGAGAGAGCGCGCGAGCGCGCGCCGTGACGTCGTCGCACGCCCGCCAGGCCTGGACGCGGTTGCGCTGGCGGCTGCGTGTGTGGCTTGGCCTACCTAGGTAGTTAGTGACCTACCTACCTACCGTCCGTGTGTGTGAATGTGTATGTGTATGTGTGTCTTCGATGCGCCTTCTCTCCCGCCCGCAGTCTAGACCCGTCGATACGGATTACGCCCTGACACCCACGCCGCCCTCTTCCCCAAATCCGTCTCCCCACAGTCAGGCACTCACTCGGTCAGTTAGTTAGTTCGTCAGTTAGTTAGTTCATTCGTTCGTTGGCTCCCCAGCGCCCAGTCCCACGCGCGCGCCTCCAGTACCAGTACCAGCACCCCCAAACACCCCTGCACCAACACCCCCGCAACCCACCCACACCACCACCGCAAGCAAGCAAGCAAGCAAGCAAGCCTACATATACACGCACCCACGCCGCCGGCCCGCCCGCTCCCGCTCGTCAGCGCCCGCGCTTTGCCCGCGCCGCCTCGTGTACATACATGCGCCTCACCGCGCATCCGTACATACATACGTACGCGTCGCCGGCGCCGCACATGTACGTCGCCGGGCGGGGCGGTCGGGGAAGCGGGCCCGTGGCGCCGCGGGACCAGTGCGCTGGGACGGGGGCGGTGGGGCAGGTGGGTGGGATGAGGATGCGGATGCGGATGCGGATGAGCATGGGCTTGGGCATGCGGATGAGAGTGCCCGCCCGCCATGCGCATTGCCCGGCGTGTGGCTGCCGCTGGGCGCTGGGCCGGGTGGATGCGGGTGCGTTGGTTGGGATTCGTATGGGCTGCGTAGGGGGCGTGTCTCTCTGTGTGGGTGTGCTGATTGTGGTGCTGGTGGTTGGTGCTGGTGCGCGGTACTGGTACCGCCGTTGCTGCTGCTGCTGCTGCTGCTGCTGCTGCTGCTGCTGCTCCCCCTTCTCTGCTGATTGGCATTGGCATGATGGTGGTGGTGGTGGTGGTGGCTGTCGAGGTCGAGGTCGTCGCCAATCTTACTACGAGGAGCAGAATGGGGGAGCGGCTGCGCTATTGGTGCTGCTCCTGCCATCAGGCTGCCAATGCTTCCCTTCCGCTCACTGACTGGTTACCAGCTGAGCCAGCTGCGAAGGAAGAGGCGCAGAGCCACCACCACCACCACCACCGCCGCCGCCATCACCGCCATCACCGCCATCACCGCGACGCACGCACCCACACACCCACCAACCCACCCGGCATCGGCGAGCACCGGCTCGCGCGCGCCGCCGGTCGCGCCGCAGGCTGAGCGTCGGGGCGCGGGAGGGGGCGTTTTCTGGGCCAGACGGGCGGGAGCGCCAGGGTCGGGAAGGAGGCCGCCAGCTGGGAACGAGGCTGAAACTAGGGCCAAACGCGAGGGAGCAGACTATGTGCCTAGTGGCAGAGCCAAGAAGGAAGAGAGATAGAATGGGAGAGACATCAAGAAGGGGGAGAGACATGGAGAGGGCGCGTGGCGCATGTGACGGTGGTGACGGTTTTGCGCGGCTATTGCCACTGATTGGACGCCTCGGCGGGGGTGGCCTGAACCCTGAGGTCCGTCATCTTGGTGGCGCGGCAAGGCGCCGTCCCAGCGGTAGCTAGTGCGTACGTGAGGGAGGGGGTGGTGAAGTGAGTGCGCACTGATGAGCGCCCGTGCCGTGTGGTGTCTGAGGCGAGCCGGTTTGACGTCTGCGCGTGTGTACCTACGGGTAGGTGTGGGTATGCCCGCTGCGAGTGTGTGCGTGCGTTGCGGCCGGGCGTGCGGGTGGTGTGTGCCCTTCTTCTTTCTCTTCTTGCCCGCGGGCATGCTGTGTGTGAGGGCATTCTACCCGGCCGGGGGGGTTGGGGGCATGCGCCAGGTTTTGACCTCACGACGCTTTGTTGGGTCTGTGTTCATTGAGGTTGTATCGAAACGTAAACTCTACTTCCCTCTGGGTCATGGTTCTTTTCAGAAGTATTGGATCCCATCCATGCCGGGCTTGATTGGCTCTCAGCTGTCGATGGAGCGGACGCGTGAGGAGCTCAGAGGCAGACGCAACGGTCGATTTCCGCATCGTCTATTTAAGCTGTGAGTATGGTGTTTCTTTTCTTCATTTTTTATTTTCATTTCTTTTCCGTCTCTTGCCTCGTCGAATCTTCAAGCAAGAAAAGAGAATATGCAAGACGTCGGCGGCCGCTGCAAAGCCAGGGCGAATCAGCTCTCCAGCGTCCGCAATGCTCGGGCTGGGTACGACATGACCATTTTCGCATGACATCTGCGGCCCGTCATCCTGCGTCCCAAAGGGCAGACCCACCGGATGTCGAAAACGGCCTTGGGCCTTGGTTACTGCATGGCACCTCTTCGCCCCGTCGTTCCTCGGACCCCCGAGAGAATGTGACAGATATCTAGAGTCCCCCCTTCTCCGCAATCGCCCCATCCCACTTTCATGCGCCGACGCCCTGTACGACGGGCATGCAGGCGTGGTCTCAGCTTGTTGCGCACCTGATGCTAGCCAGTTCTTTCGTGGAGAAGGAAGCCGCAGTAAGCGACAGCAAAAGCTTAGCGCCTGGAGTAGTGTATACAGATCGAGTCGAAAAGATGGATCAACCTTGCTGGGCCGGCAGCTGATCAGACTCGTCAATCTACTCGCAGCTGCCTCGTCACCGCGTTCTTGCAACGTGCCAAAAGCGGGCGTCCCGGCGCAAGACGCTGCCGCCGTCCCGGGCCCCCGGCAGGCATGAGAAACCCGAGATTCCCGAAGATTCGAGACCAGGGTTGCTGCTTTCGTCGTCGTGCTGTTGCCCTTCATTTCTCTCGAACTCCGTTTCGCCTCGCGCTTTTTTTTGCTGCTGCTGCTGCCTGCTGCCTCCTCTTTCTTGCCGCGCGTCCAGGCCGCCCGTTAGCGCTGGGTGGAGAGTGTGGGTCTCCCCATCTACTGGTGCCAGATGTTAGCGGCGTGGGTCCATCGTGTTGCTGCGGATAAGGCGAGATTGCGAGATTGGCGAAAAGAGGATATGCAAGATGTGTGTAACGTCTGGTTGGGTGAGGACGATTCGGCGCCGGCGCCCGGAGATGCTGTGGAGAATGCTCGCGAAGCGTGGTCATGGTCGCTCCGAACGTTTCAACGTCGTTCCAGGCAAGACTTTTGCCATGGGGTGCTGTTGTGAGAGGTTCTTGTGGTTGGATGGCGTCCACGTTGTTGTGCGATTGCTCTCTGGGGCCAACGGACTTTCGGATACTCCTCCGAAATTTACAATGCAGCCTCGAGATCGAGAGCGGACAACGAGCGGGAATTTGCCTGCAGATATTTCGGATGAAAGTTATACTTGGAGAGTCTTGCCGTCAATTAGTAGATTGACCAATGACAGCCATCGTGCGCGAAAGCTGCAAAAGGGTGAGCCAAAATCAAATTGATAAGGACAATAGTAAGACCAAACAATCATCAAAGCACCAGCTCGCTTGGTCTAGTTGGTTATGGCGCCGGTCTCATATTTCCAAATATGACTGCTTCTCAGAAGCGGGTGATCCGGAGGTCGGCAGTTCGATCCTGCCAGCGAGCATTTTTTTGCCTTTTTCTACTTCAGTGCCCGGATCTGTAGAAATGGGACCGAATATTTTTTTGTTGTGCTAGCTAGCCTACCGCCAGTATCGCATGGCGGCATCTGCGCATAGAATGATGCGCACATTGTTTAGTTCGTCTATTTTCTTAATTTGACGACAGGCAGTCGCAACCCACGACTCTCACCCGCCAACACCAATTCCTTCCTTCGTCAAGGTGCCTGGACAGCACCGACCTTCCCAACGATGCTAAGCACAGCGCCTTTGAGGACTTCTTCCGTAGTAGCTTTACTCTTCCACAACGACAAATGCTCTAGAATTGACCGCGGTTCGCGATGTGAAAGTGCTCGAAGTATTTTGTAAAGGCACCGGATAATTTGCCTACCCCCTCTAGATATTTTGCCCACCCCACGTGATAGTATCTACAGAATTATATGATGTGTTTTCTACTCTTTAAAATTTTAGGTTTCTATACCCTTACAAGTATCTTTATACCTTTCGAATATTTTATTCTTATACCCTTATAGATACTCTAGCAGTCGTATATATTTATACCGTTATATCTTCTTAATTTTATGTAGTTATATAGTGCCTACTGGCTGTAGCATTGTACTCTAGTTATAACTACCTAAAGAGTACTCTATAGGTATCATAAATTTTACTCGTTATATAGTTAAGAGGTGGGTAAAATATCTAGAAGGGGTGGGTAAATTATCCGGGGCCTTTTGTAAAACGGGAAGATAGTTATACTCTTATAGGACTACTCAGAGTAAAGTTGTTCGATAAAGACCTCTTATAACCCTACTACTAAAAGTCTAGTGCTAGCATAGGAAAGTCTCGATGTTGTTATAAAGTAGCCCTTTCCAGCTATACAACACGGAGCTATCAGATCATTCTAAGTATAGCGTAGAAAGGACCGTTCTTATTCATTACTATCTAAGAGAGACGAATTCGATCCGCCAATAGCTCCTAAAGCAATCGCATGCCTCAATCTACTAATGTGACCCGTAACCTATGTACTGTGTACTGTGTACCCCATACCCTCTGAAATCTCAGTGTGTTTTGTGTCTACCTTACTCAAACTTGAAGTAGCCTCTCTATGGAACAAGTTTCGCCGGGTCGCGGTATTCATCAGTGTTGTAAGAAGTGGACTGGCCGAACAACGAGCAAAAGAGTGAATTGATGCAGTCGTCCAACATTTCCTCCTTCATGTCTGAGAGATCTATGCCGACCTAAAGAAGGTTAGCATCCAAGTCATACGTTTTGTGAGGCTACAAAAAGTGTAGCAGTGCGAAGACATACCTCTTCCTCCGTGTTCGCGATGTCGGGCTCGTAGAAATGCCTAGCGAGAGCGGTGAGCCAGTCGTGGACCTTCTCCGCATTGTGTCCTTGGATGAATTCGTCGACACTGTGGCGATTGTGCAGCGTATAGATGTAAGCAGGGTGCGCTTGGCCGATGCGGTAAAGACGTGTCTGAAGCCTTTGAGCGTGTGAAGCGCTCCGTGGAGGATCCATAATCGCCATGACCCAGCAGTGGTTGTGCAGGTTGAGACCCTGCCGGATCAAGTCCCCAGTGGAGATAAGTATTTGGTACTCAGTCACATCTGGGTCGTTGAACGCATCAGTGATGGCTTCACGCTCCTCCGCCGGTGTGTCTTCCTTGATGCTTGCAACATTAAACCCGCAAAGGAGCGCGAAGCTCTCCACGATCCATTGGAACTCCGGGGTCTCTGTAACCACGATCATCCGCTCTTTACGCTTGACAATGTGTAAATCACAGATACCTGCCAGTGCACACAGCTTGGCGGAGCGCCTGCAAATATAAGCCAGTCTTTCTTCTGGCTCTTCGAGAATATTGGCAGGCGCCCATGGGTCGGTTATGACCATAGTAATAAGGAAAGAGAGGCCATGGTCTGCCGGGTCTAATCCTTCCAGGGCTCTTTCCTGGAGGTCGACTGGGTGATGCAGCCCCCCAAGGCCCGTGAATCCGTTCGAAAGGACCAAATGATGAAGGACAGATCTGTAGGTCGGTTCATCAACTTCATCTGGGTACTGTTGGGTCCAGGTATTATTAACTCTGTTGTTGTTGTCTGTTCGTTCAGACTTGTGTGGCTGCAACTCGACCATGTATGCGCGGCGAGGCGCGATACACTGAGCGACACTGAAATCACCTCCGTATTGGTGCGGTCGATTAATTATGGAAGTGACAGTGCGACGTAGCTGGATCAGCCTGAGTATGGGGGTAAGTACCCGGTCAGCCGCTGTGGTGTTCAACATATCCTGCATGTTTAGAAACATGCGAAAAAGGTCAGCATTGAGCAAACTCTCGTCTTGATCACCTAGCTCACTGTAATAGGAGACAAAATCCTCATCGTCGAGCATAGCAGAATCAGGCCATTTGGGCTTGTAATTCCGAGGTTGGAGAAGTCGAAGGTACGCTTGTAGGTCCTCGGGGCTATTAATGGGTGCCGAAGTCAAAAAGATATAGTTATTGACGTCGAGGCTCAATGTCGCCTTAAATGCGGCTGCATCCATATCCTTGATGTTATGCGCCTCGTCCAGGACGACACATCCTCCACAGCCAGTGGGAATCTGTTCGTTGCTCAACAGATCGTAACTGATCAGGATTATCTTGGAGGCGGTAGATGATCTGGCAGAGCTAAAGTCATTGGGATGATCTTCTGGCAACTCTCCGGACAGTCCAGCGGCGAGGTCATCGGAGGTAAGAGAGCAGAGCACATGCTCACTGACCGTTGATGTCCTGCCAGATTGACACATGTACCGGAGCTGCAAGCCACTCCCACTAAACTTGCTCTTAAACTCCGATATCCAGTCGCCAGTTACGTTGGAAGGCGCAATGACAAAAATGGTTTGTAAGGTGCATTCTCCTTGGCACGCTTCTTGGCGAGGTAGTTGATACTGAGCAGCGCCGTAAAAGTCTTCCCAAGCCCCGTGGAGTCGGCCAGGATACCGCCTCTAAGGTTCGTCCGGCTGAGTATGTCATCGAAAAATTTGACAGCAGTGACTTGGTGCGGCAGTATTTCGACCTCGGGACTCGCAGGGTCATCGCCAGTACGAAGCATCGGACGTACGGGATCAAGTTCCAGCAGCTCGCAAGCTTGTTCATAGTCTGTCTTGTCGGGATTGTTGTTGGAGAACACATTGTTATTGTCCAGCATAGTCTGGAGCCGAAAAATGTTCTGTTCGATGTGAAATACATCGTCGTGAAATTCTTCTTCGTCAGATGGGTATGCTGGGTCATGGTCTGCTAGTTGTATGGCAGCTAGTACATCTGCCTCCATCGTGAAAACTTCATCTTGGTTTCCTTGAACGTTTGTGTGAAGTGGTGTATTTGTAGACCGGTCGGCAGCGTGCACGAGTAGATCCTTAGGTTGAGTGGGTACTTTTGTATGATCCAACAAGTGCATTGGGACATCTGCGACAACCTCGGACCTTTCCATGAAGATGTCTTGAAGTATCTGGCGTTGCACTGAGGCCGAGATCGGTTTCAACGAGGCACTTGTGCAGTTCCGCAAGTCTCCATGCCATTTGCCTACGATGGCTTGAATGTACGTCAGCAACGGAGTCTGCTCCCGCCCGTGTACTCCTCCGTCTAGTATTCTCAAGAGTTGTTTGTGGAGTTTCTCGACATGAGCCTTAACCTTTGGGTCGTCGATAGTTAATTTGCTGGTCTCTTCATCTGTGCTGGACTCAGTCGTGTCGGTCGACATGTTGGCAAAGCAAGGGTCCCTGGGTGCTTATGGATGTGAAAGTGAAGGTGGTGGTTGTGGTTCGCTTGGAGTTTGGACGTTGTCTCTTTTGTGAGATCACAAAATTGGAAATGGCTACCGTGATCTGTTTGAATGTTGTCTCTTTTGTGGGGTCACAGAATTTGGCAGTGACTACTGTGACCGATTTAGACGGTCCACAGCTGAACGGACTGCCCGGTGAGCTATCAGAGGCGTGTCGCGTCTCGCTTTGTCAACGCTGTCGGCCGGCGTCGAACAGTTAGTTCTTATAGCAACGATGAGCGCCCCTCAGGGCGAAGAGGGTGATGTAAAGGGCGCAGTTTGAAAAGTTAGTCGGGCAAGCAAATGAAGTAGAAGTTCGAAGAGGGTAGAAAAAGAAGGACAGATAGTGGAGGAGGTTGCGGAGGAGGCGCCGGTAGTCATAGTAGAGACAATAACATGGTAGCTAACTCGATTCAGTTGGCTCGTGTTGTTAATGATCTGTTAAAGGTGATGAGCACGTCAAGATGAGCGCGCGGCAGTGGTAATGGGGTGGTTGTGAAAGAACATAGAATGTTGTCATCCGGTAACGCAAAACCTACCTACCACGGTCGGAGGGGTAGGTATTGTTATGATTTACATGCCCCTCGTGGGCAATTTATCCAACCACGAGTGCTGCCTCTCAATCTACCTACAGAGTAGTCTATAGGGAGCGTTTGAAAGGACCCGCTGCCGTGTGTGAACAATACCTCCAGCCACGAGGGTAGCCTTTATATCTAGATACGGAGTGATTTGTAGGGAGCGTTTAAAAGAGTCCGCTGCAGTTTATAAATAATACCTGTAGCTACGAGGGTAGCCTCTATATCTAGATACGGATTAATTTATAGCGAGCCTGTAAAAGGACCCGCTGCCGTTTATAAATAATAGTACTAGCTACGAAGGTAGGCTCTATATCTACCTACGGAGTGATCTGTAGGGAGCATTTGAAAGATACCGCGCGCATACCTACACGTTCTTATAAGTGGGATAGAACTTGAAATTCAGAGTGACTTGAGATTGAAGTGCAAGGATAGTAGCATCCGCATGTTTGCACGACTATACGTTGAGTTGTGCAGGTTTTACAATCGGTGTAAGACTTTGTTCGTATCAGCAAGGCTGACGGTGTTGGACCGAATAAGGACCACATGCGATTAGACGTCTAATCAGCCGGATCAGGGCTCTGATTTGGCCAATTAGGGACGCTACACGTGACCCGTGCTTGATTGAAGCGATTAGGCGTCTAATCGGGTGTTGAGTGGGCCGTGCACGCCGATTCGCAGCGCTTCTGCGAGTCAGTTTAATACTGAATATTTAGAAAAACTCCCTACTTGCCCGCCCTAAACGCGCGGGTCGGTGTTAATACCTTTATTTAGAGGCGATAATAATCGCTTATCGAGTCAGTAGAGACACCCGAATCACGCCACAACACCAGATCAGACGTCTAATCGCTTTAATCAAGCACGGGTCACGTGTAGCGTCCCTAATTGGCCAAATCAGAGCCCTGATCCGGCTGATTAGACGTCTAATTGGCAGGTCTACCCTATTCGGTCCAACAACGGTCGGGGAAGGTCGCGTACCCGGAGACCGAGTTGCCCCAGCTACATGACAGGACCAACAAACTTGCCGACCATTACCTTCAAGTTTCAACAAATGCATTTAAGGGGCCATCCATACTGCAAGTGTAAGCTGCAAGTCCACAGTGTGGTATTGAACGGTATAAGTTCCAATGAGAACTTGGCCGCATCGCCAATCCCGCAGTTGAAAAGGTTCAGGGAGCTATTTGAAAGGAGTGTGACATTGGCGAAATCCACCAGTTCGACACTCACCATATCAACGCTAGAGGTCTAGCCCAACTTATCGAGCCATACCTGGATACAGACGTTCGTCTGTATTTATACCAGGATGAGAACAACTTCGCCGAGGAAACCGGTCTCGACTACGCACAATTCGTTGCAGATTTTGAAGACAGGAACACAGACAGAATGGCCAAATCAGTCGATGAGCGGGTCGGGAAATCGTCAGCCGTTGCGGCCATCGAGAGCCCCACGACATGGGGGTGAGGGGCAGAAATGCCACAAGAATTGATCCCGGTCACGTTCCAGTTTCGCAGACCGACGATGCTAATTTTCAAACTCTTTCCACGGGCTACAAGCCTACTCCACGGAACAGATTGTTGTAGGTCAGAATGACCTTGAACGAGACGAAGATGATCTGTTGCCCGGACCAAGGCTGCGAAGGACATACTGGATTCAACATCAAGGTCTATGCTGGCATGTCAAACTCTCGACGGAACCTCGTCAACCCAATCTTCTTACACATACAACGTCACTTTGTTGAGGGTGTTAAGTGCCCCTATTGCACATTTACGGCGCAGAACGTCAGAGACCTTCAGCCGCATGTCAATAGACATGACCGCGGCTTCCAGGTTATGGGTTTCGACCATCTTTTACATGATAACGAATCAATTCAAAAGTAGTACAATACGACTAGTCGACTGGACGGTATTTCATCGAGGCTTTGATTTATGGACTTCAGTGGCTTTCACAAGGATGAAGTAGTGCAATGCCAACCTTGGAGCCGTCCTTGGAGTCGCCCTCAACGGCCTTGGAGTCCCCCCCCCCGCCACGCACCAACGAGCAAACAACCCACCAATACCAACAACAGCAGCCAGACTCTCCCCACCCGCCAAAAACCAAACAAGCCAACAAACCGAAACCAAACGGAGCAAAAACCACACTAACCACGAGCAACAAACCAACAAACCAACAACAAGCAAACAAACGTCAAACCACAAACAAAAGACCATAAACAACGCAAACCAAACAGCCAAACACACATTCGCAACTCACACCCTTTAGACAGAGCAAGAACGATGACGTACAACGGTACGGCACGGAGCCAGAAAGCATCAGTCAAGACGAAATCAATAACAGTGACAATAACAACACGAGAAAGCAAGACAATCAACCACTCTCTCTAACGCTCTTGCAGCAGAAGCAACGACGACAGACAGACAAAGAAGGCACAACTCTACGCCCGCACCTCCGCCCTAGCCGATGTCTTTCTTCGCCATCACCACCGCCGCCCCTTCAAAAGCCTACTTTTGTGCAAGCGTCGAGCCTCCCCGTCCGCGTCGATGTAAAGGTGTTGTGAAGTATGCATGCAATAATTACCAGCGACGCCAGGCCATGGATCACAGCCGCGGCATCCGTCCGTCAATCCATCCCTCAAACTCAAACAATAATTACCGCCATTTTCCCAAGCCATCCAAACCCCCCACCGTCCATCCATCTGTCCATCCAGCCAGTCTATGCAAACCCCCTTTTCCCAGTCCCCACACCCACCCACAAACACACATACCTTACTATCCACACCCATAACCCCCTCCTCCTATTCCCTATTCACTCCCTGCAAACACACCTACTCCCTCCCCTCCCCCACGTCAACCAGCTGCCTCGCCTCCCACGCCTTCTTCGCTTCGCGCTCCAGCGTCTCAAAATCCCCACTCATCTCACACATGCCCCTAAACACGCCCTCCGCCTTCTGCACCAGCTCAAGGGGGTTGCCAAACTCGACCACCGCGCCCTTATCCAGCACAAGCACCTTATCGTAGTCGATAATCGTCTGCAAGCGATGCGCAATCGTAATCGTACTGTTGCGGATCTCGCGGATCGTCTCCTGGATCTTGGCGTCTGTCGCGTAGTCAATCGAGGCCGTCGCCTCATCCATCAGCAGCACCTTCGGGTTCTTCAGCAGCGCACGCGCGAGGCACAGCAGCTGCCGCTGGCCCTGTGAAAGGTTGCTGCCTGACTCGCTGACCGGGCTGCGCAGGTTGCGGAAGATGTTTTTGTTCTCGAGGATCTCGGCCGTGGACGATGGCGTCGCTGCGCCCGATGAGGCACCGTTCGCGAGCGGCTTCTTCGACCGCGGCGCCCCGTCCGGAGAGGGCGCGCGAGTGACGGCGGCCGAGCCGGTTGCGCTCGCAGGTCCGATGAGCTGTACGCGCCGAAGAGCGTGGAAGATCTCCTCGTCGGTGAAGAGGTTGAACGGGTCGAGGTTGCTACGGATCGTGCCGCTGAACAGCGTGGGGTCTGCATCAATTAGTTTCTGTATGGCCTTTGGATGTAGACTTGAACTTACCTTGCGGTACCATGACAATGTTCTCCCGCAAGTCCTGCAGGCCAATCAGTCCGATGTCGACATCGTCGATCAGAATCTTGCCCTCCTCTGCCTCCAGAGCGCGGAACAATGCCAAAGCCAGCGAACTTTTGCCAGCTCCAGTGCGGCCGACAACGCCCACCTTCTCGCCCGGCAGGATCTTGAAAGTGATTTGCTTGAGAACAAAGTCAAAGTCCTTGCGGTACCTCGTGCTGTAGCCGATGAACTCGACAGAGCCCTGGCTGGGCCAGTTGGATGGGGGCCTGGTCTCCTCGATAACGGGCGGAGCCTCTTGCTCGACGTCAAGATATTCCTTGATGCGCTCCACGCTGTTCATGTTCTGCTCGTTGGCCGCGTACAAGCGCACGAACCACAACACGTTATCAGTAAAGGTGACAGCGTACGTCATGGCGAGACCAGCGGCACCAGCGTCAAGCTTGCCGATGCTGAGGACGACGAAAGCACCAGAGAAGAAAGAAACCAGAGAGCCGACGATGTCAACGCGGAAGGCGAGCCAGCGGTTGGCAGCCCACAAGTAGATAAAAGGTCGGTTGTGAGTGTTTACCCGAGTCAGGTTCTCGCGGACAAAGCGACGCTCGTCTCCATAAGCACGGATGGTCGTCATGCCAGACAATGTCTCGCCAAACTGCTGGTAGAGCGGGCTGCGCTGGACCGATTCCAGACGCTTCAAGTCACGGGAGGAGTTGATATAGAACATGCCAATGAGGAAGAAGAGCACGCTGATGAAAGCTCCAGCGATCAGGAAAGCGGGGATGATTACAGAGATCAAGACGACGACCGTAATAATCGAAGCCAAGCAGTGCACGACACCAATGGCAACAGGAGCAATTTCCTGGTCGACAGACTCAATGTCCTTGGAGAACCTGTTCATCAACTGGCCCAACGGGGTCGAATCGAAGAAGCGGAACTTGGCATGCATAACCTTCTCCACGAGACGCTGATGGATTCTGCGCGAGGCAGCGAGCGAGCCAGCAAAGAGAACGCCCTCCCTGAGCAGCGTAATGATCATGAAGGCAACACCGAGCGCTGCGTAAACCCCAAGGTAGTAGCCCGAGTTGACTTCAGTGTGGCTCGAAGCGGACATCATGGAGGTCTGGAAGCCATCCTGTTGTTGCAGGGCCGGCGCACTCTCAGAGGACGAGAACCATGGCATAGGCCAAAGGCAACTTCCGCTGGTGAGACAAGAGCCCAAGCCGCTGACAATGTTGGTGTGCGTGATCGGGGCCGCATTTTGCTTGACGCCGAGAACACTGACTTGACGATCACTGTAGGCGTTGGCCCACTGCCGAATCCAGATGTTAGTGGCAACCGAAGATATTTGCTGGGCGGCAAAGACGCCGAAAGCGATGAGCCAGTACCACCAACGACCCATGGAGCGAAGATACATGTAGATAATGTCCATATTGACACTTCCCGAAGCCTTCGTCTCCTCTGGGGGCTTGGCATCCTCGGCCGGCTTCAGAGCAGCACCATTAGCGGTGCCATTCGCGGTACCATTTCCAACGGCGTGACCGTTCTCACCCATGGCTTCTTCGCCACCAACGTCCGAAGGGACTCTGGAAGCAACCCTGGATGGTCCGCGAGAGACAGGACGAGACTTGGACAGATCCTCGCTCAGTTTGCCGGAGTCAATGACCTCGTTCGGCGTTCCTTGCGCCACAACCTTTCCGTTCTCGAGCACAACTCCAAATTCAGAGTGGGGCAAGCAAAGAGCAACATTGTGGGTGACAAGGATACAAGTCCTGTTGTACATCAAGGGACCCAACAGAGCCTGGTCGAAGATCCACTTGGCAGTGTGCGAGTCAACAGCGCTGAGAACATCATCCAGAAGGACGTGACGGGCCTTGCTGTACAGGGCACGAGCGAGCGAGATACGTTGCTTCTGGCCACCGGAAAGCGTGACACCCTTCTCACCGACCAGCGTCTGATCACCGGCGTCGAGAATCTCAAGGTCTCGCTGGAGGGAGCAGGCCACGAGCACATCCTTGTAGCGTCTAGGGTCGAACGGGCTGTTGAAAGTAATGTTATCCTTGATGGTACCGTTCATCAACCAAGCCTGCTGAGCGCAGTAGGCAACACTCTCGGTAAGTCCAGTCTCAGGGTCCGGCGTGAGGTCCTCGCGGCAGCGGCCGCCAGGAAGATGAGTACGTCCTTCAATGAGCGTCATCTCGCCAAGCAAAGCCATAAGCAGAGACGATTTGCCGCATCCGGTAGGTCCGACGATGACGTTGAGCTGTCCAACGTGGAAACGAAGATCGAGGTCCAGCATCTTGAAAGCATCGTCAATCTCGCCATCTTCACCCTCTCCAGTTCCCCAGCTGAAAGTGCCGTGGTCAAAACCAATAATTGGCTCGTCATTCTCATCAAAGTCCTCGTGCTTTAGCTGCCTGTACTTGTCCGTCTCAGGCTCATTCAGATACTCCTCGATACGATCAACCGAGACCTTGGATTCCTGAACATGGGCGACCATATCTGCAAGCTGATCGAGCGGAATGCGGAGCAGTTGGAAGAGAGACAGAGCAGTGAAAGCAACAGACGGAACGAGATCCCTCTTCTCAATAATGGTGTAGACGAAGAATGAAAGGAAAGTAATAATGACGGGAGCACCCGACCAGACCGTGGCGGCTGCCGCCCACCATTGGTAGCGGCGGCGCAAGTAAAGCAGCTCGGCCGAACGCTTCTCGTTGACCTGGGAAATGAAGCGCTGCTCCCACGCGAAGTACTTGATGATACGGATATTCGTGAGAATCTCGTTCGTGGTATGAATACGCGCGTCAGTAGCTGCAAGAATCTGCTTCTGAATAGCAGCGAAACGCTTAGAAATGAGCATGTTGACTGGCAGCAGGAGAATCATCATGCCAATACCAGCAATGGAGCTCAGTCCCAAGATGCGGTACAACAGCAAGACGGAAACCACGACTTGAACTGGGGTGTTAGCCCAAAGGAAGTGGAGATAGGCGCTGATCTCAGCAACCTTGAAGGAGTCAACCGCCATGAGGTTAATAATAGCTCCAGAGCTGACTTGAGACTCGCCAGCGTCCTTGGACGAGTTCGTCGGCTTGCTGACATCGTTGACCTTCTTCTTGCGACCGAAAGACATAACCCTCTTGAACTTCTCGCGCCTCGACATAGTCCATTCAGGCTTCTTCTTCTCGCCTAGAACTTTGTCCGTACCGGAGGCGGCTCTGCGCTTGAGGGCCTTGGCATAGATTTCTCCGATGATGATCGCCCGAAGCCTGATGCAGATCTTCCGGCCGATCCAAAGCGCCTGGCCGTCGGCGAGCGCGGTGGTAACACCGGACAGGAAGAGCAGGATGACGTAAAACCACGCCGCATTGCGAGGGGTATCGGCCGGATTCTCAACGTACTCCAAGATGAGCTTGAGCAAGATCGTGGGCACAAACAGGAAAAAGCCAGAGCACCCAGCCCAAAGGGCTTGGATCAAAAGGCCACGGCGGAAGTAGCGCAGCAGATGCCAAGCAAGAGCTTGAGTCTTTTTAAATTGCCTGTAATCGGCCAGAATCGTAGCAGCTTTATCTTTCGGGGTAAGATTCCACACGTCTGCCAGCTCATATGTCTTTTTGTATCCCTGCCAGACAATTGCATCTACCCAACCGAAAGTGGCGAGAGACAGAACACTGGCGGTCTGCTCCTTTGAAGGTTGAAGCTCGCCCTCATACTCCAATTCCACCGGGCGATTGCCCTTGCGCGAAGTTAGAGCAACAACGGCCAGAAGTGTGTTGAGAGCAAAGTCGGCGATGGTCAACTTCTGCGCGAGGCTAGACTTGGGATGGATGATGGCGGAGCGGAAGATGAGGATGGAAAGAATCCAGAAGGCCGTGTAGATGAAGGCTGTGTGGTACCAAAGCTTTGGGAATGTGAGCTTGTTCGTGTTTGACAAGAGCAGCCTCATCGATGCCAGTACTGAGATGTATGCCCAGACCGCAATGCCCGCGATAGCCCACAGCGGAGATCCATCGCCCTCGACCCAAGCCGCAATGTGAATGGCCAATTCTCCGAGAACCGCCAACTCCTCAATCACGACCAGCAGGACCTCCCCACGCGGCTTGTCCACGTTGACAAAAGATTCGTTGGTGCGGGTGGGGACCAGGGCGAGGTTGTCGTTGCGCTCGAGCTCATCGTCGGAATCACTGTCTTCGTCGTACTGGTTAACACCGACGCCATGCTGAGAAGTACGTGTAGACCAAGGAGATCCCAAGGTGTGGTACGCAACGTAGTATCTGGACTCTTTCCAAGCCCAGACAAGCTGCCAAGCCAGGTACAGAGCCGATGCGCCACAGATAATCAAAGGTAACAACGTCTGCAGCCAACTGGGGCGTCGTTAGCAACGAGCGAGCAACGAAAGGGCGGGCAGACTCACTCTTGCTCAAAGCAGATGGAGAAGTCGTCAGCACCCCAGAGCGGGCCTTCGCAATGGGCGAACATGGTGTCTGCGTCGTGGTGGGGCAAATCCGCAAGCAGCGCACTCTCGGCGCAGCAGGATGGTCGTTAGCGAGCGGTTCGCATGGAGCGCGCCTTCTCTGGCAGAGATTTTGCGTGTGCCAAAGAAAAAACGGTGACGGAAGGTGGGCTAAAGAAGACTCGAAGGGCGGTCCGATGGCAGCTGCGCAGGGTCGTGGTATTACACTATTCTGCTAGTCTTCTGACGTCTTCCGAGCCCCGGAGGGCCAACCTTGACGACAACACACCAAACACCGAGCACAGAGTCTGCAACCAAATTGCTGGCCACCAGGCGCCAATCGCAAGGCCAACTTGTCGACGGCCAGATTGCGGCCGTCCTCAAGCTCCGCTTTCTTGCCTTATCAGCAACAGGGATGCCCGCAGCAGTCCAAGAGCCACAGCCATGAACGAAGGATTGCGGTGCAGCGCCCGGCACACCGCACTTTGATGCTTCATGCTTGGCCAAATTACAACCATTGCTTCCACCCGCATTCCCGCCCTTGACGATCCAAACATGTACCCAGTTACCCCGCGGCCAGCCCGGAGCCTCGTTTAGGTACCATCACCCAGCCCGTCAGCCAGATCGCCAGCCTTTCGCCCGCCACTGGCCACACTGCCGAGCGGAACGCGCCGTGTGGGAGTACAAGCCGGACCGCACCAGGGCTTCTTCCATTTTACCCAACTACCATATGTATACTATCTCCGTCTGCTCGCCGGGTCCAGCTTTCGGAATGCCTATAATCTTGGGCCAATCACGTGGCGCGCAATTGCGCTGTGGTCATGGCTGGTCACGCACCTCTGACTACTCATGAGATGCATCGGGTCATGAGTACACAAACAGGCGCATGGCAACGCGCCTGCAGTAGGGATGTCTTGCCCTACGCCAGGTCAAGATGCTGCTTACCCGAGGGGCCGAACAGCTTTCCGTGGAGGCACAGGCGCGTATTGCCTGTCGGCATGGACGGCCCTTAGTGCCATTGCAGACGGATTCTTCATGCAGGAATGGAAACCGCCATATCCGCATGATGGGATCGCACGCGACTGACAGATCACATACGCCAAAACCCCCTCGCATCTTGCGCCCGAATTGAATGGTTGTTGGGGTATTCTCCGAGTATTACAATCTCGCTATTCCAAAGCGCCTCCTAATCCTCCTCAACCGCTCTCTCACCATTCCCGCCCTCAACCGTCTCAAATGAGCACTTTCTCCTCACTCGCCAGACCCCCAGCCCTCTTCTTCCGATTACCCGCCGGAGCGTCGGTATCACGCCGTCGTCGCCAAAGTCCATGTCGTCGAGGTTGAGGTGGCTCTGGTAACTCCAAACTTTCTCCAGCGTGACCTTTGCATTCCCCTCCACCGCCCCTTCGATACCCTTGTACCTGTCCAGGAAGGTTGCACTTTTTGGCGCGACAAGGTACGTCAGAGCATGCTCTCCGACACCGGTGCGGGTCAGCTTCTCGTGTTCGCACTTGGTCGAATTGAGGACCTGCGTCATCATCTTGTCCGGTTTCGCTCCCATCAGGTCGACTGTGTCCAAGACCTCGTTCCGTCCATTCAGGAGCCAAACCGGCGGACTATACGTCTTCCACCAGAACACCGTGCCCACATTGGCCTCATGGTTTGCCATCCACATCTGAACCGGCACAACACCGCCCTGATGGTAAACACCCATGAGAATACCAAGTGCAACGTTGAACACCATCCATACTCCTAACCACGTGCGCGTGAACCGTTTCGGAAGGCGGATCGAACTGAGTATGAGCGGGACGGCCGGTATGAGAAAACGTGCTTCCTGGTGCGGAATGAGTGAAAGGATAGCAACACCGGAAAGCGCAGACGCCAGGCGCAGAGTCTTGCGGAAGTTGGTAAAAAGAAGCGGATAAGCCGGGCCAAGGAGCTGTGGCAGGTTTGCGACAACGTGCTGCCAGTATGGATGGAGGCCGTGTTTGGCGAGATTGGCCGACGAAGAGTTGTACACCAGGTTATTGAGAGGCGTGATGACAGGATTAGACAGGAATGTTGACAAGGCCAATCCGTCGGGGTGGTAGAATGCAGTGTCGAAAGCGACGGCAAGAAGGGTGGTCAGAAATCCTGAGAGAAGGATTGCAAACAGCGACAGTGGCCTGGACGTTCTTGTCAGTACAGAACTACATGCGCAAGAGCTGGACACTCACTTTCTCCTGAAATGCGGCAAAAGCTGGAATGCGGGAACAATTAGGTACGCCGGAAAAGTGATTCGGTTGAAGACACCAGTCACGACGATGAATCCAAGAACCCATGAGGCTGAGAGCCCTGAGCGTTTCTGATACTCTGTTAGCAGTATGAATATCTAGGCCAAGAGCCCCACCAACCTTGTTCTCCACTATGCGCGCAATCAGAACCAAGCTCCACGCCAATATTATGGTCTCCAGCGAGTTTGAGAAAGTATGCGTCTGCAGCGTCCACGTCACGTAGGACGAAGCGACCAATAAAACAGCAACGCGCCTCTGTCGCGGAGAAGACACGAGCTCTTGGATGGCCCAGTCTTCGAGCACGAAGCTCACGACGAACTGCAAGACGCGCAGCGTCCAGTATACAACAGCAGGCGTAACGTTGTTGTCGGCGAACCCTTCATAGATCCAGCGCAAAATGTACATGGGTATTCCGTAGTGAAGCCATAGCGGGAACGAACTGCGGATCGGGCGCTCGGTCGTAAACTCCCAGGTCAAGTGTACAGGGTATGAAAAGACGCGGCCTGTAGGCAGGACGTTAGCCAGGTGGGTCGCGAAAGGTAGGATGCCGGTGTTCACCTGCTATGACCTCGGGGCCTTGGAAATTCTCATCTGGGTGAAGGTAGCTGGCGGACAGCGCGAAGTAGAGCCGCGCAAGGATTAGCAGAAGATAGGTTCGCCTCCACATGGTCAGTATAAAGTCAGCTCATGGGTTAGCGGAACACGTAGGCGAAACAGTCGCATTTCACAGGGGAGGAGCTGCGGAGCAAAGTGTTGGGAGAAGCGCGAAGGAGCTGTGCGACAGACGAGCAACCATCAGCTTTAATGAATTTCCTGATAGGATAGGGCTGAGTAGATTGCAGCAAATAACAAGCGCGCGAATTACAGGGCGTGGAAATGCCGCACAGAGGCGGCCAGACACAGAGAAACAAGGCGCGTCGGGCGTCGCGCGCGTTGAGATTCGGGGAGGACAACGGGAACCCCGGGAGATACGGATACGGATTAAATTGCTCCCCGATATAAAACATCCAGGAATGGATGGACCCAGCCTACCAATCGCCTTCGACACCTCGTCATCTGCCGTTTATAGTTGCTCTGAGTTTGGAAATCCGATAACACTGTCTCAGTAGGAGTGCCTTAATATTCTTATAGCTAGACAAGGAGTAAGTAGTCCATAGTGACTGCTTATTGTCCTTTTATAAGTCCAAGTTCTGGATATGAGCGAGAAGATGTTAGAGTAGAATGTATATTCAACTGGATTTTGCTTCCACTTTATACAAACATCATTATCTCGTTGGGCGGGGAATCTCGCTTGTATGAATGTGAAAGTCGCAATGATGTATTAGTTCCGTGGCAACAAGCTTGGCTCTGGACGCAGATGACACGCTCAAGGAGCACATATAGACCACAAACCAATATAACTTGATTCAGATTTGGGTACCTGGAGGTCGTCAGGTCGTCAGGTCGTCAGCTGGACTTGGCATCACGTGCAGACAGTCAAACAGCCCTGCAAGCGTTCGTGGAGATGAGCAGCCAGCGGGCAGATCTGAGACCGGGCGGCTGCCGGCAGCATGCGGCGGCGCGCGAGGACAGGCAAACGCGCCGGGCAGGCAGCAAACGCGCTTGCCCTTCTGTCCAGCCTCACCAGTCACCACGGTGGCGGTTGCCTGACGCTACCGAAGGAGCTTGACCGCGGTTGCGCTTCTCCCAACTTCTGCCTGCCCTGCGCCACACTTCAAATAACCTTCCGCTTCACTTTCGACCAACATCTACATCTCTCCTCTTTCACTCACCAACTGAAGTGCAGCCGTTTGCTCGCTCGCTTAGCCCGTACTTTAAAGCCGCCCCCGACCTGTGCTCTTCTACGCCGCCCATCCGCTTCCACGACTCAGAAGCTCCGAACCGGACCCCGCGACCCTCTTGAACTTCTACGACCTTTGAGCACCTGCAACTCTACACACCACACTTCTCGCCCCCAACCACCACCGTTCCCCCTTTCCTGCATTCACAATGGCCGCCGCTACTCAAAAGATTACTCTCACCACCTCCGATGGCGTCGACATCAGCGTCGGTAAGTCGTGCTCGTTGCCGCCCACGCCGCTTGACCTTGACCGCAGAGCTGACCTTTATCCAGAGCGCCAGGTTGCCGAGCGCTCCATCCTGATCAAGAACCTGCTGGAGGACCTTGGCGCCGACTCTGGCGAGGCCATCCCCATTCCGAACGTGCGTCCGCCCGCTTCCTCCCCTCGCATGGCCTAGCTGACGCGCGACAACAGGTGAACGAGCAGGTGATGCGCAAGGTCATCGAATGGTGCGAGCAGCACAAGAAGGACCCGCCCGCCTCAACCGATGACGACTCGGACTCCCGTAAGAAGAGCACCGACATCGATGAGTGGGACCAGAAGTTCATGCAGGTCGACCAGGAGATGCTGTTCGAGATCATTCTGGTAAGTCGCGCCTGCATACCCCGCATCATCGTCATGCGTTGGCGGACAGTGGCTGACATGTTGACTGCAGGCCGCAAACTATCTGGACATTAAGGCCCTCCTCGACGTTGGCTGCAAGACCGTTGCCAACATGATCAAGGGCAAGTCTCCCGATGAGATCCGCAAGACGTTCAACATCCAGAACGACTTCACGCCCGAGGAGGAGGACCAGATTCGCCGTGAGAACGAGTGGGCCGAGGAGTAAGTCGAGTCGAACCAGCCGTGCCCCCTTGGATAAGCGCATATTAACACTCCGACAGTCGCTAGATGTGGTGCCTTTGGCGGGACCGTTATTTCGTCGGTGCGGGTCGCAACTCCCCCTCCTGACCTCCCTGATGACGCCATTCTCATTACCACCAATACCGTTGTCCAGTATTCGTCCGCCGCCGACGAGCTCGAGTAGAGTGCAGAGGAGGATAGCGGGCACGATTTAGGAGGGGCTCTTAATGATACGGTGCATGCCGGAATGGGTCTGTCATGCACGCTGCTGCACGTTGCATACGGCGGGACGATTCTCTCGTGGTGTTTCCGGGGTTTTTTCTTTTTTCTCTATTTTGTCTAGGTGAAGGGACGTCGGACCCTCGCTAGGCGGCTGCGGCGGCGGCGGCGGTTCGTCCGCCACTGCGCGTGCGCTGCTCTCTCTCTCTGGTCATGTTTGCGTTGTCCGCTGCATTATTGCCCCAGGCGACCACGGGGGCGCAAAATTACCCATAGATCCAATTCCAGTATGCTGCTTTTTACGCCGTCTGAGATGTGTGTGAAGGGTTGCTTGTCTGTCTACGTGTCTATGTACTGCGGATATGGGGGTGGGATCTGGAGCTCTTGCGCGCGTGGTGCAGTCGTTTTTGTCATCTTTACATGTGCATGAGGTCTTGTGGCTCCTGATATATCATCCACCTCTTTCATATGTATCACCCACTTCTTGACTAGATACGAAGTACATCTCCTGTACCTACGGCGTACGTCTTGGGTGGGTGTGATGGGCTCTTATGCTAAGGTCTGTAGGTGCTGGGTTGCTATAAAGGGGAAATCCACGATACTTATAGCGTGCGCTTTAGGTGGTTATATATACTATCCTCTTACGCCTACGCACATACTTATTGTATATATATACAAGGGGCTAGATATAATCATAGCTACCTAATCGTATTTACCTTTCCTCAACCTCCTCTCCTGAGCCTAATCGTATCTACCTCCCCTAATCGTATCTACCTGATGCCAGCACACCCTTACAGCGCACACGAATATAGCGAAGATAAGGATACAAACGTCTTCACAGACGCGTAGTTGTAGTAATTTTAAAAGGGCGAGGACGTACTATATGTGCTTAGAGCGTACGTATATACGGGGGCGGGGGTGCGTTGCGTAGGTATGCTGCTGCAAGATTTACAGGGGCGAGCGTGAGCTGTAGGGGGGTAGGGGTGGGCTGGCTGGTTATAGTAATGTAGGAGTTTGGGGGGCGGGGGGTATGTGGGGGGGTGGGCTGGGTGGACGTGGTGCGTACGGTTGCCAGAAGGGACAGACAGACTCGTCTAAGTACGCAGGTACGCATGCTCCCTTCTATCTCTACGCTATCTATGCATCTGTCTAGTCTACACCCACTACAACGCCCCCCCAAGCAACCACACCAGCCCCATGGCCAAGCGGACTTTCCAGCCAACCCTGCGCTCCGGCTCAGCAAAAGTATCGCGATCCACGACGGCCGCGTGCTGCGCAAGCGCTTTCACCTCGCGCCCGAGCCGCTGCTGCAGGAGCGGATTCGTCGTCACGACCAGCGCGCTGGCTTCCAGGTCGAGCGCGTACGACCGGTGCGTGTAGTTGCTGCTGCCGAGGAGGGTGAGCGCTGGTGCGGGGGGGTGTGCGTCTGTAGGGGCGCCAGGCTGGCCAGGCTCGTCCGCCAACGCGACCCAAATCCCCTTGGCATGATAACTCCAGCCGCCGGGCGTATTCACAATCCCGCGCTTCCACTCCCGCAGCTCAATCGCCTCGTGCAGGCCCGCGCGGTCGCGCGCCCGCAGGAACCGCCGCGCAAGCAGCGTGTACGCCGCTGGCAGCATGCCGCTCACACCTGGCGAGGCGTAGAAGCCGTTTGCGTGCGGCGAGGCGGCGATGACGGTGCCGGCGGCTGGGCGCGTGCGCAGCAGCAGCTTGCGCACCCCGGGCGTCATGTTGAAGTAGCCGGCTGTGAAGGTCCAGGTGCTGGGCGTGGGGCTGGCGGCGAGGTGCGTGAGCAGCGTGGTTAGGGCTGGGAGCTCGGTCGACGTGTCTGCGTTTGGCGGCAGGATGGGCGTGAATTGCAGGAGGGGGTAGACCAGCGTCGTGTTGGTGGTCGTGCTAGCGCTGCTGCTGCTGCTGCTGCTGCTGGAGAGGGCGGTGCTGGTTTGGGAGGCGGGTGCGCGCATAAGAGGCGCGAGGAGGGTGGAGGCGGCGGACTTGAAGGCGTGGCGGTCCGCGAGGGGCGAGGGCGCGGGGTTCGTCTCCGGCCAGTGCATGGTGAAGCCAGCGGGGTCGGAATCAGCAGGCTGGACCAGAAAGCTAAGGCTGCAAATGGCCGAGTGGACGCGGTGGAAGTAGTCGGCGATCGGGCGGCTGGCGAAGACGTGGTAGCGGTCCTGGCGGTTGGTGAAGTAGTCGTCGGACAGGTTGGCGCCGCTGAGGATCAGCTCGTCGTCGACGCCGTACAGCTTCATGTGCTGCAGGCCCCAGCCCTCGTTGATGCGGCGCGGGATCAGTCGCTTGCGCCATCCGTGCAGGTTCGGCGTGTGGAACATGCGGACCTCGACGCGGGCGGGCCCGAATTCCGCTACCAGCGGCGCGAGCAGTGAGGCGCAGGACGGGTTGGGCGCTTCACGCGTGCCGCGGAGGGCGTCCGTAAGGAAGGACACTTTGAGGTCAGGGCTGCGGAGGAGGGCATCGCGCACGACGGAGATCTGAGCGGGTTAGTTGGTGGGTGAGAGGGTGAGGGGAGGGGGGCGTACGAGTTCATGCTCGGTTTTGCCGATGTAGAGGGTTGAGAGGTAGACTCTGCTCTTGGCGTTTGATATCTTGGTCTACTTCTGCAGAGTTAGTCTGGGGTACTGGGACAGAAAAAGAAGATATAAAAATCACCAGAACAATTACGCACTGACCTTGAGCGTCTCGTAGAACTCGGAAGGGTCCTGCAGGATCTGGATCTGCGAAGGCTCAATCTCAAAGCGCGGAGAGAGACGGTCCAGCTCGCTGGTCAGACTGCCCAAAACGGATGCAGACGACTGAGGCGGCGCGGGAGCAGACGCAGGGCCGCTCGAAGAGGTCGAGTACCTGCGGGCTCTGCACCGCAGCGGCAGAGAGACACGCGGGCGAGCGCATCTCGCAAGACTCCTGGCGAACATGATAGGAAATCTACGGAGACTGTCTTGGGAAGTCCAGCCCTGCCTGACTGATCAAATGCGCTAGCTCGCATTCGTCGGCCCGTTGCGCGCCAAGACTCGGCCAGGTCCCTCCGTGCATCATCAACGCGGAAACTACTCCAGCTACACTCTCCACTCCACACCACCATGTCGACCATTCTGCGTACGCTGCGCAACCTGCGCCGCGTCGGACTCAAGGCACGCCCCCCAATGGCCTCCCCGCCCGCCACCCGCCAACGCTAACCCGCCCCACAGGATGCCGGACACCAGATGCAGGTAGGCCGCGGCCGCCCTTGAACCCCGCCGCCAGCGCGCTCCAGACTGACCGCCGGCCGCGCGCGACTCTAGTACATCGGTAGGCGCAGCTAAATCTCCTCGGCCTCCATGCAGACCAAGTGCTGACCCCGCGCAGGCGACACCAAGGCCGGCACCCTCATCGGCTCGGACAGATACGGCAACAAGTACTTTGAGAACCTGGCTGAGGAGCTGCCCCGTCAGTAGCCCGTGCCTCCATCCCGCTGAGCTAGCCATTGACACCCTGGGGCAGTGAGAACGCGCTGGGTGGACTACAAGGACAAGGAATACGACCCGTAAGGCTGCAGCAGCCCGCGCCGCGCGCCGCAAGCTCCGTGTACTGACGATGGGAACCTTAGCTCGCAGATTGAGCCCGGCTGGTAAGCACGCACGCACCGCATTGGTCGACTACCTAGGTAGCTGTTTCTGCGGCATTTTGGCTGACGTAGCCGCGCGCAGGCACGCCTGGATGTCATATATGGTCGACAAGCCGCCGACCGAGGACCCCATCCTGCAGCGCAAGGTGCGCGTCTGGGAGCCCAAGGAGCACCGCCCCACGCTCACTTGGAGCCGCTCCGGCTTCAAGACGTACAGCACGTATGTGGCTCACGCCTTTTGCTTTTCTTCGCCCCGTCCCTTCTGCCCTTCCTGCTTCCCGGCTTGAGTATCCCCCCGCTGACCTGGCCCCCGCAGCGTCAAGAGCAAGTACTCCCCCTGGGTGCCTGTCGCCGCGCCCCGCAAGTAGGCGCGCGCGAGACGCCGCCGTGCCCGCGCCTCTGTATATAGGTAGTGCTGATCAAATGCATGCGAGACTGGCTTTTTGCGTGGTTCCAACACATTTACTGTCCTGTGTGCGTGTGCTGTAGATGCCGACATTGCGCCAAGCTGCGTGGCGGAATAACCTGGTACTGTCGAGAGCAGTTCTCATGATAGGCACTGGATGCCTTGCCCACCCTGCGTGCTAACACACACACACATACCTGTAAACGTACACGACCTGCTCTTTGCCTTTGCATGTTTCGTGCTCTTGTGTCCGCGTAGGATAGCTGGGCGCGCTGGTATGTTGCTGTTTTCAGAACCTGGTGGATTTTTTCACACCTTTGTGGTTTTTCGTTGTCTATATCTTTATGGAACGTCCTTGTTCTTTGTACGTTTATGCGTCCATGTCTTTTTGAGCACTTTTATACTCTTATGTGGTTTAGTTTTTGGGGAGATATGGCGAGGGCCGTCGGTACAGTAGATTTTGTTTGGGTTGTAGTTGAGAATACCCGGGCGTGTAGTCGTAGATAGCTTAATTGTATGTATAGGTAGGTTATAGGCCACTATATCAATAAATCGACGGAATTCAATAACCGTAGATCTCTCATCACTAACGGAATCATCACACATAAGATATCAAATTATAAATTCCTATACGACGGTGGTTCGACGGCAGCATGACACGGGGGGCGTGTGAGCCTCGGTTGTTTCCGTTCCCCGCAAAACGCGGCCTCGGGCAGGGCGTGTGGAGTAAGTATGTAATCGCCGTTACACCCGGGGGAGGAGGCGCTCAACTACATACATACAACGAGGGCTCGACCTCTTTGTCTCCTCACTTCTTCCCTCTCTCTCTCACTCGCTTTTTCTCCGTGCAATTGAATTTAGAAAAAGCTCTCACACACTTTGCAACCATGTCGAAAGCCGATCTCCTCGCAAATACCGAGAAGGGCCACCTCCCCGCCTCGCAGCGCATCCCGCCCATCGCGCTCCCCTACGTCAGCGAGCGCGCAAAGCAGACACTGGATCTGGTACACGCGCCCTCTCTCCGCACGCACGCACACAAACACAAACACAAACACACGCGCAAACCATGCTAACACGCCTCTTCCCAGGTCGAGAAATTCGTCGAGGAAGAATGCATCCCCGCCGACGCCGTCTACCACCAACAACTGGGCAGCACAGCCCTTGAGCGCTTCAGCGCCGAGCCCTCGATAATCGAAACACTGAAATCGCGCGCTCGTTCCCTCGGCCTCTGGAACCTCTTCCTGCCCAAAAGCCACTTCAGCCAGGGCGCGGGCTTCTCGAACCTCGAGTATGGGCTCATGGCCGAGTATCTGGGGAAGTCGCGCACGGCGAGCGAGGCGACGAATTGCTCGGCCCCGGATACGGGCAATATGGAGGTGCTTGCCAAGTATGGCGATGAGGCGCAGAAGAAGAGATGGCTGGAGCCGCTGTTGAGGGGAGAGTGCAGGAGCGCGTTTTTGATGACGGAACCCGGGGTTGCGAGTTCGGATGCGCGGAACATTGAGTTGAGTATGCGGAGGGAGGGGGCGGAGTGGGTGCTTAATGGGCAGGTGAGTGGGTTTTGTTTTTTTCTTGTGTTCGTTGTCATTGTCATCGTCTTCTTCTTCCATTTCCTATCTTTATACGTTATACGTTCTCCTTCCACCGCACACGCCCACTAACCCCCGGCACAGAAATGGTGGTCCTCCGGCGCCGGCGACCCCCGCTGCCAGATCTACGTGGTAATGGGCAAGTCTGACGCGGGCAACCCGGACCCCTACAAGCAGCAATCGGTGATCCTGGTGCCGGCCGACACGCCCGGCATCACGGTACACCGGATGCTGTCGGTCATGGGCTACGACGACGCGCCCCACGGCCACGGCCACATCTCATTTGCGAACGTGCGCGTCCCCGCCGCAAACATGGTGCTGGGCCCTGGCCGCGGCTTCGAGATCATCCAGGGCCGCCTGGGCCCCGGTAGGATCCATCACGCTATGCGCAGTATTGGCGCTGTAAGTCACTTTCCCCTCGCACACACCACATCCACCCCATCACAACCAGAAAACAAACAAAAACAAAAAACTAACGCGCACCCTCCCCCCCACAAAGGCCGAGCGCGCCCTCGAGCACTTCGCCGCGCGCCTCTCAGACCCACGCAAGACCCCCTTCGGCGCGCCCCTCAGCACGCACGAACTCCAGCTCTCCCGCCTCGCACACGCACGCATCAACATCAACGCCGCACGTCTCACCGTCCTCAACGCAGCCATAAGCATGGACCTGTTCGGGCCCAAAGCCGCATTGCGCGAGATCGCAGCCGCCAAGATCCTGGTGCCCAAGACCCTGCTCCAGGTCCTGGACGACGCAATGCAGGCGCACGGCGGCGCGGGCGTGAGCCAGGATACTCCGCTTGCGAATATGTGGGCCCAGGGCCGCACGATGCGCATTGTGGATGGCCCGGATGAGGTCCATGTGCTGCAGGTGGGCAAGGGGGAGGTGAGGAGGGGTGATGCGCTGAGGGGCCGGATTGAGGCGCAGAGGGCTAGGGCGGGGGAACTGTTTAGGGAGGCGGGGCTGAAGCGCGTGGATCCGTTGGCGCTAGGGCGGAAATCGGGCGCGGGGGGGAAGGCGAAGTTGTGAGCGTGTGTGTGGTGGTGGGAGGCTGCTGTGTACGGCGGTTGGAGGGGATGTCGTTGCTCTTGTCCCCATGCCGAGTGCTCCTCCATAGCAGCGCAAGCGCGTCAAGATCGTTCCGAATACAAACACTACCTCCACGTACAGCAGTGTGCACGTATGCCTGCCAGACATCCAACCCGCTCCCTACAGACCACGCCATAAGTACGCATAGACGCTGCGTCTGTAGTTGCTTGTACTGCTCCCGAGGGGGAGAGGGAGGAGGATAACTGAGCACGTCGCTCACTCACTCATACACTCATACATACATACACACGCAGAAATATGGTTTGAACGAGCATGTAGCTATGTATCGAATTCGGAGCTTCACGCATGGCAAGCAAAAGCCCAAAACCCCCTGTGTCTTAACCTTAGAAACCGCCCAACGCCACGGAATATGCCTGCCTGCCTGCCTGCCTGCCTGTTTATCCATCCACCCGTCCATCCATCAACCCTGTTCCTCCACACGTCCAGCAACCCATCCATCCATTCATTCATTCATTCAGCAACCCGCACTTTTGTCCTTTCTTCCATCAACCACCCACCACCAACACCAACACCAACCTACTCATACCCACCCCCCATATTCCGAACCTTGACCTTCCTCTTCCCCTTGAAATGCTTCTTGCCCCTGCCCGCGGCCTTGACCTCGTCGGGATCGAGATCCCGCTCCAACGCACTCATGACCACCGCCTTGCGCCCGCTGAGCTGCCGCCCCGCTGCCCGGCCCTGCTCCGTGTACTTCTCGTGGAACGGCATCGCGAGGTGCGCGTGCCCCGTGCCGGGCCCGAAAAAGCGCTTGTCGAGGTTCTTGCCCTTCTCGCCCTGGGGCAGGGGCAGGGGCAGCATGTCGGGGTCGTCCATGAGCGAGGCGTCGGCGCCATCGTGGCCTTCGTGCCCCTCGTGCAGCAGCGCCTCTTCCTTGGCCGCGAGCATGGCGCGCCGTTTCTCCGGCAGGTGTGCGGCGCTGTACAGGTCGCGGTTGAAGTGCCGCCCGTCGATGGGCGGGTCCGCTGGCGGCGGGTGGCAGTACAGCAGCTTGCCTTTGACGTAGTCTTTGAGCACGAAGCGCGCGGCGCGGCTCTCGTCCGGCTGGCCCAGCCCTTGCGTCGAGAAGCCGCGGGCTGTTGCGTACGCGCGCAGCAGTTCCTCAGCCGTCGGGATCCCGGTTCCGCCTTCTTCCAAAGGCCGCGTGTGGATCGTCATGCCGTAGATGGCTTCGAGGAAGGCCTGCGGAATGCGCGACGCCACCAGCCCCGCGGGGCCCGTGAACTCGCGCAGCTGGTCGATGGGCAGCACGCCGGAGCAGACGAGCTCGGCTTTGGTGGTCGCGAAGTTGGGGAAGACGAGACCGGGGCAGTCGCATAGCACGACTTTGTCCGACAGGTGGATTGTCTGGAAGTGTTTTGTTTTGCCGGGCGTGGCCGAGACGGAGACTTTCTTGGCGCCGATGAGGGCGTTGATGGTCGACGACTTGCCCACGTTCGGGTAGCCCACCAGCCCGATTTGCGTCTTTCGTGCCTGCTGCCCCTCTGGGCCCGTGCCGATTTCCGGCGCGTGCTCCAGGAATAGCGCTTCCAGCTCGTCCGTCGTCATGATGCGCGTGCGCTCCGAGTCGGCCAGCGGCACTCCGTCCAGCGGCACCCCGCCTGAGCTGCTGGGCCCGCCCGCGCCCACCGTCTCCTCGTCCACCCACTTGGCCGCCTCCTCTTCCTTGTCCTGCACGTCCAGCTTCTTGGCCTCGCGCGCAAGCGCGTTCTCATCCCCCTCCAGCGCGTCGTCGTCGTCGCCCTCTTCCGACGAGCCCTCGCCGTCCTCCTCGAGCTCCCGCGCCTCGTTCAGCTCCTTGGCCAGCTCGGCCGAGAAGAAGCGGAAGTTGATGCCGGCAGAAACGAAATAGTCGGCCCACATCTCGCGCTGCTCGAGCGTCATCATGTCGGCCTTGTTGACGAGCAGCAAGTTGCGCTTCTTGGCGTCGACCTCTTTGACGTAGCGGTCGAGGTCCTCGCAGCGGAACAGCAGCGGGTTGCGCGCGTCGACAATCTGCACGACCAGGTCGGAGCGCTCAATGACGCGCCACAGCTGGCGCCAGACTTCAATGTTGCGCTCAAAGGGCGTGAGCAGCAGGTCGTTGCTCTCCTGCAGCTCGGCGAGGCCGCGACGCCACTGCAGCAGGCTCTCGCGCTCGCGGGCGTCGAGCTCCCAGCGCGTCGTCGTCTCGTCCCACTTGGGGCGGCGCGGGACGGTGAGGTTCTTGCGGTGGGCGTTTTGCTTGCGCACAGCGGCGCGCTCCTCGGTCGCCGACAGCAGGTAGGGGTTCTTCTGGTCCGTGTGGATGATCTTGACGTTGTTCATTTTCTCGGCCGTGAAGTCGGTGCCGGCCAGCTCGGCGGTGCTGAGGAACTCGTCCAGCGCGCCCTGCTCGGTGATGCTGCGCATCTTGACCCACGCCGCGTCCTGCTTCTCGTTGGTCACGTACGTCTCGCCGTTTTGCCCTTTGCGCTGGATCGCGTTGGGCTGCTGGTTGTTGCCGCGCCGCATGTCCTGCCCTTTGCCTTTGCCGAAACGGTCATTCATCAGGCTGTTGCCCAGCCCGACGCTGTTTTTGGATTTTGCAAGCACCATCTTGCCGGTTGTTTTGTGGTGTGTGGTGTTGTTAGAGAGAGAGAGAGAGAGAGATGCTCTCTTGCGGTGGAAGCGGGACGGGCTTGAGCGGCGGCGAAAAAAGCGGCGCTTTCGTCACAGAAATTTTGTCAGCAGCGCGACCCAACACACGCACTTCACTCTCACTACCTCCGCAATCACCGCTTGCTCCCACAAAAAAAGCCCACACTCTGCCACCATGGGTCGCCGCAAGTTTATGTGAGTTTTGCACGCCTTCCGCAGTAGTCATGCCCCGTTAACATAACCGCCAGCGACAAGAAGAACGCCCAAAACTTCCAGCTCGTCTACCGCGCGCAAAACGACCCACGCATCCACGATGTCGACGCCTCGGACATGGTCTTCGCCGAAGTCGCGGCGCCCAACACGCACAAGGGCGGCGCCCACAAGATCCGCACGCGCCACGACCTGGAGGAGCAGCTGAGCGACGCGGGCTCGGGCGCCGTGCGCCGCAACGAGGGCGAGGCCGCAAACTACGGCATCTACTACGACGACTCGCAGTACGACTACATGCAGCACATGCGCGACCTGGGCGCCAGCAGCGGCGCGACGTGGGTGCCGGCGCGGTCCAAGGAGCCCGAGAAGGGCAAGGCCAAGTTCCGCCTCGAGGACGCCCTGCGCGGCATGAGCGTCGGCGACGACGGCCAGAGCGAGGCCGGCAGCATGGCGAGCACCACGTCGGCCGCCGCGTCCGACCTATTCGGCGAGGACATGGCGCCCAGCGAGTTTGTGCGCCGCACCACCTACCAGGACCAGCAGGACGTGCCCGACGCCATTGCCGGCTTCCAGCCCGACATGGACCCGCGCCTGCGCGAGGTGCTGGAGGCCCTCGAAGACGACGCTTACGTCGAGGACGAAGACGACATCTTCAACGCGCTGGCTGAGGACGGCCACGAGGTCGACCCCTCGACGTGGGAGGCCCTGGGCGATCGCGGCTTCGACTTCGATGACGACGACGAGGACGCTGCCGGCTGGGAGACTGACGACACGATCAAGCCGGAGCGCGAGACGCGGGGGTCGCCGACATCGGCCGGCGGCGCCGTCGAGGCCGACAGCAGCAACAGCACGGGCAACAACGACGGCGGCGCAGCGCTCCCGGCGGCCGACGCGCCCGTTCCCGACGCGCACCCCGCGACCCACGGCGACGGGGACTGGATGGCCGAGTTCAGCAAGTTCAAAAAAGACGCCAAAGCGAGCAAAGCCGCAGGGGGGGCCAAGGCCGTGCCCTCAGAGCTGCAATCCTACGTCACGGGCGCATCTTCGCTGGCGGGCGGCCGCCGCAAGAAGCGCAAAGGCGCCCTCACCAGCACAAGCAACTACTCGATGACGTCGTCCGCACTCTTCCGCACCGACCAGCAATCCCTGCTCGACGAGCGCTTCGACCGCATCGAGGAGGAGTACGCCAACGACGACTACGCCGCCGACGACAACATGTCGCTCGCGTCGGGCATGACGGGGCTGTCGCGCGCGAGCGGCATCAGCGCGTATAGCTCTGCGAGTAAAAGCGGTGATGCCCCTGCACTGAGAGAGGATTTCGACTCCATTCTTGATGAGTTTTCGTCTGCTTGGATGAGCAGCGGTAAGAGGGGCCGCAAGGAAAATGGCTATAAGGATGGCTTGGCTCAGCTGGATGCTGTGAGGAAGGGTCTGGGTCCGGCACGGTTTAGTGCGAAGGGCGCGGAGGGGAAGGGGAGGGCGCGTTGAGCGGTGGGAGTGGCTGTGGAGCGGCTATGTCATTTCTGTCGTGGCTGTCGTGACTGCATCGTTGCTGTGTCATACCTCTGTCGTTGCTATATCATAGCTATGTCATAGTCGGAGGACACATCAAGCCCGCAAGCGAAGGTATGAGGAGGGGCGAGTAGGATGGAGTGGGGTGGGTGATGGGTGGGTAAGAGGGACAAAGAGACACAGAAGCAGACGAAGAGGGTCAGACAGTGAGGACATCAGTCCGGGTGTTCAGGCGTACAAAAAAATCGGCGTAAGTAGGTAGTATCCATCCGGTAGGGTATGTATGTAGGCGCTAGGCCAGGGGGTTCTCGGATTCTAGAGTCTATTCATGTGCGTTGGGTGGGTTTTCATAGATAGATACTTGGTCAAGATATGTTATGGTATGGTATGGTATGTCGTTGTGTTTGGGTTTTGATTTTGGGTTTTAAGGTGTGTGGTGGTTGTGTGTGTGTGTGTGTGTGTGTGTTTGTGTATGCTATATACGTCTGTATAGTGATGCCTTGCTTGCTTGTCTTTGCTCTACGCGGTAGGGGAGGGGTGTGGTGGGCCTGGGCCGGTAGGGGTATAGATGCGTTTGTAGAGGGGTGGTGGTGCTGGGGTGTTTGGGTGCTGAACGGGTGTGTGTGGTGATGGGTTGGGTAGGCGTTTCTACCTTAGGTGGTGGGGAAGGGGCGTAGAGGGCCTAAGTAGGCGTCCTAACGAATGCGTCTGTACGCTCGTAGTACTGCGCCTTACGTGTACGCTCTGCCTGATAGTGTGGCGACGCTTTTCTTTCTCGCCTCTACCCTGCGCGCTGTTGGCTGGGTATATGAGGTTTGGATAGCTGTGCTGATAGATGGATCTTTAGAGAGCTAGTACTAGAGGCTACGTCGAAGCGGTAGGGAGTTGTGTAAAGATGGTGTCCTTATTCTTCTCTACCCCGCGCGTAGTAGGAGGGACCTGGTGGACCTCGATAGGTGTGCTTAGTAAATATATTCTTAGGTGATGGTACTGGGATATGCGTATGCTACGTGCGGCTGTATAGGGGGGTGGCGTTCTTATTCTTCTCTGTCCCAAACGGTCGCGGAGGGGGATAAAGGCCAGGATAGGTAGACGAATAGACGTATTCGTAGAGACGTAGTAGTGCTACCGAGTGTGGAGGGTCGGATTAGTCTAACTGTAGATAACGCTTTTGTGAGGCTAGCTGCGTGGTAGCGCGGGAGAGAGGGCTTAAAGTAACTCCGCTATCTATCTACTTCTCTTGTGTCTGCGAAGTGTCTTATGCTTTGTGGATGGATACCGATATACGGTTGTATCGCTATAACCTCTGGTCTCGGGGACGCGCGGTTGAGGGGATTATTCGTGTTGAGTGGTGGGCGTGAGGTGCGTGAGTACGCTGCGGGTAGTAGTTGGGGATGATGATTATCGTTGGTAGGGAGGGGTGATGGTGGTCGGTGTTATCGGGGTATAATGATTTTACCTTTTTTAATATGTTGTTGATAATTCCGAATGTAATAGTCTTCGTTACCGGCTCTCCTCTTCTCTTTTACCTACTAAAGAAGTGATGAATAACGTCACTACTAGGATATGTTGGTAGGGATTGCTGATTTGTGGTGGTGGTAATTGTTATCGTCCTGTATTTATGCTTTGGAAGCGTAAGGCTATTGGCTTTGCTGTGAGTGTGTAAAGGTCCTGCTACTGTCAATTTTCTATGTCCCCCCCAGAAAATTTCCTGTATGGCTGTTAATAGCTAATGAGGAGCTCAGACGGTTTGTTGTGGAGGCGTGAAATGCATAGCGCTTCGGGATTTTATATCCTTCTATAGTTTACCTGAACCTGGGTTCACTGCCGCAAAGCTCCCTATAAGATAACCACTCGTAAATGCATAGTTACAATGCCACTTATCGAACTCACACTCGCCGCTGCTACTACCAGCATGCTGACCACCATTAGCTGCAAGCGGCTTGGTACGCGGGATGAAACCTAACAAATCAGTGAAACAATATCACCGGATAACACGAATTCAGTGGACCATCTACAGCACAAGAGCAACAAAAAAGCACCAGGTTTTAACCGCAACGAATCTACAAGCAACTGTATTCGTGTTCCTTGGAAGACTGCTTGGCGAGTCTGCAGCATTTTGATCTAACTGGTTTACTCTTTTCCGAAAGCCATTGCGTTAAGTCTTTTCACTGCAATACGAGCGCCCTAATGGTAAAAGCCTACATGAAAAAGCTAGTGTAAAGGTTAGTTTAACCAGTGATGAATGCTTTAGCGTAGGAAGCTTCAGTGATTGAATCGAAAGGATAAATTAAATTTTTGCATATAACATGGGTAATTGAGACAAACAAGTACCAAAGAGGAGTAGACGATTTAAGGATGTGTAGGTTTACATGTAACATAGTAAGTATCGAGTGCTGTTGTTGTAGCAGTAGCGAATCAGTGAAGAGAGGGGATTGTATATATCGAAACGAGAAGCCACAACTTATATACCCTCGGAAACTATATGTCTAGCTACGAGAGTAGGCTCTAGATCTCCTTAAGAACTAGTCTGTAGAGGAATTTTAGACTACTTGAAGGCGTATCGGCGTAGTTGTACTATTTTCAATATCTAAACTTAGTATAATTTCGCTGCTACGGACCATCGCATTGCGGGGATGGAGAATATTTATTATGATATAAGTGCAGACACTGTAGTATTTTATAAAGGAATTTATAGGGACCGTTTTGGTCTCCTTGCAGAGATATATAGGCTTGGTTATAGTATCGTTAACAATTGAATTCGAAGCGACTTGATGTACTTGTGCTTCTCCAAATCACTGCTCACTGTAGGAAGGATAATGGCATTATCTGCTCTCTGAATGTAGTACACTGAAGAGCGTTGAAGGAATGAGTGCTTTTTCAAAGTGCCGCTAATTGGGGATAAGATGAACAACATCTGCATCTCTGATCGTTATACACTGAAGAGTGCTGAGGGGACCTGTCCATATACGATGTGTTTTACTTTATCAATGCTTCAATCGCTGACCAAAGTGGCCTTTGAAGCAGCGTGCTCGTGACAATACAAATGCTCAACGCATATAGAAGAGGGCAACGAAAACCAAACTCCATCCACCCATCCATCCATCCATCTATCCAACACCAGCCACCCCAACCCAACCCAACCCATCCCTCACAATAAGCAAAGCACCCCTAACCCAATCCACCAGCACCCGCTCTCTCCCAAGAAATCGCTCAACCAGACTACGCCAAACAAGATAATTCCCGCGGGAAGAGCGCCAGCGTCCATAAACCCCTAACGCATCGCAGCAGCAGCAGCAGCAGCAGCAGCAGGCAACCATTTACGGAGCAAGCACCTAGGCCCATCCATCGATCCAAGGCCAACCTACCTAGCCTAGCCCAATAAACCCACCACACCCGCGCCGCACGCCGCGCCGCGCAACGCAGCACGAATGAAAGCACGGCGGCAGCGGCAGCCCGACACACCGCCTTACCGGCCTAAACGGCAGAGCGGGCGATAGGCAGAGAACGGGCAGGCGCAGAGTCAGCAGCAGCACGATGTCGTCTTTGGTGGCGTCTTTTGCTGCCGGCGTTGCTGTCGGCGTTGCCCTCTTCGTCACTGTGCTGCTTGCTCTTCCTGCCCTTAATCCTCTCGCTGCCTGCTGCAGACCGCCGCCGCGTCGCACACGGCCCCTATGGAACTAACTACGCCGTCCACTCGCACATGGCCGTGCCGCCCGTCACGTCGTACCGAGCGGGCAAGCGAGCGGGCGCCCTCCCTTCCCTCCTCGTGGGACCCCAGCCCGGGGATGTGCACGCTCCCGTCTTGGCTGTGTTGCACGGCACACAAGGGCTCGGTAGCCAAGGTGGGCGTCGTCACGTCGGCAGAAACTGGACGAGTGAAAGCACTGACGTGAGAGAGACGGGGAAGGGCTGCTGGAGCGCTACCCGGACCAGCCCACCAGGGGGGAAGAGTGAGATTGAGGTTGATGTTCAGGTCCTCCCGGTGATCGCTCGGGAGAGTCATTCATCAAAGGCCGATGACGGATGCTGGACGGACCCTGCCCACATCATTGCGCCGGCGTGCCGGAGAGGGGTCCCAGCCACGGAAGATTATTCATTCGCCGACGTCAATTGCGCGCCTAAAGCTCCTCCGGCGGACCGTCCTGCCCCTCTTTCCTCTCTCTCTCTCGTCTCCTCTCTCCGCTCTCTCTTCATTGCACCCCAAGAGCGCGTGAACCAGCGAGCGCATACTTCTTCGTCACAGGTTAGATGCCCCGCACCAGCATCCGGCTTTCCGCGACGCAGCAGCTTTTCGCGCGCCGCCCCACCATCACCACCACTACCACCACCACTATACGAGTAAAAGCAGCCTCTTATAAGACCCTCTCTAGAGCCAGCATTAGCAGCAGCAGCAGCGCACTCCGCGCCCAAACCCCCCCGCGCACGCCCCTCGCAAGCGTCCCCCGCACCCCCAGCGCCAACAACCCCCCCACCACCCGCAAAATGGCCACCACCACAATCTCCGTCGAAGAAGCCAAGCGCGCCGCCGCCATCCGCGCCGTAGAAGACCACTTCGACCCCAGCGCGCGCTACGTGGGCATCGGGTCGGGCACGACGATCGTGTACGTCGTCGAGGCCATCAAGCAGCGCAGCACCAACACCAGCATCCAGTTCGTGCCCACCGGGTACCAGTCGCGCCAGGTGATTGTGCAAGCCGGCCTCGTGCCCATCGCCTTCGACTCGCTGCCCGAGGGCGAGGTGCTCGACGTTGCGTTCGACGGTGCCGACGAGGTCGACGACGAACTCAACTGCATCAAGGGCGGCGGCGCGTGTCTGTTCCAGGAGAAGCTGGTCGCCGAGCGCGCCAAGAAGTTCGTCTGCGTCGCCGGTACGTCGTTCGAATCCAATCCCTGCGCCCAATCTCAATCTCAACCCCACCCCAATCCCCAACACCAACCGCTAACTAACGCCCCAAACCAGATTACCGCAAAGCGCAATCCCGCCTCCTCACAAACTGGCCCACCATCCCCATCGAAGTCGCCCCCCTAGCCGTCCACACCGTCTCCCGCGCCCTCAAAGTCCTCGGCTCCCCCGCGCCCATCATCCGCTCCCACACGTTGGCGAAAACCGGCCCCGTGAAAACCGACCAAGACTTCTTCATCATCGACGCGCCTTTCCCCCCCCTTCTCACACCCGCAGACGTTAGTGCCGCATCCGTCGAGGCTGCGACGGCTGCTGGCGACAATGTCAGCGGCGCGGCCGTCGCGACTGTCGTCGGTGCGGGCCAGAACGGCGTGTGGGAGGTTGAGCGCCTCAGCAGGGAGATCAAGCGTATTACGGGTGTGCTGGAGGTCGGTATTTTCTGCGGCGATGATGGCGTTAGGGCGAGGGCGCGTGGCGCCATGGGCGGCCAGAAGCCCGTGGCTTGCTATTTCGGGATGCAGGATGGGAGCGTGTTGGTGAGGCATGCGAAGACGAAGGCGGTGTAGTTGCGTAAGGAAGGTGGAGTTGGGTTGTGTGCGTGTGTATGATTGAAAATATTTAGCTATTGTAGACGGGTTCTGATGGACTTTTGCTGTGTTTACTACACCGGTTATACTCCTAGCGGTTTGGCTGTTCAGTAGTTCCTGACTGTAGGATTAGCCTTGCCGTTATAGTGAGAAACGCCGTAAACAAGCCAAGCTATGTGCAACACCATGCAAACTCCAGCTGTATATACCGAAGAACGCCTTTTTGAGTGTTCCCTCTTGGAATGACGGGCCGTCATGACTGGCTCCACAGCCGCGCGAAGGATTGATTGATCGTGATTCGTGAAGTCCATCCATTCTGTTTTTGTGGGGTATCGTAAATCGCAAAAGCCACCCACCAGCCGATCCGTCGTACATGACATCATACGCAGCAGCGCCGCCTGGCGCCGCCGGAAAGCGCACACCTATGCGGCGGCGCAAGCAAAGCAGCAGCAGCAGCAGTAACAAAAGCAAGCAAGAACATACCACACACGCCGCCAACGCCAGCAAAGCGCTCGCACACTCAATGCCTCCGCCGCGTCGGCTCAGGGCTGGGGCTCCGACTCTCACTGCGCTGATCCCTACCCCTCATGCGCAGCCACTTCTTGGTCGAGAGGTCGAGCTCGCGCTCCAGCTCGGGGCTAGGGACCTTGCGGTGGATGAAGTTGCAGAAGCCGCCGCGGACGCAGCCCTCGCCGCTGTTGAGGCGGCAGCATGCCTCGCGGAAATCGGTTACGGGGGAGAGTTCGCAGTAGATGGGCCGCGCGGCGTACCAGCGCGCGTTCAGCGCGTCGCACGCTTGTTGCGCGCTGTCTTCGTATTTGAACCGCGCGTATACGTTGCCAATGAGGTCTGGTAAGAGGGTGGGTGGCGTTAGCTTACTCTCTCTCTCCCTCTCTCTTCTTTCGTACGGGTTATGGGAAATGTGGGAATGTGTGAACAGGGAGACACGTACGGTCGTTATTATTATCACAGACAACCACCTCCTCAATCTCGCCAAACTTGCACATCTCGCACCAAAAGTCCTCGTAGAAGGCGTCGAAGTGGTTCTGCAGCTGGCTAGCATTCATGGTGCTCTTAGGGTCGTAGGCCGGGTTCTGGTAGAGATTGGGCAGCAGAATCGTCTGCGAGTACGACGGCTTGACGTGCTTGCGCGAGCACCGGTCCCCGTGCCGACATGCCCCGATCTTGTAGTAGAAGCTGCAGTTGACTCTGCGAGGAAGAAGCGCTGCTGTGTTAGCTGTGTGCTGTGCTGGTGAGGGTCGAGCGCGCATATTTACTGCTACGAGGGGTGCCTTACTTGTCTTGCTCGGTGCCGAAGATAGACGCTAGGTAGTTGGCCATCTTGATGTGCGTGCTGGTGCTGCTGCAGTGTTTCGCGATGCCTTGCGATGCTGCTCGTCTGGAGGACGCGCCTCCGCGACTTGATGCGCGTCAAGCCGCTCGCCGCGCTGACAAACGCGCCTCCGCGCCAAGCCGCCTTCCGCTTCGAGACGCTTCCGCCTACTGTACCACCGAGCCGCGGTTGGTTTAGTCGTGTCCGTTGTCTCGCATATGCGCGGGCAGAGTTGTAGATATATTCAGACTTACAGTAGATACCCTTTGTTGACCGGACAGAAATCAAATTAAGTTCTGAATTGAATGCAACCGAGAACTATACTACAAGTACGTCATTTCCACTGCGAAACAGTTACCTGGCTATACTTGTTCTGGTTATACTTGGAGCTGCGGATCCTAGAGGAGATGCTAATCGTCGACCAGACAGCAATCAAAACAAGCTACAATAATAAGGTATGACCAAGGACTAGCCAAGAAGCTTGTTGTCCCGGCTATATTTAGAGCTGCGGGAATGCTGCACACAACCGGGACTAAGTCGACCGCGCATCTTTTTTACTTTTCATTCCTGCCGACGCCCTCCCCGAGGCCGCGTAGAAGATCCCTGGACCGCTATTTTACAGAAACGAGATTGGTTGGAAACATACAGCTTAAATAGCTTCCCTGCCCACGGGACTAGGCGACGCTCCATCGCCCGGCATCACGGGCGGCTCGCGTTCCGGAACCCCGGGCGCAACACCCTCCGTCTCCGCGCCCTCCGTCCGGGCGCCTTCCGTCCGAATCACCTTCGGCTGAGCGCCCTCCATCCGTGCAACCTGTTTCTTAGCACCCTCCGACCCAGATGGCGATCCCTCTGAAGAAAAGTCCTCGGGCATTTCCAAGTTCTGAGAAGGCGTGAACGTCACTTCGCCTGCGGCAGCCGCCTGAAGTCTGAGCTTCTGGCCCTCTTCACCCGCTCGGCCCAGGACACCAGCAATGACTTGGGTACATCGCAAACTATTGTCCCATGACAGTCAGCAAAAACGCGTCAGAGGACACATGCCTGGGATACTCACCTGTCGTCGTTGGCAGGAATAGGGTAAGTTACCCAAGTCGGGAAGGCGTTGGTGTCAATGATGCCAATGGTCGGAACGTGGTTGAGGGCGCACTCGTGCAGCAGGACGTAGTTCTCCAGAGGGTTCAGGCAGACGACCAAGTCTGGCTTCAACACCGGCCTGTCAATCAGCTGGGGGTTAAAGTCGGGCAGCTCCTTATCCATCTCATCCACAACCTTCATCCTGCACTTGCCCAAAATCTGCTGGCCGTTTGTCAGACTGCCGGGAATCCACCGATCATATAGGTGACAGCCTTGCGCAAGCTGTGCGGCCTTCACGATGGCCCGCTCCTGCCCATCACGCGTGCCCACGAAGAGTATAAGACCACCTCTTCTCGCAACTTCGCGGACAACCTTGGCCGCCCGCCGCAGATACGCCGCCGTTTGGTCGAGGGCGATGATGTGGATGCCTTCACGGATGCCGAAGATGTAGCGCGCATTCGCCGGATTCCAGACGGCGGTCGAGTGGCCGAGGTGAGCCTGGGAAGCGAGAAGCAGCTCGAGAGTCACATCAGACGGCCTGGGCGGGTTGTTGACGAGCGTGTGCGGTGCGTAGTAGGGAGACACCTTGGCCCCAATCTTTGAAGAGACGCGCCCTGTTCAGACAGTGTCAGCAGGACGTCAATGCCTCTGCCACGGCAGGCCAGGCGTACTCGAATGCAGGTGGGCCTGCCAGTCTTCGGCCACGGCGGGGTCGGTCAAAGCGGCTTGGCGCTCGGCATCGGGGTTGTAGGCGGGGACATAGTGATTGGACTGGCTGTTAATGGTGGTCTCGATGGAGTGAGTCTCCTTCAGCGAATTGTCGACGTTGCGCTCAAGGATGTCGACCTCGGAGGCCATGAAGCGCCTGCATTGGCGGGCAGCGAGGGCGGCGCGGGCTGCTTTAGGGTTAGCAGAGGTCGAGGGAGCTAAGTCGGGATGGCGTACGGGGCGCGCGCAGGGCCAGGTGTCGTAAAATCATGGTCACCGGGGGAGGGAGCTCTCAACCGTCGAACGTCGTCTTGTCGTCGCGTTGCCGACGAAGAGTTTCGGCCCTCGAGCCTGATCCGGCTAAGCCTCATTGGTATTAGCGTTGTTATGTTGCGGCTAAACCTCGCTGGTCATAGCGGCATTGCATGTCTACGTAGGTAGATAAAACACCACGACCACGTCGGCCTTTCCGTGCTGAGCTGAGTGCAAAATGGAGTCATTGGGCGCAAGTTATTTGCTGGCGCGGGTAAGAGCGGACGGGCGACGGGGTTGTGCTGTGCTGTGCTGTGTGTACAGCGCTGCTGCTGCTGCTCGTCGACGGTGTTGTTTGCTTGCGCAGCGTCGAATGGCGCAGCGTATGCGGGTCCTGGCTGGAGGTGCCTTAGCGCAGGATTTTGCGCGCATATGGGCTTAACACTCTGGTATGGGTCGTCAAACCCGAGCTACTGTACCTTCATCGACCAAAGCGCTCTGCGGAGCCGTGGCGGTGTGTGTGATGGAGAAACACCATCGGGAAACCGCAGATATATGCAGCGTGATAGCCACAATGGTATATCAAATCCTCTCTCCGAACCTGTGTGTACTGTGCGTATGTGCCGCGTGATGTTGGGGCATTATGGGTGGTCGCGGGATGACCGTCAAGGTGCGTCTAAAATCCGCGCAAGGCTGCAGGTTGCGCCCTCAAGCAAGGGTGCGTTTGAGAGCCGTTGGGCAGTCTCGCTGTTTTGCGCGTCTACGATTCGTACCGACGCGGTGCACAAGGCTGCTCGCTATGCATGGTCGCCGCCGTCATCACTTAGTTGGAAGTGTTTGAGCGCTTTACGTCCTGCTGACTGCTGCTGCATGTGTTCCACCAGAACTGCAGTCACTGATTATTCATTCATTTTGCACTTGGGGCTCTGCAAAGCAGAAAAAAATGGCCATGCACGCTGCATGCAAATGCTCCGTCCCATTTTGGCGCTTTGCAAGGAAAGCAATATGGTGATTTCAAAGCATAGCCGCGCGTCTCGAGCGCCAACGCGGTATGCAGAACAGCTTTACTGCTTGCTGTCGTAGCATGATTATGACGTATTTGAAGATTCGAATTGATGTTGCTTGCATGGTGCATCAGCAAAAACTATCACTGAAGATTGGGAGCATAGCAGCAAATGTGACAGGTAAATGATGAGTCTGAACGGGGTCGTCCGAACGGAGCAATACTGGCATGGCCTCTGCAACAATCTGCTGAGGATGACGAGATAATGCCTCCAGTAAAAAGGAGTTGTGTGCCCTATTTCGAGCAATGCGATTGCGAGTATCAAGCTTCGTTCTTTGATTTGAGCTCAGACCAGAGGGCCCAGAGGCCCAGAGCCCATACATCAGCTATGACGAACGATGGGCATTATGAAAATACGGGTGCTGCTGAAAAGAGCGGTTATTCTCGCTCTTGCCAATGGCGCTACTGAATCTTATGGTAGGGCAGTTCGATCGGGTGATGAATAATTCCATTTAGCTAGCGGCAGTCCTGCCAAAAGCAGTAGAAGAAGCGCAGCGGTGAGATACATGATGATGGACCTTGGACCGATGGTCGAGACAACGAAAGCTTGCTCCAGGTCGATCTCCGAAACTGTGGAACCTACACCTGCGCTCCACGACGATCATTCGGTTGGTGCAGATCGCGCAATGCGCATTCGACCGACGACAAGGCAGAAACGTTTGGCCGACTGAAGGAACCAATCGACGATCGAGTGGGGTTTTTTCTGAAGTCCTTACGGCCGCAAGATTGCAGTGACATACCGCTACTCGGAGCTCGGCAGAAGTCCAAGTGCGACAGCCAACGGCTTTCAGCGAAGAATCCTACCGACAGTGTTGTTGAAGTAAGCTCAGGGGCGGTGTCCGGCAACTCTCGGCGGAGTCGGTAATACTCGCAATGTTGAATGATTCTCGGTAGATCCTGCACGACAGAACGGCTTGTTAGCTCCCGGTGTCGACCCACTAGGGAATGCCACTTTAGGCGCATATGGTACGAGAAAATGTCAAATATGGAGGAATGAAGACGGTGACACGGGCTTTAGCGCCCGCATGCCAAATTGCCTCTCCTCGGTCTGTCCGTATTTGCCTCCACAAGAGATTGTCGTTCACAGGTGGACCGGCGGAAAGAAGGGCTAACGAGAGTGGTTAGCTTATGTCAGCGTCCATGCCCCGTAACGGGGCTACTCTAGCTCGCGGATGACATTCCGCAGTATGGCCGCCGCTCCAGGCTGTGGCTCCCTCTTGTGGAAAAGCGAGACCTTTCTGGCGTCAGTGTTGGCGGCGGCGCGGACCTTTCGCACAGCCCCTGGAACCACGGTTCTGTAGCCAGCCCGCTGTGGAGTAATGTTCCGAGCAGGCCCAAAGCACTCTAGGTGTTGCCTTTCTAGGTCGGCAACAGTGCCGATAGGCCTGGGACAAGGGAAGATATGAATCCACGTGCATGTCTGAGGACGTTCCAGAGCTGCGCTCCCTGGCTCCTGAAAGACCTCAGGTAGATCCCACCATACGCAGAGAACGTCACGCGGCTTCCTTGGGCCTCCTGAGCAATTTGCACCGCCCCGTCCGCAGAGCTGCGCAGAGCCTCAGGAACAGGTCCTCTTCACCAGCCGTCTCAGGTCAGGCAGCACTGACGGCGGTGGGCACTTGCGCGCTTCTAGAAACTGGGATTGATATTCCGCGGGCGGGTCCCTGAAGCCCCAAGGCTGGCGATGGCGCGCGGTGCCTGAGCTGTAGGAGCAACAGTGACGGCACAAGCTGATTTGCGCGCCAGGAGCCGCCAGCCACGCGGGCTAGGGGGCGTCATAGGCCACAGGGTGGCTGCCCAAGCCCTAGACATGAGGCGTCTTGCGTGAGTAGGTTTCGAAAGGTGGTGTTAGATGAGAGACCATTCCCCTCGCAGCTAGCGGAGGTAGGCCGGCCGTGTACCGTGAAACGGCTCGCAGGCGGACGCTACCTAGCGCCATGATCGTCGAGTCGACGATGCCTCACGACGATAGTCGGATAGCAGGCCAGTCAAGAGGGCAGGAATACGCATCTGAGGGCCCAAGCCACTCGGCAGGCCCGGGTGGATTTTGGGGTTATAATAAATGGCGGCGGGGAGCCCGCTCAGACCGTCAAAGGTCGGACCGCAATTTTCTTCAACGAGGGCGGCGGAGGGCGGAGACGGGGTTGGGACCGGCGGACCAGGGCAGATCAGGGACGAGGGACGAGGCCCACGACAGGCGGCCCACGGTCAGCTTGGCAGGCAGCAACGTGAAGATGTCGTCGCGCGGTAGGGCCGAAAGCGAGTCGGGCGGGCCCTAGCGCTCTGCGGGGAGGGTCGAGGGACAAGAATGTGAACCGGAGATTGATGGAGGTGGTGGGACCGGAGCGACAACCGTTCGCATGGGCGTGGCGGTCGGGAGCGAGGATCGTCTGCCGGGGGAGAGGCGTGTGGCGATCCTGACGCTATCGCGAGAAGCTGCGTTCAGTCAGCCTGCCGCAGCCGCTTTCGTTCCGCGCGCTGGCCCCCCTTCCCACGCCCCGCGCGAAACAGGCCGTCGTCGAGAAAGTGGCCTCGCCCTCCGCAACAAGCCTGCAACTCTTCCTGCCCGGCCGTTACCGGCACCCGCCCGATCCCTGAAGCGGCCCTCGACGCCAGCCCATCCCTACCCGCAACGTTGGCGAGCCTGCAGCTTTACGCACCTTTAAGGGACCAGTGGCCGCGGTTGCCGTGGACCGCCGTCTTTCCCTCTCGCCCTCCGTACCACGCACCACCTTACCCTTCTCCATCCCTTGACTCAAAACCCCTCCATCCATCCACACGTGAGTCCCTGGATGCTCCGCCTGCTGAGCCCCGACGCCCGCCTAGGTGCGCTCCATCACCACCTCCCCGACGCCGTCAAGAGCGCCGTGAGTCCTGCCCCCTCCCTGCCCAACCATCTTCACGATAAACTTCGACCTCAAACCCCTTCCGGCCCCGCCTTTTCCTAATTGGGTTGCCAGGCCGGCACCATGAATTACCCCGACGATCCCAGGGCCGCTCAATACTCGCACTCGCGACCTCTGATGCCCGCCAGGTCGAATAGCAGCTACCTGACCGACGCGCCCTTTGCCTTTGCCGACTCGACGACCATGCGGCAAGACAATGTCTTCTACCACGACGACCACCAAAGCCATCTTGGCCCCCATCGCCCTTCCAACGCCGCTGCCTTCATCAAGCCCGAGCCCCACGCTGCCCAGCGGCGAAGCTTTTCCAATGGCAGCTTCGCCGATTCCTCGGAACGCGAGGGCGACCAGTACAGCGTGGCCAGAGCCACGCCCTCGCCAATCAACCCCAACGTAGGCTCAACCCCGCCCATTCCGGCAACTCTCAACTCAAACATGCAGCCGACGTGGCGCGGCTTCGTGCACACGACGCTCGATGGCTTGATGGTCATCGAGGCATGTTTGAGGGGCACCCTCAACCACTGCCCCCGCAGGCCCCACGACAGAGAGAGAGCCGGCTTGATCCAGAGCGGCAACATCTTTGTCTACGAGGAGTCAACCTCGGGCATCAAGAGGTGGACCGACGGCGTCTCGTGGAGCCCCAGCAGAATCCACGGCAACTACCTAATCTACCGCGAGCTCCAGAGGCCTTGGCCACCCGGCGAAAAGAAACGCGCCAACAAGCCCAAGAACAAGAATGCGCGAGTCGAGCCCTATGGACGCGCCGGCCATCACTATGGTGAAGAAAGGGTTCAAGACGTCATTGATCGCAAGCTCACGGGATCTCTGGTAGATTCGTACGACTTCAAGCCCGGCGGGTTGGCAAAAAGGACTCTCAGCGTCACGGTCAATGGATGCACGCACCATCTGATTGCCTATCATTCTGCCGACAGTGTAAAGGATCTATTTCGCCCGGGGCATGATCCGCGCTTCGCAAACTGCCATCCAAGGAAAGAATTGCTTACCGAGCAGAAATTCAGGAGTAGGTGGCGCAACATCCTTGACAAGAACTTGAATTGACTGGTTTGCAGGTTCCATTGAAGATCCCGATGACATCGTCCCGTATACACAATACGCAACCGTGGATCTATCCATGGCCAACATGAGCTCCTACGGCCAACACTATTCGTCGGCTGTCCATGGTCTTTCCGCCGCTCTTTCGTCCGCATACCATACCGTTTCTCAATCACAACCGAGCATGTACACGTCCTCGTCCAGCAGCTTCTCTGGATACCCAGGAGTTACGACAAGTCCGGCAACCTCCCACAGTTCCTTTGGTAGCATTGGAAATCAGTTGCACATGCCCCAGGCCAGGGCATCAAGTGGCTTAGTCAGTCCTCTCAGTAATATGCACATCAACCAATCACCGGTGCACAACCAACACCAAGCGCGCCTTGCAAGCCACTCTTCGTATCGCACGGGCCATCTTCCGTCGGACATTCAAGTCTCAAACGACTATCAGCCATTTTCGCCCCCCACAAACTACACGACTGCTCCCATGGCGGCGTTCAACCAAAACTTTGGCTTCGACCGTCCCAGTCAGCAATACCATGGAAGCATAAGCGACGTCAACGACGACTCGCCGGTGCCACCACACCAGGTCTACGACCCAGCATCCAATCCTTTGCAAGGTCCGGAATCTTTCGCTTGTTACAGTGGTACACAACATATTCGCCATGATACCCTCGGTGCTTACGACGACAGGGCTCCGAACTACGCCAATCACTTCAGCTGAGCGTTTGCTTCATGACATTATATATCTAATATCCCCTCATACCCTCGGTTTCATGAGCAGCGATTCATTTTCATTTTCATTTTCATTTCGTTGTAGCATAAAGGTTGCCTGCTTGGCGTTGGAGGCTTGTTGCTTTCATCTATGCAAGATCAGCGGTTCGTTTATATCCAACATCAGGTTGCTTTCTCTACGTTCATCCATTTCAACATTTACATTCTCATACACATACACAACCTCATCATGTTTGCCCTCTATTTAAGAGGCCATGCCAAGCGCTCGGCACGTAAAGGCGTATCTGGAAATTGATCTGAAAAGATGCTCTCACCGCAGGCCGGGGGGAGGCGACGACTGGAGCCACTGATGCGCATGCTGTATCCTTTTTGCTCCATGCAGGAAGAGCTCTCCACATCCGTTTGGCCATATTTCGGATTCGCACCGCACACGCATTGCTGTTTCTTCGCATTTCGGAAACCGCGAGCAGAAGCAGGCTCGGATTTACAGATTGGTCCACTGTCAAGCGACTGCGGCATTATTCCTACAGGCGGCATTTGCTTTTCCTCATCAGCACGGCGGCAAAAGTGTGTTCTCTTTTCCATGGGGTCTCAAGACGGTATGGGCGGTAACGGGGGGATGAAAAGGAGGGCCAAGGGACGGTTTCGGGGATTTGGGCGGGGACTAGGCAGGAAACGGGTATATCGGTACTACGGTTGGAGGGGGGGATGGTGTTATTCATATCCCCACAGTGGGTGATGGTCGGTAGAGGCGAAAGCAGGTCAAGTCATGCCGAATTTAAATATTAGCCTACTTATAGGAGCATGTATGTATGCTTGCGGTACCTTTACAAAGCTCCCCACAGATTGCTTCGTAGGCGGATGTGGAGGCTGCGCTCGTGGGTTGGCGGGATTGACCACGAGGAGCGGCGGTACCGTTGGAGCGGTCCCCACCGATTGATTACTCTGGAGATGGTGGTTGGATGTGGTGGCAGGGATTAATTGCGGGCGGCGATCTCTCCCAATGGAAGCCATGCGCTACTGCTATGTATAATATTATGATTATGCTTCTTCCATCGCGCGCCGAGCCGCAGGCGGAGGATCTCGGCTAGTCACGGGACCTGCGGCGCAAGTAGGGGGTGGTAGGGGTTGACGAAGCGTCGGGACCGCACGTGTGCTAGCAGGCGAATTGAGTTTTGCAAGGCGAAGCTTGTGGTGGTTGGGTCGACAGGCAGAGTCGACGATCACGGCGACGCACGAGCCCGGCTTGACCTCATCGTCGTCTTCATCCACCTCAGCCCGCTTCCCTCCTGCCTTCTCTCCAAAAACAAATCCAACCCGCCATGCGATGATGATGGCAATGGCCCAGCACCACCACGCCGCGCGCCGCCTGCTGACGGGGCTGACGCAACCGTCGAGGAACACCTGCTGCGGCCGCCCTCGCGACGCGTCCACGTGGACCCGCCGCGCTCTCTCGACCTCTGCCTTCTCGTCACCGCTGCTGCTGCTGCGCACCACCACCGCCGCCGGGACCCGATGCCGTGCGCGGTGCTTGGGCTGCGACGCCATCCACCACCAGCTGACGGCCGCGTCGACGAGCACCAGGTAAGTGCGCCTGGAGCTCACTCCGTTCCGTCGCGCCATGATGGGCCTTTGGGTCTCGTGCGAGGGCTCATTTTTCCGCCCGGCGGGCAGGTTGTTTTGCTCGACTGCGAGGGCGTGCGGCGAGGTAAGTCTCCGGTTTCGTATTCCAGATCTTGTGGCGGCGGGCCAGCTCGATCGAAGGCTATCTCAATCGTCTCCCCCTCGCTGTACGACGAGGGTGCTCGAGGCGAGATGGCAGGCTAGTGCCGAGGCGCTGGCGCGCAGTGGCACACTTGGGCGCTGATTGGCCGCCTGCACTGCCATCTATATCCCGTCTCTAAACCACCCCTCCCCTCATCTCACTCATCACATTTCCGCGGCTTTTTGTGGTCGCACCAGGATGCGCAGGTGAGCTAACGAGTCATCGCAGCCACAGCCCAAGAAACCACTCCTAGAGAAGACCAAGGAATTACGCGGCAGGCTCAAGTCGTTGACGCCGCACGAACAGGTCTGGAACGTACCAAACGTGCTCACCTTTTCCCGCCTCGTCGCAGCGCCGGCAGTGGGCTACCTCATCCTGCAGGATCAGCACGCAGCCGCGTTTGGCCTCTTTGCTTACGCGGGGATCACCGACCTGGTAGACGGCTGGATAGCGCGCAGATGGAAGCTGCAGACTGTCGTGGGCAGCGTCGTCGACCCCATGGCGGACAAGCTGCTGATGGCCATTACGGTTGGCTGCTTGGCCGCCAAGGGCGCTTTGCCCGGTAAGTCCGGCCGTCACATGCCCGCATGCCCGCCTTCCCACCTTCCCCGCACATGCCCCGACCCGATCGCCCCCTCCAAGCCTCCGCCCGCCGGGCGGGGGGGCTGATCCGCCCCGCTCGCATCCGCATCCGCTCAATCCCGCCTCGCCTCGATCCCCCTCCCCCAACCACAGCCACCGGAGCTTTTTTTTTGTTTTGACATGCGACCAGGGCCCCTCGCCATCCTCATCTTCGGCCGCGACGCCTCGCTCGCCGTTGCCGCCATTTACTATCGCTATGCCTCGCTGCCCTTGCCCAAGACGCTTGCCCGCTACTGGGACTTTTCGCTCCCGTCGGCTGAGGTCCATCCTACGACCATCTCCAAGTGGAATACCTTCCTGCAGCTTGCTCTGATCGGCCTAACGCTGTCGTTCCCGCTACTCGCCATTGCCGCGGGTCCCGCTGATGTGGAGCAGCAACCCGCCATCACCACCACCACCACCTCCACCACCACTTCACGTCCAGCTCCTCCTGCCCCCGCGTCCAGCCACGACGACCCCGCAGCTGAGAAGCCGACCTACGCCTCCTTCCTGCATAGCCCGACCACGGATCCCCGCCTCAAGACCACGGTCAGCGGGCTGCAGCTGCTCGTCGGCGCTACGACGCTGTGGAGCGGCTTCAGCTACGCCGTGCTCAAGAACGCGGTCACGATTCTGGGGACGGATGAGCGGCTCAAGGCTCGCCAAGGCGCACGGGGCCGTGCTGTCGTTGGCGTGAGCTTCGCGCTTGTGTGCGCCGCGGCGGTGGGGTGGGGGCTGCGTGAGTGGGAGGGCGGGCAGAGGCGAGTGGCTGAGGAGGAGTGGCGGGGAAGGAATGGGGGCGGGAAGGGTGAGGGAAGCGGTTGATTGAGCTTGGTCAACAAGACAGGGAAAGAGAAACGAGATGAAAAGCCTTAAATAAGGCAAGGCGACGATTAGAGATGAGAAGAAGAAAAATAAGGCGGGATGAGAGCCTGCCTGGATAGGTTCTGTGCACCTGTTTTTCGGCATTCTGGCGTACACGCCTACATACATACAAGTACTTGCCCAGCATAAACAACAAAAATCACAGGTTCCTGAAACTGGACTGCAGAAACCGACAGTCCGCTTCATCGTACAGTTTGCCAAGTATACAGAATCAAACAAGCGACACAGCACACACATCAAATTCGTAGCTTCAATCATCCCTACAAGAAGAGATAAAACATAACAACAAAGCATGCACTCAAACCCACCCTAGCAACGCGACTAAGCGCACAACCAGTCCTGACAGCATACTCCCTATCTAGGCACAACCCTACATCCTGGATACGACTGAGAGTGCCTTACAGTGTATGTGGACTGCAGATCTCGCAGCATGGCGTTGCTTCTACATACGTATGCTGTATAAGTGCTGGTTTAATAGCGCGTTGGGTGGTGATTGGATGGGTGGTGATTGGGTGGGTGGTTACGTGGGTGTGTGCTCTATCTCTGTCTCTCTGCTTCGCTCTCTCTATCTATATATCTCTCTCTGCTTCGCTCTGCTTCGCTCTCCCTCCTCCAACCTAACCTCAGACAAGGAAGGACCAAAAACCAAAGAACAAAAACTGCAGAAGATACTGGTGTATGCCGGTGCGGCATAGCACAAACACTCCTCCATTCCTTCGTTCTTTCGTGAGGCCACAAAATGCTGCACTCGTTGCTCCTATGTACTCGATGAGGATAGTGCTGATGATGCCGAGCAGCTGCACCCAACAGTGCTGCGCATCACCATCATTTTAAACTGCTGCTGAATAGCATCCATGGATCTTATTCATCCAGGCGCAGGCGCAGGCAAGGAGTAGGGAATGCTGTTGTGTTGGTGTGTGTGTGTGTGTGTGTGATTGGCGCAACGCCCGATAGACATTATCCGTACGATAACCTTTTGCTGTTGGGGTTGCAGTGCGGCTGTGTTGCTGGGTTGTGCTGTGTGGTGTAGAGGGGGTTTTATACGCTGCTGACTGCAGCTGATGCCTGCTTGCGCTGCGGAGCTTGTGGGGTTGTAGTTGAGATTGATGGGGGTGTTCGCTTTGAGTGCTTGGTCGAAGTGCTGCATATGTTCTGTGTACAAGACAGAAATGCCTTTACGAGTCCAACCTAGCTGTTTCGTGTCTAATCCTGTTCCTATTCCTATTCTTATTCCTATTCCTATTCTTATTCCTATCCCTGTTCCTATTCCTATTCCTATTCCTAATCCTATTCCTATTCCTGTTCCTGTTCATATTCCTATTCCTGCTCCATTCCTACACCCCCATCCCAACGCGCCCAAGACGCAGAAGCAGAACCGCAAACCAACCCTGCCGCCACCGTCAACACCGCACCACTCCGCACCACTCCAACACCTCACCAAACTCCACAGTCCAAGCCGTGCCGTCACGTACCCACCCTCCCAAAACCCTGGTCAAGGGCTCGACATTGCTATAGTTAGCTACGCGAGCGGACGCAAGCTGCAGGAGCGAGAAGGAGAAGGAGAGGGAGAGGGAGACGGGTGCGTCTGAGTGGTGGTGAAGCCTGCCATCACCATGCAGCACAGCTCCCGCGCACCAGCGTTCCGCGGTGCCGCTCCAAAGCACCATCTCCACAGCACCACCACCCCTACACCCACAATCCCGCTCTAGCCAGCAGCGTAAGCACATGCCCACCCACCCAAACGTGAAATGTTGCTTGCTAGTCCACCCCCTGTATGTTGGTTGTGCATGGTATTCAAACCGATGCCGTGAAGATGACAAGGAAAACGAAAACGAAAACGAAAACGAAGATCGGTCCTGTACAATAAAATACATACACCTATACTCTAGCCTCTGCGCCGCTGTGCCGTGTCCTGTCCTGCCTGTACCGTGCAACCGCTTCTCTGTCTAGCTACACTCACTCACCCCACTCACACAACATATATATAAATATGTATGCCGCGCTCACTCAAGGTCCGCTCTCGAAACCAATCCACACCACCAAAGAAAAAACGCCTATACGCAACGACCAACAACCAACGACCAACAAACCCCTCTCCTACCTCACCTCACCTCACCTCACCTCACCTCGCCTCATTTGGCCTCGCCTCATTTCGCCTCACCCTCTCCCTCCCCATCTCCCTCCCCCTCCCCCTCACTCCCGCTCCCCCCCTCAATAACCCCTCTCAAACTATGCAAGCTGCCCGCGCTCCTCCGTCTCCCACGGCCCCTCTCCTCCTCCCCCCCGACGATCTCCCCACTCCCCCGCCTAACATCCACAGTCCTCCCCCTTCCCTCATGCACAACTCCGACATTGACGCCCGGCCCCACCCCCAAAACTGCCGCCCCGCTCACGCTGCGCAGCCGGCCCTTTCCCCCGCCTTGCGCTTGCATCTGCGACGCCGCAGCCGCAGCCGCCGCCGCCCCCCTCAATGCCTCAGCAGCCGCGCTGCGCCGGCGCTGCTCGCCCCCGAGCACCGAGTTCGCGTGCCCGTCCCGAGGACCCGCGATGCCGGTGCCCGAGCCGCCCGCCCCGCCAGCGCCGCCAAACCCTACGCTCAGGCCGCTGTTCAACCAGCCCCCGAACCCGGACGCGCTGTCACGGGTGCCGCGGCGGGGTCGTCCGCCAGCCACACCAACGGCACCACCACCACCACCGCCGCCGCCAACAGCAGAGGCCGGGGTGCCGGGCGCGCTTGCCTCGGCCGCGCGCATCACGCCCCCCGGGCTGCCGATGATGCTGCTGCTGCTGCCTGCCACGCCGGCCAGCGAGCGCATCTCGACGCCCCGGCGCAGCGAGTCGGCCACGACGCCGCTCAGGCTCGCGCTCAGCGGGCTGGTCAGCGGCCCCGGCAGCAGTGAATGCGAGATGCTGCCGCGCTTCGACGACGAGATGCTCGCGCGCTTGCTGCCGCGGCCCGGCGTCGTGGGCGGCACGTGATGGTGCGGCCCGAACGGCGGCTGCGAGTGCGTGATGCTGTGGTGCTGGCTGTGGTGGTAGCCGTGGCGCTGCTTCGTCGACGGCGGCGTGGCCGGCCGCGGCGTCCCCGCTGCCGACGGTGAGACCGCCGCGTCCGTCCGCCCCGACGGCGCCGCTGCTGCCGTCTGCGCCCGCGGCGTGTATGGCCGCTCCGCGAGCTGCTGCGCTACGGCCTGTGCTTCGAGCTGCACGCGATCCAGACCCAGAATCTGCGCTTCGGACGGCAGGATCGGGGCCGAGGCTGTGGTGTGCAGCAGCGGCGGATGATGTGACATAGATTCCTCTTCCTCCTCGTCGGCCTCGGCTAGGCTCTCCGCCGCCCACGGGTTCGCCGTTAATGATGTTGATAGTGATACTTCCTCCGCAGCAGCGGGCGTCGTTGTCGCCGTCACGGCCTGCGACGGCGGGTCTGAATTCAGCGTGATGGCCGGCGTGGGCAAGTGTACCAACGTCGGGCGGCGGTGGTGCTCCGCCGGATACGACGCCGTCAGCGCGGCCATGGAGGGCGACACCCGGCGGCTCGTGGTGCGCGCGGGCTCGTCGTCCGAGTACTGCTCGCCCGCTTCCAGGTGGATCGAGTGCTCCGTCTCGGGTGCGCGCTCGTCGTTGTCGTCCTCGTCGTCGCGCGGCCGCCCCGACGTGATGAACCACACTCCCAAGAACGTCATGGCACAACCGCCGACGAACTTGCCCGTGTCGCGCCCAGTCGTGTGCTCGAAGTCGCGGTAGAGAATGGCCGAGCCGAGAATGACGGATAGGGTAAACAGGACAAACTGGGTAGGAATGACCTGCGTGGCATCGAAGCGCATCAGCGCGCGGTTGAGGTATTTGATCTGCATAATGGCCGTGACGACGAGGACGCTGATCATGAAATAGGTGACCGGAAAGGCGAGGGCGTGCAAGAGGGTGTAGGACAGCATCGAGGCCACGCCCTTAGTGGATAAGGCCGTGTAGCCGCCAAACAGGCCGACGAGGCCCAGGTCGATGAAAATGCTCTTCTTGCCGTACTCCTTGCTGGCCCACATGAGGAAGGCCATGGTAACCAGGGTGATGCCGGCATACGTCTCAAACTCCCAACGCGTAAACAGGTCCCACAGCTCGTGGGGGCCAAGCTTGGGGTTATTGTCGGGGGCGCCGAGGACGACGGTGACGGCGCCAGCAACGGCGACCAGCACGCCGAGCAGGTCGCGCTTGCGGAAAGGCTCCTTGAGCAAGATGGGGGCGATGATGCAGTTGGAGATGAGGGCGACGACGCCCAGCGGGCTGACGATGGACGCGGGCGCGAAGCCGTAGGCCAGAAAGTTGCCTGCCTCGCCCACCATCATTAGTACGATGCCCAACCACCACCACCATGACCGCAGGTAGCTCTTCTGCTTCGCCACGAAGCTCTGCCCGCCAGCCGCGGCGTTGACCGCCTCCTCGTCATAGTCGCACTCCGACTCCTCGTCTATGCTGCGCCGCACCGACGCCAACAGCGGCGCCGATTCATCCTCCTCATCCGCGTATGCCCTCGCGCTCTTTCTCCTCCCCTTCATTTGTGCCCTCCGCGCCTGCGCCTTCTCCTCAGCCTCGCGGCCCAGCCGCAAATGCGCATAGCGCTGTGTGTTGAGCGCGAACGAAATAAGTATGTTGCCCACGATGGCCGTGATGATGCCGATCAGACTGGACCAGTCCTCGTCCTCGTCAGGGCCAGGCCCCGCGCCGCCATCTGTCCCGTTGCGCAGCGGCGCCGTCGCGTTGAGGAGCGACGGGAATGTGGGGTTGAAGGCGTGCTGTGGTGCTGAGAAGCTCATCGTGTCGAGTGTGCTGCGCCGCGACCGGGGCAGGCGTGTATGCTCCCTTTTCTCTGTGCAGTGGTGGTGTCTCCCGTCTCGTATGTGATATATTGCGCGCTTCGGCCTCGGGGATTGCGTCGTCGGATCAGCAAGCGGAGGATCTTTTCAGCGGGAGCATGGGATGCGCGCGACGGTGACGCTGTCCATAACCTGTAAGTGTGTGCGTGTGCGAGAGGGTGGAAGTGCGAAAATGCGCGTGCGAAGAGGGGGAGTAGTGGGAGTGGGAGAGAGAGTAGGCGGGCTGGGGGTTTGCTTGACAGGGTTGTGGCCTGCAGCATGATCTCCGTCGTCGTCGCGAACGAGCCAACTTTTTGCGCCAACGCTGCCGCTCACCCGCCCCGTCATCGTGCAGTTGTGGCTGTTTCTCACGCCTGCTTCTTCTCTATCTAGCTATGTATACATGTATGCGACTCCTCAAAACGCTTGCTCGTTATTTTTATCTATCTTTGGGTATCATCACTTTTTTGCACTCGCCTTTTGCGGCGCCATCACGCTATCCATCTATTTGTATCAATCCTCCCCGCCGTAATCTCCCACCCGCCACTATCGCCTCACTTTTTTCTTGTCTGGCCCCTCTTCTTCGTCGCTTATATCTGCGTAGATTGTTTTGGGTTGAGTCTCCTTCCACGCGTTGGTGAAGATCGGATCCTTCTCTGCCTTCTCGGCGTACTTGAGCAGCGCCTCTCTCGGGTCCTCCGCGCGCATCGAAGACAGCGGAATGTTCTTCCGGATGTGTTCCTCGTCTGGCTGGCTCTTTGCAAAGGGTGTCTTCGCCGGGACGTGAGGACGGCGGGGGTCGCGTGATCTACCCGATGCCGTGAGGCCCACGTTCGGGTGCCGGGCCGCGAAAGTCGTTGCTGACTGTGCGCCCGGCGTGACAATGCTGTCGGCCGAGATGCCTGCCGACAGGTCCATGGTGAGGTTCGGGTCGTCGTCGATATGCCGCACCTTGGCGGCCTTGCTCATGACGAGCATAGCGCCCTGCTTCTCGCTCGACAGCTTCGGATGGTACAGCATGTGGGTTTCGGCATTGGCGGAACCGGTGACGATCTGGTTCAGCTTCTCGTGCCAAAGAACCGTAATGAGAGGCGAGCCCGGGGTGACCGGCGTGACGAGCTCTGGTCTGAGGGTCGCCGGGTTGAGGATGTGCAGATGGCCAGTCTCCGACCCCGTGATGACGTTGGCTGAGCTCGGGGAGAAGCGGATGTTGGTTGTGGGGAAGAATGACGACGTCGACGGATGAGAGACGGTGTTGACTGGTTTCTTGAAGTTACGCGTGTCCCATAGCTTGATTGTGTCGTCGCCGCCTCTAGTGACCACCAGTCTGCCGTCGCGGCTGATGTCCAGCCCGCTCGTCCAGGTGTTCGGAGTATGCGCATCCCTGATTTCCGCAGCAGGGCGCGTATATGGACCTTCACCGCCCCACATAGCGATACTGCCATCCAGAGCTGCGCCAACCAAAAAGTTGTTGGCGCCCTCTGCCTGCGATGCCCACGCCACGGCCGTCATGCGCGTGCGGCCTGCCGAGCCAGCGGCACGAGACTTGTGCACAATGACATCCTTCTGCGCGCGCTTGTTGTTGACATCCCATATACGCAGCGTGCTGTCCGTTCCCGCCGTGACACAGAGATCGCGGTTCGTCGGGTGCCACGTCCCCGTCGTAACCTCCGAGACATGTCCTTTGGTGTTGTTCATATCCCTCAGGTACATATCGCCCTTGACAAACTCGACGAGCATCTCTCCGTCGCGGTCGAAGACCTTGGCTTGCGGCAGGGCGGATATGACGAGCATTTGGCTGGGTGAATGCGGATTGAACAGCACCTGATGCACCGGGTGCGCCTCGACATTGGTGGAGCCCTTGGTCGCCGAGGGGTCGATGGACTTGAAGGCGCGGATCGTCGTCGGCGTCATGCCGCTGAAGCTGTGAAATTTGAGGGTACAGTCATTGGAGCCGGTCACCAAGCGGGATCCAGAGGCGTCGAGAGTCACAGAGGTGACGGCCTTGTCGTGCGTCTTCATGACCATCTCATGCGAGACGGGAAACTCGTCCTCGTCCTCATCGTCGTCGTCGTCGTCATCGTCGTCGTCGTCGTCGCTATCGTCGTCATCGTCGTCCGAGGCTGGAGCGCTCCGATCTGAGCCGGCTGAAGGGTTGCGCTCGAGCTGCGGCGCGTCGGCGACGACCTGGCGCTTGGATTGTTCGATGTTCGCATTGGCGTCGATGGTCTTGCCCTTCTTGCCAAACGAGGTGGTGCCCAGGAAAGCCTGCAGGGCGGCATCGTCGGGAAAATCGTCACCGTCCATCTTGGGAGTTCTGGTGTGGTGGTTGACGTCGGGATGCCTACTTCAACACCATGACATATCGCGTCTTGGCGCTCCGGGTAGCTTTTGACCGGACTCCAGGACCCCACAGAGCGCGATTCTCCTACCCACCCTGCCACCCATCACCATGCCTTGCCTTGTCACTCACCATCTTCGCTGCCAACCCGTGTCGTAATCGCCATGTCGCAAGGGATGTGTGGCTGCTCCCGACCTGGGCGTCTGGGCCCAGTTTTCTTACTCTCCACAGAACCTTCAACCATCCGGGGGCAGCCGCTCTCTGCGACAGCACATCATTATCTTTTTTCATCGCGCAACAACCTATCAAAAGGCGCGTTTGCAATGTGAGAATAAGATGCTGAGCCTACGTTGGCTAGTGTTTGTCAGCGCGATGCCTAGCGTGCCGCTTGATAATCTTCTTTTTGTCCACAAATTCGTCCGCCCAACCGTGCCGACGCCATCTGGCACGCCAGGAGGACCTTATCAGCCGTAACTCCTAACACCATGCTACCATGTTCTCATTGTCTTACTTTCTATTCGTTTCCCTTGTCCACCGCCCCTTTGTTGGCGATTCTTGGCAGATTACATATGTTGCTATTGATACTTTGGAGATGGATGCTGACAGTCGCAGAAGGAAAGAAGGCTGGCGGAGTTTAGCAAGCTGATTTCCAACCTCCGAATGAATCATAGAGGTCTCGACGTAGTTTATATTTATTTGTCGTTTCCCCGCTTCCATCTTCATCTCAAATCTTTCTTCAGTGATAAGTTTCCCAAGCCGGCCCTTATCTGGCTCTGGCACATTTCTATCCGTTGCTGTTTTTCGCGATTCAAACCGTACATAGGGCGCCATGTCAGACCTAATCAGAGATGCGCCCCTTGGGCAATTGATTCGCCTCGTCACACGGAACCGCTATCTCAAATATCCAGAAGAGAGACCCGACTTCCAATGTCCGGATTGCTACAGCCATCCCGACAAAAGACTCGACTCCGCAATAACGGATGCATTTTCGCCGGAGGTTGAGCCCACCCAAGAAGAAGTCGAGAAACCTGAAGAGGCAGAGGATCCTGAAAAGCAGCGCTCCGACTCTTCGGATGATGACACCGTCGACCTCGAAAAATCAAGGACAACCGACACGACAAGAAGCCAGCGAGCCAACCTACGCAGAGCGAGGACTGCGAGCTCTAACAGGTCCGCACAAACTCAGCTCGAACATGTTATCACCGGCACTGCAGCTCAAAGGATCATCACCTACGCGGATCTCGAACGACAATTTAGCATTGCTTCTCTCGAAAAAGGGCCTAGCAGGCCTATCGAGCCAACACACTTGGACGATGGCACGATACTTGTCGACTGGTATCTTACCGATGATCAAGAGAACCCGCAAAACTGGTCCGCCAAAAAGAAAGCATTTGTGGCGCTGCAGATTTGGTAAGCCCCTCCCACTCCCCACCGGCACCTACAGTCAAAATGATTACAACCTTTAAGCTGGAAATCAGACTAATGACATTCAGTCTCTACACGCTCGCCGTATACATGGGCTCCGCAATCTACACTCCCAGTGAATTAGGCGTGATGCGGGCATTCAACGTCACCCTGCAAGACGCCTTCCTCGGGCTCTCGATGTATGTACTCGCCTACGGCATCGGGCCGCTGCTCTGGTCGCCCCTCAGCGAGATCCCCTCCATCGGCCGCAACCCGCCGTATTTGATAACGTTCGGCATCTTCGTCGTGCTGATTGTGCCCACGGCACTGGCACCCAACTTCGACACCCTGATCGCGATGCGCTTCCTGCTAGGTTGGTTCGGATCGCCATGCCTAGCCACCGGTGGTGCCTCCCTCGGCGACATGTACTCCCTCATACATCTGCCGTACGTGCTATGTATGTGGGCGCTGGCTGCAACGTCGGGCCCGGCGCTCGGCCCACTGATCTCGGGCTTCAGCGTTGCGGCGAAGAACTGGCGCTGGTCGCAGTGGGAGATGCTCTGGCTGGCGGGACCCATCTGGATCCTGCTGTTCCTTTGTCTTCCCGAGACGAACCCCTCGACAGTCTTGTTGAGGCGTGCTGCGCGTCTGCGGAAGGCGACGGGTAATAAGAACCTGAAGTCTCAGAGCGAGATCGATCAGGCGCATTTGTCGCCCAGAGAGATTATCGTGGATGCGCTTTGGAGGCCGCTGCAGCTTATACTCCAGGACCCGAGTATCGCGTTCACGGCACTGTACATCGCACTTGTATACGCCATCTTGTAAGTACCAAGAACCAGAACACGACTTGACGACAAGACTAACCACGAACCACACAGCTACACGTTCTTCGAATCCTTCCCCCTAGTCTACGAACGCATGTACGGCTTCAACGTCGGGCAAATGGGCATCTCCTTCCTCTCCATCACCGTCGGCGTCATCATCGCCATTTCCTCCTACTGGTCCTACCTCTACTTCTACGCAACCCCCCGCCTCCTAACCAAGGGCTTGGGGCTCCCAGAACAGCGCCTCCTCCCCGCACTGCTCGCTTGCGTCCTCTGCCCCATCGGGCTCTTCATGTTCGCCTGGCTCGCGCGCCCCAGCATCCACTGGATCGCGCCCACGATCGGCGTCGGGATCTTCACCATCGGCGTCTTCCTCGTCATCCAGTGCATCTTCTTGTATCTCCCGCTCAGCTACCCCCAGTATGCGGCGAGTCTGTTTGCAGGGAACGATTTTGCGCGCAGCACGCTTGCGGCTGGCGCGGTTCATTTTGCGACGCCGATGTTTGATGGCTTGGGCGTTGATGGTGGCGTTAGTTTGCTGGCGGGCTTGACGCTGGTTTGTTGTGTTGGTGTGTGGGCGCTCTGGTGGTGGGGCCCGCAGTTGAGGGCTAGGAGCCGGTTTGCGGCGAAGTAGGCGGGATGAGAGTTGGGAGGTGGGGCTTGTGCTTGGGCTGTGGTGTTGGGTTGGTATAGAGAGTGCTTGGTTCCTCGCTTTTTATCCTTGGATAAGGATTGGCGGAGTTATGGGGCTGGAAGGGCGGAGATGGGATTTTGATACCTAGTAATGATCTATGATAATAAAGCGGGTTGGTTGCTTCTCTGAAAACCGTCACCTCAATGCCCATGTCATGACATGATATATGTTTAAGCTGGCCAGTAAATTTCAACTCTTGAAAAGTCGTTCATCACTATGCCGGGTAAGGTTTTCCAATGTACTAGATATTACCTATCATCATATTTTACTACTGTACCCGGGGGTTCCGGGCTAAGCCTTAGCCTTATACCCGCGAATATCTTGCGTAGTATCAACAATATTCGTGGATACTTATGAATAGAGTGCTGCCGTGGTTATAAGAGCTGTGTATCTAGTTGTTTATTCTTATTTTTGGTAGCTGCAATGCGTTCCGGAGCTCTATGTAAACGGTTTTCTACGTGACCCTCCAAAGTAGTCTTAGAGGTGCAATTTCAGAGTACTACAAGATATATACCTCAGTCTTTATAACGATAAAACTTCTAAGCTCCTTACAGCATGGAGTGTTGATGATAGCATGAAATATATTAAAATTATATATTCTCGAATCTTCTTCTAGGTTCTAGAGCCTCGTACCTGCGAGAAGGGATTATCTCTCTATCTCTGGATAATATTTCTACTATTTTAGCAATTCTATTTACCCCTTAGCTATATATAAAGAAAAATCTCCTCTACCTATAAAGTACTCTCTAGGTACTCGATACTATCCGATAGTAAGAGCTTACCTTTCCTCTAGTATCGGATAATTTCGCCACCTTTTTAGCCATAATATTTGCTCTCTAATTAGCTACGATGCAAAGCTTATTATATTTATAAAGTACTTCTTAAGTAGCTATAATAAGTAATAACGCTACGGTCAGTAGTTACTCGATAGGCATAATAGAAAGATACTACAATATAGTAGAAGAGATAGTTAGGCTAGCGCTTGAGCTCTTTCTATATCTATACGTACTTCTATTAGTACTCTCTACAGATATTCTTATTCGGCTACACTTATATCTACCGGTACACTCTATAAACATATTATTTTATCTATATACAGCTTCGATAACACGCTCGATAAACTCTACTTCTATCTATATACTACTCTACCTATCCCCCCTTACGAGATCCTCGACCATGTACATGCAAAACTATAAATAGTATCTATATAGTCTGTCTCCGTCTATATATAACGCTGTTAATCCTTCCTATATACTCCTTTCCCATCACGCTACAACTTACTTCAAACTCTATACAGAAGCTCTTCTCCGTCTACACATACCGCAGCCAATACCTTCTAGTATAATACTTCCAATCTCTACGCTCTTCTACCGGTACCCCTATAGATACATACCTCCATCCCCATAGAAACCCTTAACTCTCTACACAAAATCCTTTTCCTATCCATACATATTTCTCCCGCTACCCTTTAGGGTCTCGGAATTCCTTAGTATCTTTCACTGTTAACGTTGTCGAACTAACACAGCCGGGAATTTTTCTTGTGAGCTCACAAAAGCGTAACGATAAGATGTTTTTTGTGAGGTGACTAAAGTGTACATAGAAAACATTTTTGTGAGGCAACAAAAGTGTAGTGTAGATGGAGACAAATTTGTGAGGCGACAAAAGTGTAGAGCGGATGGGGACAGATTTGTGAGGCAACAAAAGTGCAGAGCGGGTGGGCGACAGTTTTATAAGGCAACAAAAGTGCAACTGTGCAAGCGGGCAGGCGACAAAAGTGCGAGCGGGTAGGCGACAGTTTTCTAAAGTGACAAAAATGCAGATCAAAAGTACACATACTACTTCCCAAGCTTTAAGAACATGGGGTCTAAAGTTGTTGCTGGCTAGTGCAATGAGTGATGCTTGAAATTTGAAGGCGTTGTTGCCTTCAACATAGCGGTCGACGGAATGTTGGTTATGCAGCATGTATGCATATACCTCATGACGCTGCCCGATCCTGTAGACTCGTCCTATCAACTGCTGGGTCATGGCCTCTGTCTTCGTGGAGTCCATCAGGACTATGACATGACAAGCACCCTGGATATTATGCCCCAACTGCAATAGGGCGTTGGTAGAGATTAGGAGATCATACTTGTCGAGCGTAGGATCGTTAAATTCAGAGAAAATAACTGCCCTTGCCTCATCAGACTGAGAGGCTTTCAGGCTGGCAATTCGCATTCCTGCCAGTATACAAAAATCTTCAACCACCCATTGGTATGCCGGGTACTCCATCGATATAAGGACCTTTTCTCTACGTTGGACCACGTGAAAGTCCAGAATGCCGGCGAGTGCTTTCAACTTCGTGGACCGGTTGGTCATATATTCTAGTTGTTTCAGAAGATTGGCACCCATGGCGTCCGCCGGGAGCCAGTCGTCAACCACAATCCTATCCATCAAGAACCTGATGCCATGGTCCTCTTGCTCGAGGTCTTTCAACATTGTCTGTAACTTTTGCTCCGAAGTACCAGGGGGGAGAGCGTGGTTGAGCGACTCGAGACCAGAGAAATCGTTTGCCAGCATAAGCCGGCGCAATACCGCAGAGTTCATCTTCACCTGCTGATCGACCGAGCCCTCGGCCTGGGCCGCACATTTGAAAAGCTGCGGGACCCATACCCTGCAGATGTGTGAGTAGAACTCACGGGTCAGTCCGTCTGAGTCCATCTCGAGCGTGAAAGCTCGGTACAGAGTAATGTGTTCCGCAACAGAGTAGTCTCCACCGTATTGACGCTGTCTCTTGGTGACTGTAGTGACAGTTCTGCGCACTTGGGATAGGCGCAACATCAGTACCAGAGCTTTGTCGGCGGCGTTGGTTGAAATAACATCCTTCTTGAGTAACAGCTCGAAGCTGTCGTGGTCGAGGAGCCGTTCGTCCCTTGCGTCGTAGGAGCGGTACACGGTTTGGAGGAGCTCCAACCCCGTCTCACAGTCCAGTCGGGTATTCATTCCCTTTGTTGACTGGACAAGCTTACAGTAAGCCGGCATATCCACCGGGCGTTTCGCTATCGGTGTTGCTGTTATGGCGATGTGATTCTTTGCTCTAAAGCTTTCGATCGGCTTAAGTGTGGACTTGGACTTATTTTTCACCATGTGCGCCTCATCTAGGAACACGTAGTCAAATTAGTTTTCGAGAACAGACTGAAAGATGTCGTCATCTTCTGCATTGCCGGCACTGTTCCACGAGAGCATTTTCGTAAGGAGAACTCCCCTCTGGATTGTTAGCAGTTTTGTTGCCTCACAAAATTTACATTGTAGAAAAATTTACTTCTGTCGGATAGTTTGCCTACATCACAACTACATATAAAGCATAGTCTACTATACCTACCGAGTACTCCTCGGGTAACTACAACAACCTACACCGCTACATGTAGTAGTAGCTATGTAGATATACAAAGGTAAAAAGATACAAGGGATAAAAACATTTAACAAGACACTGAGATATAGATATATAAGGGTACTAGAGTATCCCACGAGGGCATGAGAATAAGAGGGATATGATAGTATAAAACCGCTTATAACTTTACAAGGACATAAAACATTCAAGGGTACAGAGTAAGTTATATACATTTGAAGGTGTGCTTCGGTACGCCGCGTAGCAACTGTCCGATCAGGCCAATATTACTTAGTATATGGCGTCTTAACAGCCGTCATAGAGAGACAGGGACGAATGATCATATTATACCTATACACTTTTCTATGCCTGCGCCATCGCAATATGACAAAGTATGCTATCACATGGGGTGGATAACTTATAAAACATCCGAGGCGATTCGATTCTACACCATTAAATCGCAGCACCGATCCAAGACAAAAGAACACACATAGCCACCTGTATGTCACAGGGGGTGTGGCTCGCGACCTATACACTAGGGATATCATTCTAATTACGTCTGCAAGTGATTGAATCAGAGCAAGTAGCTTGCTTCTTCTATCTTATGATGATGATCATCACTGTTCCATGGAACTAACTTTCGTCACGTCTCTCTGCTGATGTTGTTTGTTGTTTCTCATGACCCCTAGTACGAAGGAATTGTTCTGGTGATGACCATAACTGCTTCGTAGAGCTAACCATTATCACGTCTCCCCATTGACATTGTTCTTCATAGCGTTGAGTATAAACAAACAGTTAAAGTCGAAGCGGAATGCTTGCTGAGAAAGAAGCGGAGCGTATTCATCACTGGTGGGATAGCCGAAAGATGTATTGTTTCCACGCAGTAATTGCCATATTTGCTATCGTTGTAGTCATGAGTGCACCCATGTAGAATTGTTAAGAGTATTTCTCTTCATTCAGGTATAGAAGGTATATCGCTTTGTGAAAAGGGGCCGTAACTTCGCGGCCTTGAGTAGACGGTACTGAAGAACGCGCACGCACCCACAACCCCGGGAAAAATGCAATCGGATTTATGAGTAGCCGCAGATATATCAGCTCAGCACCATACCATTCATTTCCAGTAAACAGTGCTGAATGCGCCAAAACACGTCAGTGTAGCTTCCTAGTGCAGAGAAACTTTTGGCAGTGAAGACGTAAAAACAGCACCATACAGCCACGCAAACCAGGATCCTACGAGAAAAGAAGCTGCTTTCACTGCTTACATACGGAAACCCGAACTGGTAGGGCAAAAAGTGTCAGGCAGCGACAGGACGCCGACAACAATAAAAGCACAAAGCCTCCCCCACCCAACCAATCCTCCACCATCTCGCAACCAAGTCTCCAAAGACTGCTGTCGAGCCATGATGATTATACGCAACTTCTTAAGCTTCCCAGCGGAAGCCGGCTGCGGGCCCAAGAAACCCCAACCGAGGCGCTACTACAACGCATGCAATCGCATCCGCCGAGGCGCTCCCACCGCAACCAACGCGATGATGCCGAGTACCAGCGAGAAACAACGATGAAGACCAGTATTAGGGTAGCGTGGTGGTGATCGGCATCACGGGAGGGAGGGTTCGGGGACGCGTGGGAGTCGCAAACAGTGAACTGCGCACGGCGGAAGAAGCGCCGTTTCGGGCCCTCCTCTCGGTCTCTGGCTCTACAATTAGCTGAAGTAGCTTCTTCTGCTGCCAGACCACTTTCGAGCTGCTGTGCGAGCTGTCGATAGGGTAGAGTAGTGTTGATGGGCTGGCTCCTTTTATGTGCCGTTGAGCGGTGCCGGGGCTTTTCGGTCTCGTCATTCGCTTTCTGTGAAAGACTAGGCGTAGGCGGAAGTTGCTGGTACCTGCCTATGCAGGCGCCGCAGGTGGCTGTGAAGTGTGACGTTTGGTGAAAGAAGACGCTTGTTTGCTTGCGCGCGTGCGTGCGTGCGTCAGAAAGTCGCCCTTCACACAACACCCGATCACCGCACCACCCCCCCCTCCCTCCCCTATAAAAACCGCCCCCCTACCCACAAACCTCCAAACCTCATTCCACGACATCCAGTTCCTCAAGGACAGGATAGTCGTGGACGACTGGTTGCCATGGGTGCCAACCCCCTAAAGCAGCTAGAATATATGACCAACCGGTCCACTAAGTTGGAGGCCCAGTACCTGTCTAACCGCTCGACCGTGCCTAACAACAACCACAACAACCACAACACAGCCCCCACAGCAACGACAATAATGATGACCGCCAGCAGCAAACAACGCCGCCAGCCACCATCCCCAGGTGGTGATGGTGATCAGCGGCAGCACGCGACGCTGCTGATGACCTTCAGCATGAGGCGGCGAGGGCGATGGCGAGGGCGATGGCAATGGCGGTTTGTTCGTTGCTAGGGAGCAGGCAAAACCCCGTCTGGAAGATTGTGGGTACGTTGATTGTGACCGGTTGCTGCGCGGAGGCTATTTGCTGGGCTGGGTCGGAAGATGTAGGTGGGATGGTGGGTTTTTATGTGAGTGTCTGGGTTTCTGTCGGCGCGTTTGGTGGGTGGTGCGTGGTCTTGTGCTCGTCTTTGTTTGTCTAGGATGTGTATGTCTATATGCTGCCTGGACCTCACACGCCCTCCCCAAACGGATAGTTAAACTTCAACAGCCCATTCAAGCCGCCGACCCAATGGTCCTCGCCGCGCTCCGCGCCCATAGTGCCCCTCACGACACTGGGCACGCCGCCCAAACACTCCCCTTCACCCAACAACCCCACGTCCTCGCCCTGGACGCGCACTTCCCAGCCACGCGGCAGCCCGCCTTCGCCCTCTCCACAGCCTGCCCCTTCGCCCCCGCTAATGCGCACGCCGTCCACGCTCACGTCCACGCCTTTGCTGCGGTTCTGCTCGCTCACGCGCAGCCGCACCTCGGCTGCCGCGGGCAGCACCAGCGGCCGGAACGACAGGCTGCGCGGGCAGATGGGCGTGAGTAGCAGCGCCGGGACGAGCGGGTGCACGATGCTGCCGCCCGCGGAGAGCGAGTACGCCGTGCTTCCTGTCGGGGAGGCGATGATCAGGCCGTCTGCGATCGCGTCCGTCAGGTGCCGCCCGTTGACCGTGATGCTGATGTTGGTGAGGTGGGGCGCGCTGCCGCGGTGGAGGATCACTTCGTTGAGAGCGTAGAGCGGGGTGCGGAGGGGGGAGCTGAGGGAGGGGCTTGCGGTGTCTAGGGCTGTGGGCGTGGATGTGGATGAAGAGGGCGGGTGGACCGAGACTTTGAGCCGCTGCCGTAGCAGGATGCGCGCTTGGCGGTTTGCGCCCATGAATTTGCCGCGATCCATGGCCCAGGGATCGTCGTCGTGCTGCGGAGACGGTGCAGCTACCGCACCACCGCCACCACCACCATTAACGGCCGCGCGGTCCATCCGCTGCTCCAACGACGCCCCGCTCATGTACACCTCCCTGAACGCGCGCTTATACTCGGCGAACTTCCACTCGCCCAAGAACCCCAGCGTGCCCATGCTAAACGCCAGTATAGGCGGGACGCGGCGCGCGGCAGCAAACAAGCTCGCGGCATGCAAGATCGTCCCGTCGCCGCCGAGCGTGGCGATCAGGTCGACGTGCTCGGTCAGCACGCTTGCCTGGTCGGCGTGCTGGGGCGGGAGGGCGTAGACGGGGGCGGGCAGCGAGGCGTGCACAGCGCGCGCGACGGCGGGCTCGAGCAGGATGCGCACGCCCGGGTACGACGTCTGGATGTGCTGGGCAAGCTCGACCAGCGCGGCCGTCACGTGCGGCGTGTCTTCTTTCTTCATGACGAGGATGGTGCGCGGCGGTGCAGGCCATTGTAGCGCGAGCAGGTCGTTGCGCCGGTTCGCTGGGCGGGCGTCAGCGACGGCTGTTGGCTGCTGCGGGCAGGTTCTGGCTCTTTATGTGCGTTGTGCTTGTTTGTGAGAGGGTTGTTGCTCACCTTGGTAGTTGGGCGGCGTGCGCGGTGGGAGCGCGTTTGGCTGCGGTAGCTGCACGACATCGCGGCGGCGCGCGGTCGACGAGAAGAGCCTCGAGGCCGTGAGTGGACGGGCGCGCAGGAGAAGAGTGAGGCGAGCCATGGGGGCGGAATGTTATTCTGCTTCTGGTAAAGTCATGGATGGCCCATCATGGTGGTCAGCTGTACGTGTGGTAGGTATGCAGTGCGGGTGTTGATGTCAGGCCTCGGGACAAGCTAGAGTAGGCGCGGTAGGTATTGTTGTGGCGCATGTGCGAGGTGTTATGGACATGGTCAGACCTACAGCAGAGGGCAGTTTTCGACCAGGCGGCAGTCAAATCAAGTTAGTTAGAATAACAAATAACCGTAGAGACTACACGAGAAGCATCGCGGGTGTGCTGTGGGTGTGCTGCGCGCCTCGGGAGCATGGGCCAGGCCAGCCAGCATGCGGCTCGAACAGCTGCCTTCTTCTCTCTTTCTCTCTTTCTTTGGCGACCTCTCGTCGTTCAACCACTCTTCTCCCACTATCTTTTTCTAGCTCGCGGGGCATGTCTGGCTGCACGGGCGCCGTCTGCTATTCTTTTTGATTCATCATCCCACCACGCCATCCTTCTCTCACCGACTCGAGCCCGACACCTCCGCCGCCGCTCCGCACTCCATCCGCCCTCCCCCGAACAACCACGCACGACGACGACGCACACGACCACAACATGGATACCGCCGGCCTCAAACAGCGACACACGCCGGGCGAGCCGCAGCAGGTGCCGCCCGAGCCTGCCATCAGGCAACATCCTGCCGGCCCGGCCAAGCACGGCGGCGCCAAGCAGGCGCTGCGCATGTTCCTGTTCGGCCTCTACTTCTTCGGCAGCTGCATATGGTGAGTAGCCTGAACCTGGGCTAAGTAGTCGCGTGTGGAAGCAGGTGTGTAATCGGTCTCAGCATCAATCTCTCGCAGTTCCTGGGCGCGCCGCTCTACCTCATCGACAAGGACTGGTACTATGCCTGGATGGCTGTGACCAAGCAACACTTTGGCCTACTTATCACCACCATGACGCAGTGGTGGAGCCCCACGGTCGTGCGCATCAGCGGCGACGAGAGCGTGCGCGGCCAGCTGCGCCAGATGCCCGATGGCCGCGTCGAGTGCGACTTCCCCGAGCGCCTCATCCTCATCGCAAACCACCAGGTGCGCGCACACATACACACGGAAGGAAGCGGGGGTAGCTGACGCGGCGCAGATCTACACCGACTGGCTGTACCTGTGGTGGATCGCGTACACGGCGCGCATGCACGGCCACCTGTACATCATTCTCAAGGAATCGCTCAAGTACATTCCCATCATCGGCACCGGCATGCAGTTCTTCAGCTTCATCTTCCTGTCGCGCAGGTGGGCGTCGGACAAGCCGCGCTTCCAGCACCGCCTGCAGAAGCTCAACGGTCGGCACCACGGCCCCATGGCTGGCACCCACGATGTCGACCCTATGTGGCTGCTCATATTCCCTGAGGGCACCAACCTCAGCCACAACGGCCGCGTGAGCAGTGCCCGCTGGGCCGAGAAGAGCGGCCAGTCCGACTTGCAACATGCCCTGCTGCCTCGCACCACGGGCCTGCTGTTCTGCCTGCAAGAGCTCAAAGACACGGTTGAGTATCTCTACGACTGCACCGTTGCGTACGAGGGCGTTCCGTGAGTCTCCCAAACTTCTCCCACAAGCTTACCCATCCCCCTTCCCCCCTCCTCCAACGTCGACCCCACTAACACCCCAACAGCCGTGGCGCCTACGGCCAAGACCTCTTCACGCTCAAATCGACGTACTTCGAAGGCCGTCCCCCCAAGTCCGTAAACATGCACTGGCGGCGCTTCCGCATCGCAGACATCCCCGTCTCCGACACCGCCGCCTTCGAGCAATGGGTGTTGGCACGCTGGCGCGAGAAAGACGAGCTGCTCGAAGAGTACCTCTGCACAGGCCGGCTACCAGCCGACGAGGGCGTAAGCCTCGAGACAAAGGATAAGACGCGGCGCGAAAAGTCCAACGGCACGACAAAGCCGGACGCGGTCGAGGGCATCCGGGGCGCCGGCTGGATCGAGACGGAAGTGCGGCCGCGCAACCCGCTCGAGTTTTTGCAGATTTTCGTCCCTGGGCTCGCGGCGCTGCTGCTGGCGAATGTGGCGCGCGTCGCTTGGAGGCTGGTTGCGACTATTTTGGCGGGGTCTTCTGCTGCGGGTAAGGCTGCTGTGCCGTCGGTTGTTGCGACTGCTGGTGGCGAGGTGGGTGTGGGTGCGGGTATGGGTGCTACTGGAGTTGATGCAGTGGTGGCGACGGCGACGGCGACGGGCGCGGCGGCTGTCGTGTAGTGCCTGCTGTAAGTGGGTGGATGAGAGAGGAAGAGAGAGCGAGGGGGTTATGGTTAGCTCGACGCACGTCCTCACTCAGCTACGGCGATGGGGGCGGAACGGAGTAAAGCGGAGGTATTTTGACTATGCACGACGGGCGTGGTCATGGCACGGGCATGGGAAGGCGTACTGCATTGCATTGCATTGCATTGCATTGCATTGCATTGCATACGCTTAAACACTTCACTACACTACACACCACACACTACACTACACCACACACAACACAACACACTCAGACGCATAGATAGATAGACTACGGACTACGGAGTAGGGACAACGGACAACGGCTAGGGACTAAGTAGGAACGAGGGACGAGGACGAAGGCGAAGTGTTAACAAGGGGGAAGGGCAGCTGGAGGAGCGGTTTGATACCCATCAACAAGACACAAACACGAGTTTTTTCTGACTTTGCTTGCCTGCCTGCTTGCCTGCCCACTTACTTATTTGACAACCACAGCCACAACACTCCTCACTCCTTGCCTCAACTCAAGAGAAGCTCCATACCACGTACGTGGTACGCAGCCCATTGACCATTGAGACAGACAGACAACAGATAAGACAAGCGTACGCGCCGTGTTGCGCCGTGCTGGCTCCAAGGGTATGGGCGTGCGATAGCTATCTAACTCCCTACCTACCTAGCTAGGGACCTACTTATAATAAGAAGGAAATATAAAATATAAAATATATAATATAGATAAAAATGTACAGATATAGATACCCTCTTCTTTCTCTCTATCTTCCTGGGATTAGTTAGTTATACCTGTCCTGTCCTGTGTTGCTTTAGGGGGAGGGTACGTTGGTTTTGTGGGTAGGTACGTATGTACAGCATCACGTACGTTAAATCACACACACACACACACACACACACACACACACACACACACACACACACACACACACACACACACGCAAGCACAAGCACAAACACACACATCATCAGACGCGCACAGAGCGCCCTGTCATTACTCGCACCTACGCAGCAGCAGCAGCAGTCCTCGCCCCCAAATCTCCATCCCCCATCCACGCTTAAAGGTACAGCCCCTCGGGCTCGCCCTCGCTCTTCGTCTTGAGCACGCGCTCGCGCGCAGTGCGGAAGTCGGCCATCTGGACGCGCATGCGGCGTTCGCGCAGCGCCATCAGGCCCGCCTCGGAGCAGATGGCCTTGATGTCGGCGCCCGAGAGGTCGTCCTTTTGGTTGATGAACTCGTCCAGGTCCACGTCCTCGGCTAGCGACATCTTGGACGTGTGCAGCGTGAAGATCTTCTTCTTTGTGTTTTCTGCGCGCTTGCGTGTTAGCTTTCGAGGTACTTCTAGTCAGTGCCGAGGGGCGTGGCTTACGGTCCGGGTTCTCGAACAGAATCTTCCGGTCGATACGACCTGGCCGGATGAGCGCGGGGTCGAGCGTGTCGATCTTGTTGGTGGCCATGACGACCTTGACGTCGCCGCGGTCGTCGAACCCGTCGAGCTGGTTCAGCAGCTCCAGCATCGTGCGCTGGATCTCGCGCTCGCCGCCCGACGTCGACTCGTACCGCTTCGTGCCGATGGCGTCAATCTCGTCAATGAAGACAATCGACGGCGCGTTCTCGGCCGCAACCTGGAACAGCTGGCGCACCAGCCTGGGGCCGTCACCCAGGTACTTCTGGATCAGCTCCGAGCCGACAATGCGCAGGAACGTCGCGCTTGTCGAGTTGGCGACCGCCTTGGCTAGCAGCGTCTTGCCGGTACCGGGGCTACCGTAGAGAATGACGCCCTTTGGCGGCTTGATACCCATCTCTTCGTACAGCTCCGGATGCAGCAGCGGCAGCTCCACTGCTTCTCTGACCTCCTGAATCTGTGACTCCAATCCACCGATATCCGCGTACGACTCCGTAGGCGCCTTGTCCAGTTTCATAACGGAGACGGACGGGTCCGTGTCGTCCGTCAAAACACCGACGACCGACACCGACTTGTGATGCAAGAGGATGGACGCGCCGGGTTCGAGCAGGTCCTTGTCGACGAAACTCATGATTGAGACGTAGTACTCGGGGCCGGTGGCCGAGGAAACGATGGCGTGGTCGTCGTCGATAAGCTCCTCCAGGTTGCCAACCCCCATCGGGCTTCCTCGCATGTCATCCACTCTACTCCTCTCATCCGCATTCCTGTCGAGGGCGTCGGCATCGCCGCCCGCCGTGGCGGGGCCCGTCTTCTCGGCTGCGGCCTTGGCCTTGCGGATCTGCTCCTGGTTCTCGACGTACTCCTCCTCCAGCAGCAGGTGGTCGTGCACGCGTTGCATGCGGAGGTACCTCAACTTGCAGCGGGCCGTCGGGTAGACGGTGGGCAGCTTGGCGGCGGCATTCGGGCCCGCGGCCTTCTTCTTCTTACGGCCGATGCGCGTCGTGGGCTGCGGCGGCGGCTCGTACTTGGGCTTGTCCTTCTGCGGCGGCCGTCAGCTGTCATCGCATCTTGGTCAGTGCCGGGTGAGGTCACGCACCTTCTGGTCCTTCTTGTCTTTGTCGCCGCCGGGCGGTCCGCCCATGTTCGACTGATTAGCACCCTGGACTGAGGTCAGTATGGCGCGCTAAGCTCCGTGAGTGACAGCTCCGACGAACCATGGTGGCGGCAGCAACAGCAGCTCAGGCCGTGGTGCGGAGAGAATAGGTAGGAAAAGAAGTTGGTGGAGGTGGCGCAGCGCTGGCAAAGGCGGATGCGCAGGGGTTGGTTGGGCAAAGAGGATGGCGATGGATGATGGCACCTTAGCAGATGGTGTTGTAAGCTTCCTGGAGCTTCTTCGGAGTCGCGCCGCCTCCGGATCACGTGCGAGGCCGCCATCGTCATCGCCCAATGGGACACGAGAGTGCTCTCCAGCTCCAGAGGCTGCAAAACACGTAACGACAAAAGAGACGACTGCTTGTTGCGCGCTCTGCGCTATCCTTCTCGAACCAGCCCTACCTGCTTGTAACAACTCCTCCAACTCAATCAATCCAAGGCAAGTCCGCGCGCGCTTGCACGCCACACACCCATCCCGGCGGCAAGCGTGATAACCTTGCTCTCCTTCCAGTGCCTCCGTGTCTTAAAGCCTGCCTGCTTTGCTCCTCTGCTCCCCAACTTTTGCCCCAGTTCATCTGTTCTTTCGTGGCCGCAACCCATCCATCCTCGCCCGCGCTGACTTCGGCGCGTACAGTCTCGACGGGAACCTTCGTTCGCTTCACTTCGACGTCCGCTGCTCTCTTCGGCAAGACACCTAACTCTCCCCCGCCTCCGCTCCACTTTCCCTCCTCAAGCTATCCGGCTCCATACACCTCTCACCACCCCACCGGCACCATGTCCAGCAACCGCGCCCGCCGCATCGCCAAGGAAATCACAGACATCCACAACGACACGCACTCAGGCATCTCCGTCGAGACGCATGGCGCCGATGACCTGACGCACCTGCGCGGGTTCTTCCAGGGCCCGCCCGACACGCCGTACGAGGGCGGCCGGTATGCCGTCGACATCAGAATCCCCACGGACTACCCGTTCCGGCCGCCCGTCATGAAGTTCGAGACGCGGATCTGGCACCCGAACGTCAGCTCGCAGACGGTGCGTAGTGGAGGGATTGCCGCAGCCAGAGCTTTACGGGCTACCCCAGAGCTTTAAATACTGACAGACGCGCAGGGCGCCATCTGCCTCGACACGCTCAGCCAGGCCTGGTCGCCGGTCTTGACGATCAAGTCTGCGCTCATCTCGCTGCAGTCGCTGCTCAGCACGCCGGAGCCCAAAGACCCGCAGGACGCAGAGGTCGCCAGCATGCTGATCAAGCATCCCGCGGAGTTTGAGCACAAAGCGCGCGACTGGGCCGTCAAGTACGCGGGCGCGCCGGTCAAGGAGGACGGCCAGGGCAGCGGCGGCACTAACAATGACTCAGCCGCCCGCCGCCGCAAGGAGAGCAAGGGCGAGCAGGAAAAGCAGAAACTCGCTGCGTATGTTCTTTGCTAGCTCCCGACGTGATTTTGTGTAAGAAGTGCTGACGAATTGCAGGTATCACGGCTATAACAAGGACTTGATCGACCGCTTCGTGGCTATGGGCTTTGAAGTCGACAGCGTGGTCGCTGCATTCGAGTACGTTGGCATCGACAAGAACGGCGGGCAGGACTACGAGCTCGAGGAAGCGTACATGGGCGACATCACGGCGCGCCTGTTCGGCGAGGCGTAAGCCTCCCCTGGGGTAGGTAGCTCCTCTCTCTCTGGTTCTCCCTGCACGACGCGTACCATGGAATTGAGGGCAGTAGGTGCACGACGGACGAAGCGCGTGGTAGTATTAGGCTATTGTGACGCGAACGATGGACTGGTTGGCAAGGCAAGGCAAAGCGGGACAAGGCAAGGCAAGACATGGCGGATAAGATGGGCTGACTGTGTGGGCGAGAAGCGACAGGGGCTCAATGGATGTGTGCTGCCATGAAAGGAGTTACATATTACGCACGACGTCTACGGCGGCGCTCCATAGGTGTTCCGGTTCTTCTTCTTTTCCTTCTCCTTAAGTATCTCGCTACACGGGCGGGGCATGGCGCTGGGGGTTGTTGGGGTTGGGATTAGGACCGGGTTGGGGGTCTTGGCAGGGCAGACTCGAGACTGGGACAGATTTCCTTTTTTTTTTTTTTTTTTCGTCTTTATTATTTTCGTTGCTTTTCGTGTTGTATGGCTTGTTGCTGCGAGGCGACGGCGACGGCGTAGGCGGGGGGTGCGGCGTATGGTCTCAGTCGGTTTCTTAGGTATGGAATCTACTCCCTTCTATCCTTCTTGGTTGCTTTTTGCTTGCGTCTCCTCCCCATATCCGCTTTCCGGCTTCCTTGGTGACGGCTGTCTTGTCTTTGTCCTTGTCCTTCTATGTCCTTACCTACCTTGTCCCTCCCCTCCCTTTCCTTGCCTTGCCTTGCCTTTCCTGACTACGACCATGCTACTGTCTGTCCAAGGTACCTACTTCACACAGCGAGATAGAATCGCCGTATGTGTGCGGTGCATGAATTAAAAGGATTAGTCTTGCCGCTGTCTTGGAAATGCCGTTGTGTTGCGTTGCGTGCAATGCGGGATTTACTTGATCGTAGATAGGTGGATGGATAGGGAAGAGTAGGCGCGGACACAGAGCGCTGTGGACGAGGGCTATACGGTATAAACGCGGTACATTCCCCATTTCAGAGTAATACAGTCAAGACCACTCACTGTCCACGCAGACCAACGAGTCCAACCCCTAGAACCGTCTATCAGTACACTCAGCTATGGCTTACATACTCCTCTCATGCCTCCACCATTTCAGTGCGGGAATCGCCACGACCGGCCAACGCTCATATTGGCTGTTGGAGCTGCTGCTATCACCCTGCCAACCTGGTGGGGCGGGGGTGGATGGCAGGCGCTGCGGTGTAGTAAGTAAGTATGTATGTGTTGCTGGCGCTGTGCTGTGCTGTACTGCTTGTGTGTGCGCGGGTGGTCCTGTCGTGCGCTGCTCTGGTGCTTTGGGGAGGAGCCTGTAACCCTGTCGTTCTTGCCCTGCCCGTACCTTCCCGGGAGAGGGGAGTGAGTTGTTCCGCGAGGGTAGGGAGGTCTGCTGTGCTATCCATAGGTACCTTTGACTGTCTTGATGCTGCCTCACTAACCTCCCGCTACTAGGTACGTGCCTGGTGTCTCGACTTCAGTTCACTTCGGCACAATACCATGCCATGGAGGCGCATGCGCGGAGTGAAGTGAAAGTTGGTGGTGTTGTCTGTTGATGCTGTTGTTGTTGGTTTGCTGTGGTTGCGCAAGCATGAGTATGCTCTTTCCATGTAGGAGTTTTCGGGCTTGCTTTGCTCTTTCCTCTTTGCTCTTTCTCTGTTTTCTCTGCCCACTTGGCATGGAGTCAGTCTGCGCGTCGGTGTGGTATACGGGTTAGGTTGCTTGCTGCTGCAATGTTGCCAGCGCAGTCGACCTTGAAGCGCTCACGCTTGTCTGTAGTGTGCAGCATGGTGTGTGGTGTTGCTTTTGTGGAAACTGAGAGCTGCCGCAACCGCTGTGATCTAGTTTGTGGGGTGCACGTGGTTGGGGTAGGCGGTAAGGCTGCGGTTTCCTATCCTAGCTTGGTGTACAAGTGGAAGCTGATTCCCTCTTCTAGAAGCGGTTCATCTGTCCAAAAGAAGCACTTCATTTGTCTAACGTCGATACTCTCTCATCTCTGGACGTTGTCCACTACTGAATGCTTGACATGCTCGTGGATGTGATGCGGGTAAACCGGCTTCCAATCGTCTTTGCGGAATGCTAATGCTTCCTGTATCTTGTTGTATGGTTCTCGGTTTGTCCATGTGCTTGCCATTGCATCTGGTGACTCTGTTAGCAACCATTTTTGAAGTGTATACTTCTGACTGAGTTTGCAGTTCTACTACGTTGAGTCTACTTACCGGCCCAATGCAAAAGCTGCTACTGCTTTCCAAAACCGCAAAAGATTGACGTGCACTACCCGTTGTGGGGTGATACGGCAGTACATCCATGACCGTAAGAGCTGGAAGGTCTTGCTGAGAATGAATGATTGGAGATTCCGCAAACAAAGAGGAGGTTGCTGAAGAAACATCGAGCCGCGACATGATGCAGAAGATGTTAGCGACCAAGTCATTACCAGGCTGGCGCCTTCAGCAAACAGGCAAGCTATTGCTTCAACGAACCACGTTGTTTCTTGCTTGTTCTGTGACGAGTCAGAATGTCCACCAGACTTGCGCAAACATTGTCCGCCGTAGACTTCCACGTGGATACCGATTGCGTGGAAGATGCCAATGACCACGCCTGATCGCAGATCTCGTCGGCGGAAACAAGAAAAAGATGCGAGCTCGTTCCCATATACCAGGGAAATGTCCTGAAGCCTACGTGGTCGTCGTCTCGCCTTCCAAGGACTACTTGGACACATCCTGATAGCACTCGTGCACTCAAGCGTCCTCTCTGTTCAAGCCGTCTCTTTTACTCAAATCCTGACCTTCTCCACGGTTGTGAGGGATCCTCCTCGCCATCAAGGCCCGCCTCTTGTCGTTGCGTCCAAATCATGGGATAAAGAGACGTGTGAACTCTCTACCACGGCTGACCGTGGTCGGTAGCGGTCAACTCCAGACACGAGGTATCCAGGAATCTGTCAACTGGCTTAGCAGGTGTCCACGGCAGCCATCGGAAGCTAGACATGGTCTCAGAGGCTGGCTGTCAGTGCCTCCTATGTCTTCAATATAAGCACTTACACCTCAATGCTGTCGCGAAAAGTACATCGAAGGATACAGACTTACTTACCTACTGCCGACTAGATCTGAAAGGCGAGGTGGTTCTTTGAGAACGGCCAGTATATCCCTACAGGTCGGAGTCGCAGCTACATGTGCGGCCACAGGACCGATATCTTTGTTTCCGACTTGAATGCAAAAGATGGTGGCCGGGAACCGCGAGCGATACAGAGCTGGAGCAAGGCTTCGACGTGGACCTCTTCGGCCGCCAATACTTTCACAGCTGCATACCGTCGCCGGAATCTTGCAGTTATCAGTCCCTTATCGTTGCATGCCCCTATAACAGAGCTTTGTTTGTTTATCCTGCCTTCTTACGTCAGTGCCTCTGCCGCATCGAGGCGGATGTTAACACAGGTGGCAGGCTAGCCTCCCCACGCCTGCAATCATAACAACGGGTGTGTGAAAGGTTGGGCGCGTGAGCAGCGTTCTAGCGAGGGCTTCACACGGGTTGGTGTATAAATATCCCCTGGCCCTTGGCCACCTTTTTCTTTTCTCTCCACCCAAGTTTCTTGAGACCTTCAGCGACCACAGCTCCAAACTCTCAGACAATTTTCCGCGACTTCAACTTGACCTTTCAAACTTCTATCAACACTTATACCTTTCTCTTCTCCCACTAAACAAACCGACCCGCATAATGGCACGCTTTGTTTTCCGCTCCATGATCTTCTCGATCATTGCGACGATGGTAAGTCTCTTTTGAACAGCATAGCTCATGTACTAGTCTGACATCATCCAACAGACCTCCTCCGCCATGAACATGCCCTCGACCGCTGCTGGCCCTATCAGCAAGTACGAGTCCATTATTCTGACCATCCTCAACAAGAAGGTTAGTGTTGTATCTGCTCCAAACAATTGCATATACTAACTTTAATAGAACAACGCCAATGATGGCAAACAGGCTGATAACAACAACAACAAAACCAAGATGGTTCTTCTTCCCCTCGGACAGCTCCAGTCCATTGCCGCCTCCTTTGCCCAAATGATGGGTAACACTGATGTTTCCGATCACGACGCTGTCCGCGATCTCTGCCCGACCATGCCTTCATCTATCTTGGCAGACATCTCCGCTGCCCTTGCGATGGATCGCAACGAAGTAACCATCAGCCTCGAAGATATGCGCCGCCTGGAGGCTCTCGGCATCTCAGGGCTCTTCTCTTCCTGCATTATAATCACTGACGACACCGTCTCTTCGGATGATGACCACAACCGTGCCTCCAAGCATTCCCCTCACAATTCTGTGAGCTCGAATGCCTCAACGTTGGTAGACATCACCAACGACATGCCCGACTGGATGCAAAGCATCAACCTAGACACAGAAGCCGTCGCCACCAAGTCCTCTGGAGGCCTTAAGGTCATTGCCGGATTCATTGAACACAATGGCCGGGATGTCGGTGTCACCAACAAGTGGCACGAGAAGAAGTTGAACGAAGTCACTGAAGATTTCGAAGATGATATCGAGGTGTTGAAGACTGAACATCACGATGAGATTACCATTCTCAAGAAGAAGCTCGACACTGCCCACAAGCTTCGCGAGAATGGAAAGGCCAAGATTGTGGATCTGGTCTCTACAAACAAACACCTGAGCATCACCGAAGTTGCTCAGACGGAAGAAATCAACAACCTAACGAAGAAGAATGATGCCCTTCAGGCGGACAACTCAAAGAAGGACATCACAATCAGGACCCTGCAGCAGGATGTCCGGTCTCTGCAAGCCGAAGTTACACGGAAGAACAACATGCTTCAGAACTACGAGACCGAGAACCAAGAGCTCAGGAAGAGACTCGACGATGAACGCACACACATCGCGGTCTTGTTGGAGCAAGCTCAGGGCGTGGAAGCACAGGAAACCCAAGGCAGCGGCGCAAACAACAGCAACCAGGAGTCCGAACGCCTTGCCAACTACTATCGCCAGAAGGCGACGGAAATCCGTAAACAATACGAGAATGCTGCCGCGGAAGCCCAGAGGACTTACCGCGCCATGGAGACGGAGATCCGTTCAGTGAGGCGTGATGCTGCCTCTATGGAACACATTAATCAGAACACCTTCCGTCGCCAGAAGGAGCAAGAAGAAAGAGCGGATTCTCTGGCGGCCGAGCTCGAGAAGTTCAGGGCCGAGAACCAGGAGCTGGTCGCTCAGAACACCATCTATCGGGATCAAGTCACTGCTGGACTCCCAAGTGTCCACGAAACGTTCAACAGGCTCAAATCCTTCGTTGATCAGCTCACCGACTTGACAACCGAACCCAAGGATGCCATCCCCCATGCGAACAACGGCAAAAGCATCAAAGATATCTCCACTGAGATGAAGGAGTTCTACGATGAGGCCCGCCCCATGATTGAAGCATGCAAAACATCCATGGAGAAGAACGCGAAGCAGGCCCTTGACACCATGGGCCGTCGCAGGGAGATCCTAGAGTTGAACTTGACCGTCAAGAACCAGTCCAAAGACCTCAAGGCTGCCGACGAGAGAATCACTGAGCTTGAGATGGAGCTTGAGTTCGAGAAAGCTGACTCGGACACGGAAAAGGCAGACATCTCCCGTCTCAACCATTACGTGGAGCTTACAAGGACCCTCGAAGAAAAAGTGACCGACCTTGAGGGCCAGCTCTTCGAGAGGTGGGAGAACGCTGCGCCCACTGCATGGCGAGGAAGGTTCCAAGAGCTCCGCGTCGCCAGGGATCAGCTCCGGGCCCAGCTCCAAGAAATTCAGAGCAGAGAGGGGGCCAATGCTGAGAATCTCGAGATCAACAATGGCCTCGCAGAACAGCTGGAGTTGGTCAACGGTAAGCTGACCACCATGGAAAACCATTACCGGGTCGCTATGAGCGAAAACAACAAGCTCCGTGACCGCCTCGGAATGGAAGTCGTCCCCAGCGGCGTCGACGGTATCACCCCAACGGAGTCCAAGTTCATGGGACTGAGAATGTGCCTGATCGAGGGAATGAACCCGGAAGAAGTCCCCGAGGTCCAGGAGGAAGAACTTCGTGGCGAGTACGAGGACCGCAGGACCTCCATCGACAGAGAGCCCACCACAGCCGAGAACATTGCGCTCGGTGTGGTTGACCGCATGGCCAACATGTGGAAGGCGATCCTCGCCGACGAAGATTCCCCGGCCGGAGTCCCTCTCCCCGAGCAAGGACCTGACGTTAACGAGCCGCTGGATCTCTCTGTCTCAGCGCCTGGCCCTGAACGGGAGCCTCCATCCCCAACACTTTCGGATCTGCCAGTGATCAGTCCGCCGGGAAGTGACGGATTCCCGGAAGAAGTCTTCGACTACGATCGAGATACCTTCTGATCATGGCAGTCATGCGCGGCGCGATTAGACGCGCTACTTTCTTCAAGCTACATGGACAGGGAACTGGTTGGAGGAATTAGAAATGGGAATGCAGATAGCTGGTTGTTTGGAGCGGAGGATTGCATTCTGGAAACTGGAAAGGAATATGATGTACTACGAGTAAATATGCTGGATAGGAAGGCTCTGGAGTTCTGCACGGTTTGGGTATTGGATTTGCTCTTGAGTTGGTTTTAGGAAGCTCTTGGGGCAGTGCATTGGAGTTTGCTCTATCAATTGACGTCTTTTGTGAACAAGGCTTGAATGACGTGCTTTCCGGTAGTTATTTTGGGACTTTGGCCGTGCATTTGGGCAGTCAGGCTGTGACCTTTCCACACTGTATGCTGGATCGGGCTTTGGATGGATGGGGCAACGTGTTTGGCGAGGAAGGGTTAAAAGCTAGAAGAATGGATGTGGATAAGTAAGGCATTTCACGGATCACAGAGCAAGTTCAGATCACAACGTTATTTGAAGGCTTGTATGCAGACTTCTTACGCATTTTATAGTAATTATGAAGGTCGCTTGGTGACGACCCGGAGGCTATACAACTGGTGCTATGCATAGTGAGCCAGATTGCGAAACCTGAACTATCCAAACCAGAAGACCGAGTTCCGTCTAGCTTCTGAGCGCCCAAGTGCAAATGAAACCTCCAAAGCAAAGCCTCCTGTCCCTTTAGCTCGAAGGCTATACTCTGAAATGATCCATTCATGACTGACCAACCACTGTCCTGTGGCTCCAGGCAAACCGAAGCTCTACAACTGGTCTCATCAGTCCCCCAATGGTTTCTCCTGCCGTCCCTGCAAGCCTCCACGCTCAATGTACTGATTCCACTCGTTGAACTTCTTTCTAGCCTTCAGCAAGTCCTTCTGGTGAACGTCACTGTCCATCGGCAACGCCAGGTCAGCAGGATTGACGGTGAGCTGACTCTGAAGGTGTTCGTGGTTCTGCTGGATCTCAGTCTTTACTTGGCCATGGTACACTCCGTTGGCGTTCAGGACTTCGTCGCCGAGCAGGTGGTGCGTTCCGTCAACGGCATTCACAATGCGCGTGTATTCATTGTCTAGATGCTTTTCGACAACGTCGTCGCTCTTCTCTGGATCAGTAGTGTCGCCTGCCTTGATGCTTTTTGGGTTGCTTGACTTGGGCTTGTTCTTGGTTTTGTTCTTGCCGTCTTTCTTGGTGATGCCTTTACTAACGCCGCGCTTCTTCTTCGCGACGCCGCCTTTCTTGGCATTTCCCATGATGAGAGGTGGTGAGGAAGGCGGCGAGGGTGGTGGTAAGGGACAGGGCGTGGTCGGGTCCGTCTTGTGAGGGGTGAGTCGTATTTATGCGTAGGATGAGACCGCATGTGAAGTGTATGTGAAGTGACCAAGGACGTTGAGCGTATTGTTGAGATATCTATACTGCCGTTTGAACAATGGCTTTGTTGGGTATCATGACACTGTCTTGGTTGAATAGGTTGGCGTTGTTTAAGCACAGAGGCAGAATCGTTGTTATGGTGCTTAACAGTTTGGCTTGAGCTGCTGACTTGCACTTGCCTCAATCAGATATACTGGACATAAGCTCCGCGGACAGTCTCATTTCATTTTGGACATCATGCCAGACCACGCTCCAAACGTGTGTCTTCAGCGTTAGGATTACTGCTGATTGCAATTGTGATGACCGATATAAAATGTACAAAGCTGAAAGCTATGCTAGTCCGAATCATTAATGCATCAGACTTGGTCGCCCAAACGTCAAGTAGCCAGTGTCCCAGTCCAATGAGAAACATCGAAGAGCAAGTTCGAAGAGTAGCCATTGCGATCCTCAATGAAATTTTAGGTGTAGTTCCGCAGATGTAGGCTGCGTATGCAAATGCTTGTCTCTTTCAGTTTCATTGTCCTAGAATGGCATGAAGTAAGAGCTTTGAGTAGGGAGCAAACTTGGGGAGGCGCGTCTGATGCTTTTTGGCGCCAAGGACGATTTTAGGCCTCTTTCACATACAGACACTCGCACACGGCGCGACCGCGCTGGCCTATGTCTCGAGTTATGTCAGTGGCGTTCGGGGACATCCGCTTGGAGCTAACTGCTTTTGGCAGATCTGATTGAAGTGACATGTTAAAGGGCATGGCAACCTAAAACTTTCCACACACGCCAGAACGCGTACCACTCAGCCTCTTCACTGACGTCAATCCCATCCACCCGCGCCTCGCGCGCCATTACCCTCTTTTCCAGCGCTCTTCGATGCGCGACATCACATGCGTTCCTTCCAAAGCCTTTCACGCCAGACCCGTTTGGGCTCATTAAAATAGCCCCGACCAACGCTAGTCTCACTTCGGAAGCACTCGCTATCAGTCGACAACATGTCTACCTTAAGCCTTAACGCGGCAAACAACGCGGCAGATGAGCAGAAAGGAGCCCTCAATGCTCCCCAGCACCGTCCAAAATACAATTACAAGAAACGTCGCGGCACGGTCTGCAATCGTTGTCGCTTGAGGAGGATAAAATGCAGTCGCGGACGTCCATGTTTCAACTGTTCACGAGCAAAGTTATCCGCTGCTCAATGCGCCGGCGACATTCCACATGACAACCAACCAGGCTCTGACAATAAAGTCTCCACACACGAGAAGTGCACTTTCAGTACATACCACGGAGTGCATCTTTCAAAAGGTGCTTCAGATGATGCCCCAGGCGGCCTTCTATGCGCAACCCAACCCAAGAACAGATTCGATGTCGAAACCCATGAGGGAATGGCGAACCGTAAGCTGATAAGCTGAGGTAGATTACTCAGGCTAATACACTATAGGCAGAGTAATTCATACGCTTCATGCATACGGCTTACAGGTTGAACTTCAAGCTCTGCTTGCCAACACGGATTACTTGTTCCTTAAGGTCCGAGATGCGATGAGTGGTGGAACAAAGACGACGTAAAGTGTGCATAGGTTGTATACGGTGGAGACTGTCAAGGGCTATTGTACTATGGTTTGCATGGGAAACTCTTTTCATTTTGCACAATTCAACATAATAAGAACAACAGCAGATTTCTCATAAACACTTCTTGCTTGAGAGGTATACCGCTCCAGAAGTAGCAAATAATTAGCATTACCAAAACAATGCGGGCGCCTACATTGGCATCCAGGAGTAACAAACAATGAGAATCACTAGGACAATGCACGTGCCTACATTGGCAACTTGTGTCTTTGTTGCGGACTATAAGATACAGTGAGTGTTCTATTTTGTTGCGTACAAAGTCCGCTCGAAAACCAATCCATTTTTCTTAATTTTTTGGTTATAGTCTATCCCATACTATCGTATATATCGCTCTTAATTGATTTCCTGCGGCCTTTCTACTTGCACTATTGTGTTCAAAAGTAGCAGGAGCTTCTCCTTTACATAAATTCATTGCTTATACCACTGATGAATTCACAGTTGCCGCCGCTTTTCTTTTTCAGGGGTCGGCATTACCGTATAGTGGTTTCCCTCATCACCCTCCGTACAACACTGAGGCCTCAGTCGCCCATACTGCTAACTGGCACTATTACCTGAGCCACCTAAAGTTTCTCGGACTATCAAGTTGTCTTGTCTGGCTTCTAGCTCAAGTAGCAGAAGGCCGTTGCTCTCAAGTCTGGAAAGCACTCGAAGAAAAAAAGAAAAATCAGAACAATGAAACGAAAAATAGATAATGGGCGCATAAGGGGCGCATTGCTCCCATTATAACAGTGACCGACAAAGTGCTGAAGTTCTTTGTGGTCACTGACATCAAAGATCTCGGGGCGGCCACAATACTCTGTCAGTAAGTAGCCTTGTTTAACAGCTTAAGATAGAAACCCTTTGTCTTTACTTGCCTTACCACATATATCATCTTACCACCCACCACAGCGTCACACCATGCTTGTTCCATCTTAACACACACACGTCGTCTAACCATGCACATATCGTCTTAGGACAAGTTCAAGATCATTCAGTAACAAGACACTAAAAACTTACTCTCTTCTGCAGGCCAGAGGATCTTTTTAAGCAGACACATCTCACGACTTCCGACTTACGAGAAACCTGATTATCAGAACGACTATGAGACTACGACAACAAACACCAGCCGTCACGTCTCGCAATCCATTTGGTCTATCAACCATGAATTCGAATTCGAATCCACTTGAACAGCCTCAGGGCACCAGCTCCTTCGAGGGAACCGACTACTCTAGTACCCCAACCGTTAATCACCAGCACAGGGTCAACGGCAACGAGGCAGATGCCAACGTGGATCCCAGGTACGTAGGTCCGAGTTCCCTAACTCGCGATTTTGCTCACAGAGATCATAGGCTAGCCATTATGCAACAGTATCACGACGAAAGGTTCCCCGCAAACCGTCATCAGAACGGGTATGCGCAACACCCGCAGCTTCAGTACCTCCAGCAAGCGGCTTTTCCGCCAACTCCAACCGAATCGTCGAGTCAGTATACTGGAGTATCGAGTCCATATGGAGGTATCCAGAACCCGCACCCCTACCTGAGTGAGAATCACCACGGTTCTCAGGATCTCAACCAAAACCCCCCTCAAGATTATAACCAGATCGCCCACCATGATCCTAATCATGACTTCTATCAGCAGCTCAACCAGAACCTCCACCAAGCTCTTCAACCTGCCCCAGCTCTACAGCATGCCCCAGCTCTACAGCATACCCCGGCTCTACAACATGCCCCAGCTCATGTGCAGGCCGGTAACCAGAATCAGCCAACTGCTCTGCACCTCTTGCTGGAGTCGGAGATTCCCAAGGGACAGTATGCGCCTGGTGCCCCGTACCCCCCTACTGACTACGTTGTCGCACCTCGCGGAACGGAAGGAGATCACACATCTTACGTGCAGGGACAAGAATGGCTTTCTGAAGACAACTTACCCCGTCGCGTTGGACTCCTTGTGCAGGTCGCCGATCCTCCTATCGATGCACCGGAGATGTTGAGGAATCCTGTCACGAACCAGGTGGTAGTCGGGGCCAACGGACATGGCCTCAGGGATCTCCCGATATTGCCGAGGACTATCTCCAGTTTGGTCGAACCGTGGCGCATATATGTATGGCTCAAGTACGACTCCCGCGTGGCATACAAAGACATCGTTAACAGGTTCCCCAAGCCAAAAGGAACTAGGGCGCAGGATATCAACAAGGAGTGTCGAAGATTGACATCTGCTGCCACGAGATGGCAGCAGAGGTACTCAGGCTTGCCTGGAAACCATCGGAATGTTGGAAAGGATAAGAACGATAAGCACAAGGAGGACATGAAGCTGATACAAAATCTATCCGACGAGCAGATCCAGTTCAACACGGTCTGGAACCTGCGCCCAGGTGCCTCAGATGATACACGATACATTCAGCAGCCGCAACTCCTGAAGAACAACCCCAACAACCAAAATGGGATGTGGCTGGCCCATGCAACCAACAGGATGAGTGAGCGCGTCGCGAAGATCATCAACGACCTCCGCAGTATCAAGCAGGAAGCGAACGAAGCTGGGTATGAGGATTGGGAGAAATACTGGAACGAGAACACAAACAAATGTACCACTGTCAACAGAGGTCATGGCAAGCGCACTCGCTCCAGGAAGGAGCCGCAAAACCCCGACGCGGCAGTAGCTCCCACGATGCAGGCCCCTCCGGCCACTTTGGCGGCGATGGGTGCGGCGCCTGCTGTTCCTCAAGGAGGATATCACCAGGCAGGTGCACCGATAACTGGGCAGGCGATGCTTGGTGCGGAAGCGGGGGCACTGCTCAATGGCATCCAAGTCCCGAACACGATTGCACCGCCCACGGCTACAACTTCAAACAGCACTTCCAGGAAGCGCCGTGCTTCCGCGGATCTGCCTGGTCGCTCCGAACTGGACGGTCCAGCCACACAAGGCCCACAGAAGCGTCGTCGTATTGGAACTGAGATTCCACCCATTGCCACAACTTCGCCTATCATCTCCAGGAAGCGCGGTGCTTCAGCAGCCCTGCCTGATCACGATGATCCGGCCACACAAGGTCCGGCAAAGCGTCGTCGCATCGAGACCGAGTTGTCGGAGACTCTTTCGGAGCTTGACGAAGAATCTCAAATGAAGTGGCTTCGTAAGCAGTACCGGAAGATCAATAAGGCGAAGGCAGCCAGGAAGTACGATAACCGGTACAGCAGGTCTGGGATCCGAGACAGCCTGAAGAACCTCAAGGCTGTACAGAACTTCGCCTCGGAGAACTTCAGCGAAGACCCTCTGCTCAACGACTGGATCGGAGAGACAGTTGAAAATGGAGAGGCCGAACTACTCGCTGCATACAGTTCACCTACTCCACAGCCCGAGCCGCAACCGCGCCAAAGGGCGTCCGCTCTGCCGGCTGTTCAGTCGCGTTCGCGCCAGTCCCCGATCTTCTCAGACCCTCCTTCCGGAGGCAGAGCCTCCCAATCAAGACGGGAACGGTTAACTCCAGAGCAAGACACTATGATCCAAGGGTTGACAAATACCAGCAGGGTTTGTGATAACGCTGCGTGCCCAAACGATGAGTTTGACTCGTCGACCCCTTTCATCCCTTGTGCTTTTTGTCACAGGGTATTCTACTGTGGTGAGGCGTGCTTGTGGAATGGCTTGGATAGGCACCATTTTCAATGCACTGGACCTCAATTGGGCGAGGCCAGCAACTTCGATCCCAGCAACATCGATCCTCAATTAAGGGACGCTGGCAACACAGCAGAAACCGTCCCACAGTACGCAGGCCCTAGCAACGGTGAGAGCAGCTCTCGGATCCAGCAGGGTGAGCAGGCACCCGTACCTCTAAGCCCGTACATCATAGCTCACAGGCTCACTGATGATTACCAAATGCAGTTCCTGGTGTATGATGGTGCAACTGATTGGGTCAACCGGGAAGAAGCCATCCAACGCACAAGTGAGCAAAAGTTCTTGCTTTACTACAATTTCGAAGTCAACAAGCTTGACGATGAGTGGGACCCAGCATTCGTTGCTTTCCAGCCTTGGGGGCTTCACAATGATGAGGTCAACTTCACATAGGATGGGATGACGGACGGTTTGGAGGATTGATAGGCGGGCGTTTGTACGCTTCCAACGAGGTGAATGGTGCTAGATGCTCTAGCACTAAGGACTGATGATTGATGACTGAGATATATGCATGTAGCTAGATTTCTGAGTCAAATATGGTGCGATAGAACGACTGAGAAGTATTTGTTGAGCGAATTGTTTTCTTCTGTTAGAGCCTCACTATAGTTTTTGAATTTTCCAACTTCACCAAATTTTGGCTTCCGCCGTGACTAGCAGAGTGACCTTTAGCTCCCGCAATTGCTTCTTTTCTCGTACTCATAGTGCTCTTCAGTTAAAGGATGCAGTAAATTGCCCACTTGTAAGTAGTAACGCTGATTCTCCAAGTGCAAAATATAAATTTTTTTTTAGATGAAATCCATGCCCCGTAATAATCAACGCTTCTCCACTCTGCAGCATTAGCGAGCAGACTTGATGCGGTGGGAGCAACGAAGCTATCGTGGTGTCTTGAATGGGGAATTGCCGCACCCTGAAAGCAGATACTCACTGAGCCTGGGTTCACAGGCACCATGTCGCTAAAGAAAAAGGAGCACGTCAAAATTCCCACGCTGCAGCTACCCGGAAAGGAATTTATGGGTTTCCAAAAACACTACAGTCGTCAATACACTCTCCACCTGGAACCCGCTCGTCCGCTTTATCCTCGTCTCACCCTGCTCATGTGTATCTCTCCACGGAAGTGCGCTAGGCTGTATGGTACGGCTTAACTCATATGCCTTGCCATGCCGCTCTGCCGTTACCCGGAGACGAAATTGCCTCATTGTCAGGGAACCTACGAGCCACCATCTCTCGCACCGTTCATATCATTTCGTTCACTGCTGCCTCGTGACGTCCAAGTCCAACACATCTGTTACCAGAGTTAGCTGGTCCGTCTGTTCTGAAGTTGGTTCATCTCTCCGCGGCTTATGCTCTTGCAAGAGCCCGTAGATGAGATACATATTAGCGGCACACAGAGTACACAGAGTGCAGGAATGCCCAGTCCGTCCATTTGCACACAATATAGGCCTGCCGAGTAGGTAGCCTGGAAAGTCAGGTAGACTGCCGGTCTTGTTATGATGGCATTGCCGTGAAGTTGAGGTTGAAATGTGCGGATTTGCAGCTCTTCGCATTCCTCTCGTCTCCTGAAGCTTCTTCAAAGACAAAAAGCTGTTGAAATTAGGTGTGGTGTTGGCCCTTCTCTACACTGCGAGAAGCTCAAGGTGTCCGAGGCGTTCATAGTAGCCCAAGTTCGCCAGTGGGCTGTTATGTACGTTGATAAGTGAGCCCCTGTGCGGCCTCCGCTGGTCCAAAGTTCTCACTGAAGCATTGTGGGTTGACGTGCGCTGATGTGAGGTCTTCCTCGTTGCCAGGTGACATTGTGGACTGTTTAGCGTCTTCCGCAGCGTTATCCGCGCTCCTTGCGTCAATCTGCTCTGTGATGCTCATCGACCCGGCCGTCACCCAGCTATAAAAGCATCCCATGGACCTCGCGGTATCATCTAATAGCCTCAGGCGTCTCTTCGTATTTAGTTGTCCGCTGCTGAGGGTATCCTCTCGTGCTCGGATGAGGTGATATGACCGGGCTTGCCAGGTGACCCAGTGCCAACGGTGCTGTGAGGTAGCGCATCAGCTTGCCTCACTGCCTTCTTCGTTGTCCAAAGATGAAAGTGCTTGTATCGTCCTGTCACCGTCATGTCGCCAAATGGAAGCAGTCCTTGTGACTCGAGTGCCTGCTTGTACCGTCGCCTTCAACCCCCTTGTCCCTTCTCACTTCTAATACACCGCTATTTTTGGTGCGTAATGCGGCGCTTCGGGGGTTTGCCGGCTTCGCGGGCTGCGCTCTGCGCGGCTTGTTAGGTTCGGCCAGATGCGCAAGCAAGATCGCCTTCTTGATGCTTTCAGTTTCCTAGACTCGGCTCATATCTTCAGATCATGTCAACACCTCGAGGAGGAAGTGTCATACCCCAAGAGAACGGCATAGTATACGGACCTTCCGGCGGATAATCAAGTTGTTTGTCAGTGTCTTACCTCAAGTAAGCTCAAAGGTCTTTGAAACCATCTCCAATGAAAGGACACTTCGCACGCCGCGTTGGCAATCTCGGTGACCTCTCTCTATCCTAAACCAATGAAGAAGCCATGCGCTCCACATCGCATCGCTGGCTGCATGAGCTCGTCGCCTCCGTTCCCAATGTTTGGGCGCGAGTGAGCACCTCGCGTTGGGCCAAAAGCCACCTTACTTGGCCCTAGTAGTGTGGTGGTCGCCGAGTCTCTGACGCTGAGTTACTAATCAGCCTGGAGCGGGCATGATTGTAGGACAACAATGCCTCTGACCTTGACGCGTCTCTCCCTCCCCTTGGACCAACCGTTTCGCTAGTTGATAGCTGCAGATTGGTGAGCTGCCAGGTTCTCAAACGACGAAACCAATGTAGCCTCGTGATGCCCCGTGTCGATGAGCTCTTTGCGTTCCTGTCGTCGGCCAAATCATGCCTGTCCGAGATCGCCGTCCCAGGAGACCTGGCGGGTATCAAGCCTTCTTTAGCAGCCTAAAAGATTGCGACGATGGGACGCATCCCCCCTAATGCCCCGTTTGAGAGAGACGTAGATGAGCAGATACTCATCTGTCTACCGTCAGGCCAGCCATACCAACGAAGAGCCGGCGGAGCTACTTGGAAGGTGAAGCCCCCAGTACAAGCGTGATGTCAGACAAAAAGCTGCGATCCAGAAGGAGGAAAGAGAGTGACAAGCGGTCCGTCGGAAGGTCCGGTGACGCTTCACATGGCCCGTGACGGAGCCTGCCGTGAAAGTTTGCCGGCGGGCCTCCGTGTTGTTTTCTCCCACAGCCTTTCGCGCCCTTCCCATCACACAACTTGCAATCAACAACTAACAAGCCGCGCCTCACATCACGCAACCTGCCACTCTTCGAACCAACTCTCACCTTCTCGACGCGTCTCGTGATCGTCACCATACGTCGACCTTACACGTTACCTCATTCCCACAAAGAACTTCGCGACAGCGCTTTGATGAGTTCACAAGCTCACCTTAACATTCCTTCAACAAACGCCTTGTTCAACGCGAACGCGTCACATCAAACGATGCCTTCGACCACACCGCATCCGGCGACTTCAGCCTCGCAGCAACCAGTGACCTTGCGCCCCCAGCCACAGATGGCGGTTGCTCCTCCGCAGCAAACGGGTTTCGTCGCACAGCAGTTGGCCTTTACACCTCAGTGGCACATGGCCTTCGCGCAGCAACCGGTCACCATCCGCGTGCCCACAATCTTCCAGAACATTCAAGCGCAGCCGCACAAACTGCTCGAACGTGACATCCTTAAGCCGCATAACAATCCGATGACTGACTATCGTAAGCAAATACCCTGAATCCCGTATATAAAGAGCAATGTCTACACTGACCTAACGTTTAGATGTGGGACCAGAGGGCACACCAGGCGATGCAACAGGGTTCGTCCCAGAGCAAGCATGGGTATCAGCGAACAATCTTCCCTATGCCCTTGGAATGCTTGAGCAGATCAAGAGACAGAAGCCTGGCAAGCCTTCGACAAAGACCATTATAAACCAGGATGGTACATCTTCAACTGTCCGTGACCTACCGATCCTACCGGATTGTATATCAACAAGGGTTGAAGAATGGCGCGCGCTCATGTGGATGCTCTACGATCCTCGCATCAAAATGAAGGATCTCACGGGCCGGATGGATAGCGCTACAAAGAGCCCTCGGACCGACGAGCAGGTCCATAGGAGATTGACGGAGGCCATGACGGAATGGCGAAAGATGCACGGTGGCTTTTCCACCAACCCTCGGACCAACCGTGCCAGGCCTAATGAGCCCCCTATAGTCGACTGTAAAATTGTCGACCGCGGCTTAGCCACCCAACAACAGCTCAACGGAGTTGCAGTCTCCACGGGTGATTACAACACCGTTTGGGACATCTGTACGGTTATTGGCCAAAAGGCATACGTCCATCAGCCTGGAAACCCATATTACGACCATCAAATGTGGGAAATACCGCTTCCGGATCAGCCCATTCAGCGGTTCGTCAAGGCGAAGGCACACATGCAGTTGCATCCGGACTGGAAGACAAAGGACCTCGACGCGAACAAGCAGAAGCTGGGCCATGATAAGAGGAAGCAGACTATGGTCAACAAAACGGCAGCTCAGTTTCTGGCCGGCCTGTCTGGCCAAGTTCAGACCGCTCAGCATGTTCAAGCCCTGGCCGCTTCCTCTCCGCAGGTTCAGGCTGCGCCGCCTGCCCAGGCTCAGGATGCGCAATCTCTCCAAGACCAGGTCACTCGTCCTGTCCAGGAAACCCAACCCTCTCAGGATGCCCAGCACATCGAGGGAGCCCAGCCTGCCGCTGAAACCCAACCGGACATTGAGCCTGCCGATGACGGCCAAGTCGACTTCCAGTCTGCCGATAAAGATGAACTTAACATCCGGCCCCTCAGGAAGTCGCCGAATTTCATGGACATGTTGTATGATCCTAAGTGGGACGAGCAATGGGACCCCGCCAACCTGAGTGACCAGTGTACCGAGGACGCCCAACACGAGGTCTCGGACAGTGAGAGCTTACAATTCTCTGAGGGCACTCAACTCCAGGGTACCCAGCGCGGCGATGTTGATGATCGCAATGAGGGCGCGCTCCAACCCCCTTCCCGCAAGCGTCGTAGGACAGAGCCATCCGTTCCTGAGGTGGTCGCGCCAAAGAGACGTCGCCGTGGCTAAACTCCCAATGGAACTCCACACCACACCGCCTCATCTCCCACTGTTTATGGAAGTATCCATCAGTCTGCCATTCCCTCTCGGAACGGTTACCAGAGAGGTGTTCGTCCACTGGGCGGGTAGAGCAACTTCATGTTCCCCGAAAACCATATGTCTTCCGGATATCTGACCTCTTCACCTGCCGGAGATGCTCATTTGCAGGACTCAGCGCAGTTTGGCAGAGCTGAAGGAAATACTTCAGTTCCAGGGCATTCTTCCAATGGTCCAGCAGCTCAAGAACACCACTCCCGCCGTAAATGAGCGTCTCGTCGACCCCAATCTCGGTTCTTCGAGAATGAACCAGCTCCATCAATCTCGACCTTGGCTCTTCTGTCGTGGCAGAGCGCCCTACCAATCTTGATCCCAGCTCTTCACGCATGGGCCCGAACAGGCGTTCTACCAACTCTGGCGTAGGCTCTTCGGGAGTGACCGGACCAGAGAATACCACCAACGTTGGTACCCACGGACTTCCTGGCATGAGCGAGCCCCCCACTGCTTCGGCTCTCCACACCATTTCTGGTTACCACAGCTCTTTTGGTTTCGAGGCCGTCCATTCTCTGATGCCGACCCCGGCCATTCCCTTCAGGAATAGAACTGACTGGCGAAACAAGATTTCGCCACAACTTTTGAAAGAACGGAGAAGGGATGTTCAAGAGAATCTGTACGGCTTGTTGATACTGGCTTGAACAGTCATCGTAGAACTTGGTGGAAACACTGTTTGTTCATGATGTCAAGTTGTTGGGTAACGGCTGCATGAATATGCGAGAGTATTTAGAAAGAACAAAGGAAAAAGAACAAAAAGATGAGTCAAAGAGATTATCACAAAAAAAGATAAATATAGAAATCAGAAAAAAGGCTGAGCAGATCGGACTGATGTAATGGGTGTTTGACGATGAGATAATGAGATGCTCCAAAGACGATGTAAATATCGGAAGTGGGGAGTGATATAACGTCCGTCACCGTGAAGCGAGATTCACCGTCAAGCGAGATGGTGATAAGTGTACGGAGTAGAAGAAGAGACCCAGTTAAGTTGTGTAGAGTCTGTGCGTGCCCTAAGAGCTTTTCACCTATACCTAGGACTCGGGCTGGGAGCTAGGCAAGGAGTACTCTGTAGGGACTGCTTGTATCGTCTCCTGTCTCGCTATACGGTGGATCTCGGTTCGCGATAGACGAACGTTACGTAGCCGTAAAGAGCTTTTGGCGTCCAGCGTTATATTAGAAAGACAGCGGGAACGAGCACTGGTTGGAGCTCAAGGCTGGCCCATGTCACTAACGTCAAAGACGTATCAGGCTGGTTGAAATTCAGCTCTTTCCAGTACCAAATTCTTCGAGAGCTCTGATATATGCGCTCAATTTTAGAGCATCATGTCCCCATCGACGCCGCTACGTAGGGCGTTGGACTTTTCATCAGCTCTTCGGCGTTCCGTGGGCAAAGGCCGGCGAGGTCAGAGAGCTGGAGTAGCCGAGAACGTTAACACGGACATTTTGCTTCCCGTTTGAGATGGAAAGCTTGGCGTGAGCATCATAAACGCCCGTCGCCTCTCCGCCGCCTCTCCTCCACCTGTTACTCTGTCAACCTGCCACCGCCACCGCGTGCGCGACCTGCAACGAAACACGACTGCTAACAGCGCCCTTGTTTCTTTTGCTTCACAACATTTGATCTTTCAACTGCTCAACAACTCAGCTCAAGTTTCTGTGAGCTCCGGGAATATGACTTCGCGCGACGACGCAGGCTCGATGTTTTTCACACTCAGTGACGAAGAAAAAGGTGAGTTCTAGCCTTGTAGGCTCAACTTGTTTGACCTCGTCGAATCTATCGCGCTGACGCGCTTCTAGCTGTAGTTAACGGGGATGAGATGGCAGAACTCTACGAGAATGAACCCGAAGCGACCGGTGCCAGCGAGTCCACGCCCAACGCCAACGACGACGATGGTAAGTTCTAGCACTGCTGGCTGAGGATGATTTGACCTCAGCAATACCGATCGCGCTGATCCATTTGTCGTAGCTGCCGGCGATGATGACAGATCTTTGGACCGTGAAGGAGACCAGAGTCATTCTGACGACGACTTCTGTAAGATCTGACACAGCTGGCTCGGGATACCTTGACCTCAGCAAAGCTGTTCATGCTGACACTTTTGCTGTAGCTTCAAGAGAAAGCGACGACGACTTGTATGACCGGCCTGACTCCAATGATGAGTACGGTAAGTTCCAGCTCAGCCGGCTTAGAGTGCCTCGACCGCAACAAAACTAGTCGGACTGACCCATTGGTTGTAGATCCACGCATTAAGCGCCAAACGGTGAAGTCCAAGGCGGCTGGTGGTCGTGACAATCATTCTGCCAACCCGCAGAATCCTGCCTTGCAGGTTCCTAGCCAGCAAGCTCTCAACCTACAGGTTCTTGCCCAGCAGGCACTTGCACAGCAGGGGTGTCCTCAATGCGGCACGCAGACCATCTCACAGCTGGATCTCACTGCCAACCTTGAGCCGCATCAACGTCTGGCAGCGGAGATCCCCCGGGGACCGGACAACAATCCAACCAGATACGGTAAGTTCTCTTTACTCCCAATGTTGGACTGTAAATGACTACACGCGCAGAAGTGGCCCCAAAGGGCAATCCGGGAGATCCCTTAGATGTTACGTCCTTCATCCCGGAACAGGCTTACGTATCCGAGAGCAATATTCCGTTCCGTCTTGGGCTTCTCGAACAGCCAACGGTGCAACCAGGACGCCGTGTTGGAGAGTTCACTCATCCGATCACCGGTCGGAAGCTCTGCGATCTGCCTATCCTCGGACCGCGTAACGGATTCATTTCGAGCAAGGTCGAAGGCTGGCGTGCGGACATGTGGCGTTCTTACGACCCTCGGGTCCAAAACTCCGACATCATAAATCGCTTCAGAACCCTACCCGATGATTACAAGCAGACAAGCCGCAACCTCACCCAGCATATGCTTGCTTGGAGAACGGCGAATGCTGGATTTACGTTGCGACCGCGCAACCTTGGAGTCGACAGAGTCCGTGTGCAAGACTTACAGGCTTTAGAATCGGGGACACCGCCAACGCTGTTGTCAGAAGACCAGCTACTCCACAACACCATCTGGACCCTTGAGCATGACCAAGGCCAGTCGTACATAAGCCAACCTGGAGGCACGTGGGGTGGCCGTTGGCCTATCCAAGCTAACCAGGAGCTTAGCGCCAGAGTAAAGCATAATTTGCCTTACTACATGAGAGTGAAGCCATTGGCTGGCTCTGAAGACTTGGGAAAGTATCTCAAGAAGCATCCGGAATTCGTCAGGCATGATACCAACCTTAAGAAGCGCAAGAGAACCCTGGCTATCAAGAAGGGAAAGGCTGTGCAGAAGAATCCTGAGCAAGAGGTTTCCGACGAAGAGAGTCGTGAAATAGAGAGTTCTGAGCAAGAGCGCCCCACGAGGAAGACGGCGAAGCGCCAGAGGAGCACAACCGAAGGCTCCCCTAAGCCTAAGCGTCGTCGCTTAGATGCTTCCAGCTCGCAAGGTGTTCCGGCAGCCGAGGATGAGCTGGACTATAGCGTCTTGCGGCGACCTGCGCACCACTTCCTCCATCCCACAGCCCCCACCCCTCTCTTTTATTATGGAAGGGACGAGCCGACTCCCGTTCCTGGATCACGTCTTGTTCCCCGGGACATCGTAAACGCGTCGCACGAGAATCTTCTCAGCCAGGAATATCTCCGCCAGGCGATAGACGCGCTCAGTACCACCACCACGACTGACCAAATCAGCACAATCAACAGTCTTGCACAGATTGACATCGCGCGGAGGTATTACTTCGCGATAAGGCCGTTTCGTTTGACGAATATCCCAAACTTGGAGTTGGACACTTCCACCGAGGAGGGTTCCCGCCAGCTGCACAATGATTCGGCGTTGTACTCCCACTTCGTTCAACAGATGGCTTCCGTACTTCGGGAGTGGTATCGTATAAACCAGGGATCCACCCAGAACCAGAGCTCCGCCCAGAGGCAGTTTCTCGATCCTGGCTTGCCCAATGACAACATGAGGTTTGGGGAGAACGAGAACAGGTGGCCAACGGGGTCCAACTGGGGTTCGCTCTACTCGGAAGGACCGCAGTACCAGGGGAACGGAGCCTTTCCTGCTGGGTCTGCCTCTGCCTCGTTGTCTTCACAAGGATACAACGGCCCTCAGTGGCATGCATCTCCGGGAAGCTGGCAGACTGGAGGCAACAACGCCGTTAGAGGTGCAGGAGCTTCAGCTTCCTCTGCCCACTTTAGTTCCAGTCTCTATGCCTATTCCTATCCCGCGGGAGGCCAGATTCCGAACAATGTCGGAAACCAGCAGCGGGGCTCCAGAGACCGGTACTCCACGAGCGAGCATGACGATGACCAGGACCAAGATCAGGACCAGGGTGGTGGCGGAGACACAACTAACTAGTCCGGCTATGAAGACTGGTTTCCGCGGCGGTTGGCACTCCGAACGATGTGCTGAGGAGATTGAGAAGATTTGAAAGACGAGGCAGGCGAGGACGACCTGGACCCATGAAATCCAGACAAAGGAAATGGCTCAAGCGACCTTGGCGAGTGGCGAGAACAGTTATCGAAAAATAAAAGACGACAAAAAAATTCCAAACAAAGGCATCTCAGAGCCTCGACACGGGGCTGTGCTGTCCTTAAGTCTGTTGTAACATTCCATGCGATTTTAGCGATGAGAAAGTTGCCTTGCACCGAAGGCATATCGACAGCTGTATCCAGCTATCGACTTCCATCAAAATTTCCTTTGTTGTCCAGCAGCTGTCGAAAATGAAGATTGCGAGATGGACTGGAGGTGGGCCGGGCGTTGACCAGCGGGCGGAAGAACTTGGAGCCGAACCAAACGACAACTGCAGCTGAGGTCCTTCTGCCCTGCAACCCGGACACTGATTGGAATTGTTGCTGGTTCGGCTTCGAACTGCGAGTATATGGGAGGTAACAAGGTCGAAATTGCGATTGGCCGACAAAGACCGCGGTTGGGTGGCGAGAGACCGTTACGGCTCAGATTGCGTTCAACCTCAGCGGCGACCCTGAATGGGAGATTGGTACTAATGCGGTGGATTCTGAAAAGGTTATGGTTAATGGCAAACGCCGAGTGTAGGAAACAACCCTTGATTTCTTTGCTTACTGGAAAGCTTCTTGCGGATTGAACGAAAAACGCAGCGCATGCGAGCTTGGAAAGAGCAAAGCAGGAGGAGCAAACTGGCGACGTGTCTTCCAAGGACTCACGATGGAAATGCAGGTCCAAATTTTTTCGAACGGGAGATTTTTTTGAAAGGAGAGATTAAGGTGCGCAATATCTGCGGCGCGAATATCCGTGCTTGTACTTGGTGCATGCAGACGCAGACAAAGAGGACGCTTATCCAGAGCATTCACGCCCGATCCCGAACACTGCATGTGTGCTCCCGCACGGCAGAGCGACAAACATGCACCAGCATACAAGGTCAAGGTTTAGAAGCTTCAGTGCTGCTGAGATTGGTAGAATACACAGGTACCTATGCCACTACGGGTCGGGCCTTGTCGACAAATTGGGCAATTCCGCCGGTGGCAAGCAGCAGCGCGAGCAGGCTCGACTTGATCACCCTTTCTCCCCCTCCCCCTCTCCCTCCTCGACAATCAACTCACCCCCACGAGAGCATTCATGCCGCGCTCCAAGCCGCCGGAGACGAGGTCAAGATGCTCTACACGCACCATAGATCCTACCCACTAAACAGCTACGCAACAAGCCAGACATCTCGAGCGCACAAGCAACCCACCCAACCCCAAAGCACCTCAGCATGAGTCTCAAAGGCAGCCAACACCGCCCCAAAGAAACGCAAATGCCCCCTTAAACGCAGACAAAGTAACTGCACAACACGCCAACGCGCCTCGTTCAAGACAGAGAAATCAAGAAGGCAAGAGCCATCCCATCCCCCTCCGATTCGCCATACAAGCACTCTAGAATCTCTATGGATGTGTATGTATGTATGTATGTATGTATGTATGTAGGGGGTGTGGAAGCTATTCGTAATCGTTATCGCTAAAGGAGGAGCTGTGTGGACATTACACAGAAGCGAGACAAGCAAGTATACAAGTACGTATAATAAAACCGTGAAACTGACATTGCGTAAGACTCCTATAGATGACTAACTAAATGGACTTTGGATGACTGATAGACTGACTGATAGATAGAGATATAAATAGATAGAGAGATGGTTGTAAATCGCCAACATCCCACCCAGACCCAACCTAAACGCCTCACTCACTCACTCACGCATTACCGCTCCCACCATCCCCATCCACCCCCCTTCCCCAGGCCGCACCACCTACGCACCCACCGGCGCCGGCCCACCCCCCCGCCTCTGCACCTCCTCCGCCCACCGCACCCACCGCCTCACCGCCTCATCCACCCGCGCAACCCCCTCCCGGCTCGCCTCAACCTCAAACCACTCCTTGTGCACCTTGCCGCACATGCCGCACTCGCGCAGGACCCTCTGCTCCATCAGCTCCAAATGGATCAGCCGCTCAACTTTATGCACGAACGGGACCTCGCGCACGCCGCCGCCCGCGCGGCCGTCGGCGCCCGGTACCGCCGCCAGCGGATCCCCGCCCGACACGTACGGGTAGAAGCGTAAAAGCGTCGGCGCGTACCCGCACTGATGCTTCCACTCTTGCATCCGGCGGTGCACGTTGTTCGCGCGCCCGATCTTGAGCAGGACGCTGCGTTTCTTCTCGGCACCATCCAAGCCATCAGCAGGACTCGCGCCGCGCGCCCGCGACCCCCGCGGCCGTCCCGCAGTCCCGGCGCGGATGCTATGCGCGCGCAGCAGGTCCCCGGCGCCGGGTGCCGAGTCCCCAGAGAGCAGCGCGCTGGCGTCCCGTTCCGATGGCCCGGAGAGCTTGTTCTCGCTGCCCTCTTCCGTCAGCCAGAAAATGTAGATGAAGCCTGGCTCGTCTTTGGCGCTGATGGGCTTGTTGGTTTCGGCGAGGAGGGTCGACGCTGTGCCTTGCGCGAGGTGCGCGGGGATGAACGTCGACGGGTCGCTCGGGTCCAGAGGCGCTGCTGCCGGCTTCGCAGGGCGCGACTGCTGCTTGGGCGGGCGGGGCGCGCTCTGCTGCTGCTGCTGCTGCTGCGACGAGGCAGGGCGCGGCGGCCTTGGCGCCGGCGCAGAAGGCTCGTCGTTCGCGGCGGACGAGGCGCCGCAGCACAGGGCGCAGCACAGCGAGGCGAGCAGGCCGCGCTTCTTGTGCGGCTTTTCACTGTAGTTGCCGCCGTTGTCGCCGCTGCCGTCGGAGCTGCCGTTGCCGTTCAGCTTCCAGTTCATCAGGTCCTGCGGCACGCTCAGCAGCGGGCCGTGCACCTTGCCCCAGGTGGGCGGGCGCGGGATCTGCTGCGCCGGCGCGGCGTTGTTGGCGTTGTTGTGCTGCTGCTGCTGCTGCTGCTGCTGCTGCTGCTGCTGCTGCTTGCGCGGCGGCTTGGCCTTGCCGGGCTTCTCGTCTTGCATTTCGAGCACGCCGAGGCGCGCGACTAGCGAGTCGATGCTGCCCTGGTGCTGCAGCGGCACGATGTGCGTCGTGTCCTGATGCTGGACACCACCGGCGCCTCCGCCCGCCTGCCCCCCGGCCAAGCTCGTCGCCTGGTCTTTGTGCTGCCAGCAGAAATACGCAGCCGCGCCCTCGGCGGCGTTGATGGGCACGACGGCCAGCACGCCGGGCCCGTGCTGCGGGTTCGGCTTCAGCGAGGCCGAGATGTCGCGCCGGCAGGGGCGGCCCGACGACGTCACGCCTTTGCAGGTTGTCGCGGTTGGGTCTACGTCGTCGTTGGTATTGTTGTTGTTGTTGTTGTTGTTGTTGTTGTTGTTGTTGTTGTTGCTCCCGCTCCCGCTTCCGCCCCCGGTCTCCGTGTACGAGTAGTCCTCGTCGTCGTCGTCCGGGATGTAGTCGTCGTCGCGGCGGCGTGGCATTGTGTCGTCGTTGGCGTCGTTTGGTAGTAATGGGTGTTACAGTGGTGGTGGTTACAGTGGTGGTTACAATGGTCGTTGTACAGGTAAATGGATGGGAAAGAGACAGTAGGTAGGAGGTCAGAGAGAGAGAGAGAGAGGAGCGGCTCAGCCGCAATTCAAGCCAGCGCTTCGCGGCGGTATGTGCGGGCAAGCGGGTTTCACGGGAGTGGAGTAATTAGGCGCTGGAGACGGAGACGAGGGATTGAAGCTACAGACATGGACCTGGGGCAACTTGTATACATGGTGGGGAGCCATCTTGGCTTTCTTTTGCTGCTAGGTTGGATGGCGGTTCGTGCGTCTTGGACTTGAGGGGGAGGTTGGTGTGCTGTCCCGCTCGAGTGACGCGGTTCACCGGATCTGCAGGGGGTGCCACAGCTTGCATTGCGCCACGATACCGTATCGAATCGCTTTTGAGGCAGGCAGGGCTGATCACGCTCTTGAAACGGCCGTTTACTTACGTGGGCCCACGCACCCGCTTCGCCCTGTCCTGCCGATGTGCCGCTGTCCCGCCGCTGTCCCGCCCTGCCTTTTCTTTTCGTGACCCGGACATTTCCCGTTGGCTCGCCAGTCCGGCAGAGTGCCGACTCGCTGGCCCGAGCGTCCACTGCCGCCGTCGCGCATTGCTGTCCTCTTCGAGATTCCCGGTGTGAGAGAGTACAACACCACCACCGCGCAATAATTCCGAGGCAGCGAAGCAACCACACTCTTTTTCTACTACCCAAAACCGATTTGCCATCCCGCCCGCCATGGCCGACGAAACCTTCACCCTCCTGCCGCTCCAAATGGACCCGCAGACCAAGGCCATCACCGCCTCACCCTCGAGCGCCCAGCTGGAGAAAGAGCTCATGGAGCTCAACGAAGCGCACCGCTCCATCCTCACCCTCGAGACGCCGGGCCAGACGCCGCCGCCGCCCGTGCCCATCAACCCGAAGCGGTCGGCCGCGATCAACAAGCTGCGCGAGTCGGGCAACGCCGCCTACAAAAAGGGCCAGCACCTCGAGGCGCACCGCTTCTACACGCAGGCCATTGACACGGCGCTGGCGCGCCCGGGCTGGGAGCCGTCGCAGCTCGTGCGCGAGGAGCTCGCCATGCTCTACTCGAACCGCGCCCAGGCCGCCATGGCCATGCAGAGCTGGGGCGAGGCCGCCGTCGACGCCCAGACCTCCGTCGACATGAAGCGCGTGCAGAACGCAAAGGCGTGGTGGAGGCGCGGCCGCTGCCTCGTCGAAATGGGCCGCATCAAGGAGGCCAGGGAGTGGGTGCGCCAGGGCTTGGAGTTTGACTCGTCCGAGGCCGACCTGCGCGCCCTCATCGACGAGATTGAGGGCCTGGTGGCCAGGGGCAAGAGCGACTAAATGCGGGGGGGGGCAGCAATTGGGAGCGGAGTACTTGTACTAGTGCGTGCGGGGAGGGGAGAGCCGTTTGCGGCAGACGCGACGCGACGAGACGAATGGCAGGCAGGGCGTAATAGGCGTATGGCGCAATGACGGGAAGGGTTTGAGGGTTGGTTCCATGCCATGTTCCGAGCATCACGTCTGGCTGGCGAGCGACCCGGCGGCTGGCCGAGCGACATGAGTTAATTCCATATACGTACCGTGAGCGAGATAGGGACCGATACAACGGAACACTCCTCGTCTAGCTAAAAGCCCGAGTCCTAGATATGGGGTGAAATGGTTCTAGAGCATACACGTACTATAAATATCTTGGCTAGATTTCTTCTACTCCGGACAAGCGTCATTGTCGCTTCATGGTGATTGGTGACGGGCGGTAGTTAGCCACACGCCCGACACACGTCCACCTCCGCCTGCCGCAGACGGGAGTGATAGACCCGACATCAATGCAAGGGACCGTGGCAATGACACACGCGCATCGCATCGCGCGTCGGTCATGTCGCTCCTCCAGTCGACATCGCCATGGCCGAAGACGACGCAGGGCCATGTGACGGCAACGGCCAGGCAGCGATCGCCCTCGGGCCGCCAGCGCAGCAGGGATGCGGGTCTGCGCCACGGGGGTTGAGGCTATGAACAGCAGGGTTGACACGGCCCTTCTACACCGCGTAATGGTTTCGCTTCAGGTAAACACGCTCGCTCTCGTTGGCACTGCGGCTATGACCCAGCTGAGCCTTGAAGAGCCTTCGTCACTGACTGGTTAAACGGCCTTTAAGTTGCGCGTCCCCCGACCGACCTCTTCCTTCGAATCACGATAACGATACCCTCTCAACACCCACTCTCTTTTCACGAATAAGCGGTCAGGAGCGAATACCTACCTACGGGCACCAACACCAACCTCCCGTCCCCGACCCGCCGTCCTCGGCTTGCCGCGTCTGCGAGCCACAACCACCACCACCACCACCATGCGCGCCAGCATCCCCCAGGCCAAAATACAAAAGGGCAAGACGGCCGCCCACTGCATCCAGTCGCTGCTCATTTTCGTGGCGGGGTGCTTGACCCTCGCCGTCCTCACCAAAGACGGCGACAATGACGGCCGCACCGCCTACTTCTTCGCTCTCGTAAGTGCTGCTGCCGCCGCCGCCGCGTCGCCAACCTTTCTCGCTGACACAGTCGCGTTAGTGCTTCGTCACCGTGCCCGCGCTGCTGTACCTCGTCGCATTCCCCATGTGGAGCCGGACAGTGCGGTTCGTGAACGCGTACGCCTTTGCGGTGATTGATATTGTCTACACGGTACGCTACCCACGAGAGGCCAAGGACGCAGAATGAAAGCTGATTGGTGAGGGCGTAGGTTATGTGGTTCGCGGCGTTTGTGGCCGTCGCGACGTGGAATTCCGAGGGCATCAAGCAGGGCGCCAAGGACAAGGACCTCGACGAGAGCGACGGCAACTGCACCACCTTTGCCCACGGCCCGGAGATGAAGTGCAAGCTCAGTGAAGCCACTGTCGGCATCGGCGTCGTTATCTGGTAAGCGCCAGCAACACCGTCACCACAGAGCAGAGATGTTAACCGCCCCCACCCGCCAGCTTGCTATTCGTCCTCACCTCGATCATCTCCGTTTACTACATCCGCAAGTACCGCGAGACGGGCCAGATCCCCGGCGTCAAGACCGGCCCCAGCGGCACGTACAACGAAGTGCTGGACCCGACCTACACGGGGGCAGCGGGCCTGGCGCCCGGAAAGGAAGACCCAGAATCCGCCTGGTCGGCCAACACAGCCGAACTCGACCACGAAGACCCCCTCCACGACGCCGCCTCCGGCGCCAACAACCCCTACGGCCCCGACAGCTACAACCACATCAACACGGCCTACGCGCCCTCCGTCGGCGCCTACAGCGCCAGCAACTACGACACCGCGACCATTACGTCTGAGCGCAAGTACGCGCCGCTGCGCATCGGCGACTTGAGCCCGCTGCCCCAGCATGCGGATGACGAGGAGGAGGACTGGCTTGATGAGGGCAGGTTTGGCCCGAGCCATCCTGCGTATCGTGGTGATGATGCTGCGGATAGCAATGCTTTCCATATCTCGCCGGCCGTGTTGGGCGGGAGTGCGGCTGGCAGCCCGCCGCCTCAGGGGGGTTATGACGAGTTTAGGCATAAGAAGAATTATAGCTTTGATGGGTAGATGGGGAGGTAGGGGGACGGGCTGCGTGGCGCGGGTGCGGGGCTGGTGCGGTGTTTTGATGAGGGACGAACGGACGGAAGAAGAAGAAGAAGAAGAAGAAGAAGAAGAAGGTTGGGAATGGGAATTCGGGTGTAGAAATGAGGGGAGGGTTGGGCAAGTGCATGCCTGCCTACAGCAGCAGCAGCAGCAGCAGCAGAAAAAGGGGAGGACGACTGTATTGACTGAACTGACACTGACCTTTACTTATTACTCATAATGCCCGTCCGAGATCAGATCGATCGATACGGCATGATTACGGACATGGACGTATATACTTATCATATCTCTTATCACTTCAGAACTTCATATCACTTCATAATCATACGCAGCACACTTGTTCTGTTTTGTGAGGCTACGAAGTTGCGCTCTACTCCGCACGCTTCGGTGCTTCGGTGTTTAGGGGTTTCGTACTATGCTGTTCTATTTCATAAGTCTATAAGGTTGCGCTCTACCCCATCCGTATGCTTGGGAAGTCTTGCTTATAACTACTATTAGAGATACGGTAAACGGCTAGGCTATATGTCTGTATGGCTAGGTATATGGTTGGAGGGGTTGGGGTTGGGTGTGCTATGCTGTCGTGTGGTGTGGTGTGCTATTCTATGCGGCCACAAACTTACCCTCGCTTATGCTGTCGAGACATAGCTGTAGGCCTGTACGGTTAGAAGGGTTGGGATTTATACCATTAGGGAGGAGTTAGGGCGTTGTACTGTTAGGGAGGAGTTAGGAGTCAGTATATATATACTATGCTGTTTGTTTATCCTTTAATTAGGTGTATAGAATTAGAATTCTTGTGCTGGTAGAGATAGTTATACGGCTAGATACTATATATTTATATTCTTATATATATTTAGATACACCGAAGCGTATAGAGTAGAGGCTGTAGACCAAGCTGAGCAACTTAGGTGGCCTCACAAAACAGAATAGCATACGCAACTTGCGTAGCCTCACAAAATAGAACAGCATAGTACACTCTCCCATAAGCACCCGTGCATCTAAACACGTACAAACACCAAACCCCTCTAACCATATATCACCGTAGCTCTAACAGTAACATACCGAAGCGTACGGAGTAGAGCAACTTGTGTGGCCGCACAAAACAGAACAGCATACGCAACTTTGTGTGGCCTCACAAAACAGCACGCACAGCCACCGCCATCATAATCCCATTGTCCCCCCGAAACCCCAAACACTGCACACTGAACAATGCCCGCCCGCAACGCCACCGCGCTTCTTTGTCTTGATCCCTACCATCACAGCCACAACAACAAAACGCACTACAACGAGATTGTTGCTAGGGACGGAAATGTCTGCGCCCGAACAATGCAGGCGCGCTCACAGCACAATGCCTCTGTGCGAAAGTTCTCGTGCTCTTATACTGCTGCCTTGGCGGCGACTTGCTTGCTTGCTTTCTAGCCAGATACTGATTCACCCGCATCGCAATGGCTGGCTTCGCGGCTTTCCGGAACGCCCGCTTGATGCGCCGTCTCTGTTTTGGTTCAGGAGAGCACGTCTCGCGTCCCCAGACACCAGCACCGGTACTGTTAGAGATGGTGGCAGAGCCCGCAAATAAGAAAAAAGGTCCGTTTACTGCTGACCACCCGAATGGTCTGGCTATGCATCCGGTTACTCCTCCTCCTCCACCGAAAAAGGCAGAGCCAGCGCCAGAGCCAGAGCCACGCACCAGCCTCTCTTGCCCCCAGCGCTCCTCCTCCCCGGCCGGTCCGGGGTCAGCGCCAAGCGCGCTGGGGAGCATGAGCGCAGGCGTAGGCATGGGAGCTGGCGCAAAAGTTAAGGTGCATACACCACCACCACCATCACCACAGCAGCAGCAGCAGCAACAACAACAACACCACCATCCCACACTACCCACCCCCACCCTCCTAACAGCACTCGACGCTCTCCCCCTCCCCCTAGTCCCACCCAACCCCGCCCGCAGCATCAGCCCCCGCGCACTAGCAGAGATCGCGCACGCGCTGCGCGCCGTGATGCCTGTCATATACGCGTGGCAGCGGCAGCGCAACCACCACCACAATAACAATAACACCACCTCTACCACCCCCACCACCACCGCCGCCACAGCCGCCCGCAGCGCCGACTGGTGCGCCATCTGCCGCTCGCTCACGGCGCTGGAGCACAGCCTCCGCGCGCTGTGGGACCGGGGCCGGTACTTGACGCCGCTTGCCGATGGCGACGGGCAGGGGCACGCGTGCGCGTACGCGTACCGTGTAAGGGGAGGGGGCTGGCTTAGTACGCTCTGGCTTGGGGTGAGGGTGAAGCGGTTCGAGCTGCTGAGTGTGCTGCCTGATGCTCGACGGGGACAACGGGGAGAGGTGCTTCCTTTGGAGTTGGATTGGACCCGCTGCGTGGGCTGGCTGGTCAAGATCGAGGCGTATGCTGCGTTGGGCGGGTTTCCGCCTAGCTTTTCGGAAGTGTTGGGGAGGTTGCTGCCGAGGGCGCTGGCGGCGGGTGCGGCGCGAGAGAGGGGTTGGTGAGGTTTGTTTTGTCTTTGTGGTCGAGGTGAGTGGGTGAGGTGCTTGTTGGGACTGATTTGACTTGGCGTTTGGCGTTTGGAGGCGCTTTGCTTGTATATGATAGAAGTGAGTCTCAATCCCCACGGCAGGAAAGACAGAGAAACAGAATAGAAACTCCGGAGTTTGACTATAATTGGACTGGATACGTATAAGAGCATAAAAACACGAGCACCAAAAAATTAAAAACAAAAATAAAGAATAGACAAAATAAGAATGGAGAAAACAAAGAAATACACCTATCTCAACTCCCATTATTTTAAATCCATCACCGTAAAGCAAAACCTACCGTCTCCGTAGTAGCGCGACGTCGATGGACACAAACAGCGCCTACAATACACTCCTTATCTACCTAGCTCCAATCCCAACTCCCATAGGCACCTCACACACAACCAACACAACCCACCCGCACGCATAAACCCACGACGCATAACCCACCCACCCAAAGCAGCTAGCGTAAGCACTAACCCCAACTAAGCTAGCGCGCGCACAGGGCTGCCTGTCTGCCCTGGCCTGCCCTGCATGGCTGGCCGCCTCGCGCCAAGCCGTTTCGAGCCCAGCGGCGTAGCGAGGTGAGGATGCGCGCGGGTGTGACGAATGTCGAGTTCAGCGGCTACCTAGGTAGATGACGGGTACGGGTACGGGTGTGGGTTTGGGGGCTTTTTGGGGGCTGTTTCGTGTTAAGAGGAGGGGTGGGTGTGTGGTGGTGTCGACAGCGGACGGGACATTGCTGGGGTGAGAGCTGTCGCCCGCTATTTACGTACCTGCATAGGCTGGGGACAAAAACGTGGAATAGAGGTAGGTAGAGGCTCTGCCCGCCGACAGACAGACAGGCTTGTCTTGTTTCAAGCGCCACCTGCCGCCGTGACACAAACCTACTTTGTACTGTATACGCACCTCCCCTCCTCCCCACCCCCACACAGCACAGCACCACACATCCACCCACCTACTATCTACCATTTACAACCTACCCCATCCGCGCCCACTCTACCCAACCCACCGCACCGCACCGCACCATCACCCACGCGATCCCTCGCTCCACCACCGCCGCTGAAACAAAGAAGGACGCACCTACCCACAACCAGCGCAGCGGGACAGCCCGCACTCGCACTCGCGCCTCCTTAGGTACAATACATAGTTAGCCTCTCCTCCGTCCCGAGGGGGCGGACAAGCGTGCGCGTGTGCGTGCGTGCGCGAGCTCTGCCGTGCCGAGTCTACCGTATATACTTCGACGGCGCAGAGCCGCGCCCACGGCCACGGGTCTTGGATCCTCGCGAAGGCCCCTTTGCCGCGTGGAGACGGAGGGGATCGTGGACGGGCGGGCGGGTCGGTGGGTGTGTGGAACTGGACTTAGACTGGGAGGGGCGGCGGGGCGAGGGGGCGCGAGCTCGTGCTGGGCGGTGAGAGGGGTGAGGTGGGTGGATGAATGGGGTGAGAGAGGTGAGAGGGAGAGGGAGAGGGGTGTGTGTGGAAGTGAGGATGAGGATGCGAGGGGATCTGGGGGGACGGATGAAGTGTGATGCTGGTTGGTGGGTGGTGATTGGATGGTGGAGAGTATGGTAGGTTGATGGCTATGTATTGCCTATTTGTGTTCGGATGGCGAAAGCAGGAAAAGGGTAAGTAAATAAGCTTAAGGGAATACAAGTAGTGGTTGCGATGCAGGTAAGATGTTCGCAACGAGAGTGTATTTGTTATGATCCAGAGCATCCGGAGCGTGGTTGCATGCGGGTGGAGGGCAGAAGCCACGTAGGGAGAAGGTCGAGGAGCAGCGTCGTGGCCCTGCTGAATTGGCCGTGGGCGCGGACGGGCGTCGTCGTCAGCGTCAGCGGGTGGTGAAGGTACGGCAGTCGGTAGGTGCGCGGCCCAGTGTCGCAGCGCAAGGTGGCCGTGGGGGGATGAAGAGTTTTCGCTCGTCGTCGAACACGCTGTCCGGTGAAGAGTGAGTCGAGCAGCGGGGAACCAGGCCACCAACAAACGGCGGTACCTGGCACGCTGGCAAGGATGCCGCTGCTGGCCAGCAAATAATGACGTTTCTTTGCTGTAGGGTAGCATTCGGCCGCAGCCGCAAGCTCCAGCCACCATCCACACGGCGACAGGAAGCTGTACGTACATAGGAGTGCATATACAAACGTACATAGGGTCAAAGAAATCATTCTCTTCCATCTCCATCTCCATCTCTATCTTCACCGCTACTGCTATTTTTTTTCCTTCGAGGCTCCGCCCCCCCGCAACTCCCTCGTGGCACCAGGCACTTTTGTGTGGAAATTTAAACCCTTGACCCCGCCGGACGGGATCCCGAACTCCCCACGACTCGCAGGGCTGACCCGACGCCGCAAGACCCTGGGTGTGCATCAGACAAAACCCGCAAACAACAACATCAACAACACAAGTCGCACGCAGCCCAAAGGACTCTCTCTTTCTAGTGCACCCCGCATCCGACGCACCCGGCTGTGCCTGCCATGTCCTCATCCGCGAACGATTCACACGCCACCGTCTGCTCCATGCGACCCGCCCGTGGCTGCAGCAACAGCTTCCGCGCCTCCACACCGCCAGTCGTCGACGGTCGTTGTTTCCCTCACGCCGCCGACACAAGTCCCCTTCCTCCCGCCCTCACCTCCTCATCCTCCATCTGTGCCCCCGACGAGCAAAAGCCATTCACCAGCTACGATCCCCAAGCCGCCCTCGAGCTTGATTACCCGACGCGCGGACCCGGTACCGGACACTCCAAATCCCTGTCGGCCTCGTTCCTCGAGAATTGCAGGCCGTTGGTGCACCGTGCAACCGCCTCGATCTCGTCTCTGACACAGCAATCTCGCGCCTCCCTACCACCTCTCACGACGCCGCTAGCATCGTCCACCCCCTCGCGCACCACCCGCACCACCCCCACACTCTTTCACTCAGACGACGACGATCGGGCCCGCTCGACGCAGCAAAACAACAACGACAACGACGCCCGCAGGCTCTCGTTCCTCGACAGCTGGTTCGGCGGCGCTACATTTCCTTGGACCCTCGGCCTTGCGCCGAACCACAACACCCACACCCACCCTGAACCCGACTCGGCCTGCGACCTAGGCTCCGACTCTGACTTCGATCGAGACGACTTCTTCAAACAACACATGGATCCCGTGAGCAGTTTCACCCGCGCTCCGCCCAGCCTGGGCCAGCGCCGTAGGGAGAAGCGTGAGAGCACCACCTCTCAGGCCTCCACTCAGGCTCCCAAGACTTCCAAGATCACCTCCTGGTTCAGCCGGGCCTCGAGCAACACCCACAAGCGGGAGAACTCGGGCTCGCAACCCCACGACCCGCTGTTGACGCTCAACATCGAGCAGACGCTCTTCCCTCGCGGCAGCCCCGAAATCTTCGACGAGGCCACCTACAACGACCTCGTGGCCAACGCTACGCAGCTGCTGCAGCAGTACCAGGCCTCGTACAAGGTGCTCTACTTTGCCATGACCGACGCCCGCGGCGAGGCCGACGCCGCCAAGGACGAGACGGCCGAGGCGCAGGTGCGCGCGACGAACCTGAAGAGTCAGCTCGACGAGAAGGCGCGCCAAGCCGCGCGCCAAGAGGAGGACATGAGGCAACTTATGGACGCTCTGAACCAGGAGAAGCTGATGCGGCGCTCACGCGGCAACGTCGTGTCGAAGCGTAAGTCGAACAGCAGCATGGCCAGCACGAGCCTGCACTCCGACTCGGGCTTCGAGAGCGAGGGCGAGACGGCCGTCGATGGCACCAGCATCCGCGACAGCATCCTCTCGGATGCTGGAGCGCTTGAGAACGAGATCAAGGAGCTCTGCGAGCAGCATGAGAAGCAGCAGGCTGCTCCTGAGACCAAGACGGCTGACGCCAAGCCCGCCATAGCCAACAAGCGCAGGAGCGTCTTCGAGACCGTCATGCAGAAGAAGCAGCAGCAGCAGCAGCAGACCCCGCCGCTCAAGAAGAGCATCATCGGTGGCGGCGCCCCCAAGGGCGGCAAGAACGTGCAGGAGACGCACGCCAGCCAGCTGGCCATGTGGAAGGAGAACCGCGACCTGCGCGAGCGCGTGGACCAACTCGAGCGCGCCGTCGAGGAGAGCTTGGCCGTTGTCGGCACCCTCGACCTCTAAATGCTGAGCGAGTGAGTGAGCGAGCGAGCGAGCAGGAGAGGACGAGGAGGAGGAGAGCGGCGAGAGGAGGATAAATTGGACAACAACAACTACAAACTACAACTCATCAACAAACAAACAATTGTAAGCAAGGGCCGGGGTGTTTTTTTTCTTATTGGGTTTGGCTTGGTTTGTTCGGGGCCGTTGCTCGTTGGTCACGTTGGTCGTTGCACAGGGTACCTATTCAACACAACATCAACAACACACATCATCAACGACGACGGCAGTTTTTGTTTTTTTCTCACTTTCATATCATTCCCCCTATTGCATGCTTCGTCTTCTCCGATTTTGGTCGCCTGTTTTTTTTTTTTTTTTTCTTTCCTCGATGCCGTCTCGTCTCGTCATTTCGTCAGTCTCTTAAATCGTCAACGACCAAGCACTTTTCTCGATTGATTGGTCGGTCAGCTGATTGACGCGTCATCACGGCAGAACGAAAAAAACAGCAGCACAAGCTCAAGCCAAAAGACCCTGGGAGGAGACGAAGCGGCAAACCCATTTCCTCGATTTCCTGTTATTTCCTTTTAGCATGCGCGCGCGCTTATTTGTTGTTTCGTTCGTTTCTCAATGCCGGCGTGGATCAAAGCTTTTCGGGAAGAGACTCGCCTAGGCCTCGTGTTGGGTTTTGGACGTGTTTCGACAAGCGTTTGGGTCTGCACTACACTACACTACCACGTACACTACTTCTTCGCTCGACGCAGCTACGCTCTCGCACGCACGCATGCTCGCACGTACGCTCTTCGCGCTCAGGCACGCTACGCTACTTACGCTATGTGGCGCATTCACGGCGTTTTTGCGCTTTTTGCTTGGCCCTCTCTCTATCTCTGCTCTCTGCCTTACTCTGCTTCTGCTTCTTCGCGTTGGTGGGGGGCTCAGTAGGGAGATATTGGGACTGTCTGTCGTCGTCTTGTCTTGATCTGGCTGTCGTCGTCGTCGTCGTCGTCGTTTTGGTTGTAGCTCGGCTATTTTACTACACGGTTTTTTTCGGCCTTGCCATACTCTTCTCCACTACTACTCTTGTCTTGTCTTGTCTTGTCCTGTCCTATCCTGGCTTGTCTTGGCGCTGTCTTGTCTTGTCTTGTCATCGGCATCAGTTGTTTGTTGGGTCTCTACCTATGCACACATTCACACTCTTACTCATACTCATACACTCATGCACATACGCATACACTTACACTTATACCTGTACGGCCTGTACCTACTATACCTACTACTGCACCTAATATCCCCCTCCCTCTTTCTTGCACTACTACACTGCTTTTACTTTTACTTCTACTACTTCTACGTCTACTGCTTCTACACTTCTACTGCTGCTATTATAGACTGATACATAGACTCACTCCTACGAAGCTTGTATGTATGTATGTATGTATGTATGTATGTATGTATGTATGTATGTACATGCATGCACGTATGTACATGTACGTATTGTTCGGGGAGCGTTGCGTTGCGTTGCGTTTGCGTTTGCGTTGTTTGGTCTTTCGTTTTATTCTGGTTTTTTGGGCGCTCTGCTGTGCGTGTGTGTCTTGCTCTCTTGCTTTCTTCCTCTCTTTCTGGGCTTTTGGCCTTGTAGAGGAGTGTAGGTGAGGAGAAGGAGGAAGCGCACCCGCTGCGTCGCTGGCTTTATACCCCTTCTTTTTCTGTTCTTTCTTCGTTGTTGTTGTGGTGGTTGTTCTTTTTGCTGGGGCGGGGTGGGGTGGCGGAGGGGGAGAGTGGTTGTTAGCGGCTAGCTGTTGTTTTCGTTTTTGAGTTTTCTGCGGGTTGGTGGTTGGTGGTCAGTGGTTGTGCCTTGTATTACTTGGCTTAGCTTAGCTTAGCTTAGATAGCATGGGGATACCCTTCGTTAGAACATAGACTTGGGAATTTAGCTTTGGGGTGTAGCTTAAATGCTAGGTCGTGTTTTTATGATCTGGTTTTGTGTGCTTGTGGAGTTGTGCTCGTGGATGAGGTTGGTTGCAGGTGTAGGCGTCTGTGTGTGAGCGTGCTATATATCTATCTTTTCGCTTCTAAAGAGTAGCGACGGATATAGAGTATGCGCTAGGGGTTTAGAGGTATATATTGTCTCTCTTCTGGTAAGCTACACTAGGCAATACGTGGACGCTTATTTCTTTTAAGAACATACAATACAAACGGCATACTCATTTTAGAGACAGGCAAACGATAGGCAATTGAATTGTTTAAGATAAGCAATGGTTACGAATACGAACAATATATAAGTACTGAGATCTGTTATATTACAAGCAAAAGGATAGATAAAAAAGCATAGTATATTTCTGCGCTCTAAACCAGTCCAACTACCTTGCTATTTTCTTTTTTTCCAACTAGACTGTACAAAGAGAAAGGACCAACATCGATATGAAAGCTTTAGAGTATACCGAAAGGCTTGCCAACGAACCTTCTGTGCGTGGTGTTATTTTGTTCCCCTATGAAACTGTAGCTTTGCTACTGTGATTGTTGAGAAACCGCTCCCATCTGCATGAAAACCATGAGGACTGCGGCGTATCTGAAAACAGTCAGTGATAAGCATCATTGGTTGATTTGATAGTATTCAACTTACGCGGATGTGGCGGCGACGGTTTCAAAAGGCTTGACCGCGGTGACGAGAACAAGTAGGATCATGAACAAAGGGACGAAGATGCAGATGATGGTCAATCGCTGCGTGGAAGATGTTGCAGCGTTTAGCCACCATGCCGGTCCCAATAGCATCCCGAGACCAAGTAGCAGAACGATCAAAGTGACTGTGTAGTCAATGAGACTATCGTTGTAGTAGTGACTTCCTGGGTCTTCGAACTCAAAAGTATACTCATCTTGTGCCTTTTGCTGTATGCGGTTACTGAGTTAGCTGTCTTTAGTATCCGATAGAAGAAAGTTGGTGTCACTGTACCTTTACCCTCCAGCAACACAAGCGATTAAACCAAGAAAAGCTTTCCAAGAACCGACGGAGCGGGGTCTTTGGTCTATCAACTAGCGCGATCAAGTCCTTTTCTTTGTTGATGAATTCTTGTTCCGCCGATTCTATAGCTGTCGGATAGTCGCTGAACCAGCTTTGGACATTCCTGATGATACGACGCGGCATCTTGGGTTTTTCTTTCAACTTGGAATAGTATAAGACCAATCTGTCTATAGATGGTATTAGAAAACGGTCGAAGGACTTGGTTTTATGTAGGCTAATGTTTTCTTTACTCACCGTACTTTTCCAAGAGCTCCGCAAGCTCGTGCATTATCTCCCATCGCCGGCCTCCGTATAGTTCACGATCTTTTGCGAAGCTTCCAGTGACAGCCATATGTTCCAAGTCTTCGTAGCCTTTACCGACAGGAATCGTTATATGACTCCGATCTGATTCGGCAAGTTCATGTTCTAATTGCCTGATCTTTTCTTGCAGCATCAAAATTGTCCTTGCGTGAAGTGCGCCATATCGGCGGATTACGAAGGCATCGTCGTCTGATGCCAGGAACTTGGACAAAGCAGGGTATCCCATGAATATGTAAGGCCTTTTCCGCTTCTCCGCTCTTGTTGGACCCCGATAGCTTGGATTTTGTGTTGTGTGCTGTAGGGTCGAAAGGCCCATTGGTTCCACAGGCCGTTCTTCCTTACTAGCCTCCTCGATAGGACCTAGAATTGACCAAGTCACGTCCTCCAATGGAGCTGGAGACATGCAATAAGGCTCTGATAGTGGCTCGTGGCATTTCCACGGATTGCGTGAGGAAAGTTTTTCATTCTGCTCGTAGGGTTCCCGAGTGAATGGTTGCACACTCACATTGTTGTGTAGAAAAGCCGGACTGGGAGCGTAGACTCTGTGTCCGTCTTCAAAACACTCCTCTCGGTCAAATAGAGAGTCAAACCTTGCGGTCATGTTTGTATGGAGTCCCAGAATGCGAGGTTGGGGTTCAAAAAAATTCGAAGTCATCACAGGAACTGCACTGCATTACTTTGAGCGCGGGGGTTATAACAGTTTTTATCAGAGCTAGTTTACACAGCCTCGTCTTCCCCGTGAAACAGGGAAGCTATCCAATCATCTTGCCTAAGAGTGAGCACAAGGCTTATTTCGTGTGCAGCTGACCGGGATTGCCCCGACCAGTCGGATGTATGGTGCCAACAATGAAGTTGGCTTAACCCCTGCTTTGCAGTAACGCAAAAGAGAAACGATACCTCCGGCTCGGCTTACTGCTGCCTAACCCAGACCCTAAGTGAGGCTGAATACTAGGCAACTTTTACTTATCTTCAGAGCCTTTCGCTTTCATACCTATTCCTTCGGCCTTCGGCCTTGCTGATGTCGCAGCACTGCCATCTATGCTTCGCATCCCTCAGCTTGCACCAGAAGGCTCAGTGCTGGCTGTTTTAGAGGCAACCACAGACAGTGCGTCGACAAGCAAGCAGGTTTCAGAGCCTCGCACAGGCTAGGCTGAGTAGGCTCACAGGTTAGGCTCCGAGCCCCCAACTTTTTGCTAGATCGAAAGATGCAAGTCAGTGTCACAGATACTGGATGACTGACACATTCCTTAGAAGTTTGACGTCAACTCAACACGATATCTTTTCCAGCATGTCGAGCAAAAATTGGGCCAGCGCACTAGGTCCGGTCAATGCAGTCGCCAAGTTCCGTTGGGCTACGAAACGCGAGAGATCATACAAAAGTAAAGAAGAAGAAGAAGAAGACGATGGCGATGATTTAGAAGATGAGGATGATACTGGGAGAGGACTCGATCGGGAACGAAGGAAAGGAGTGACCGCAAGGCCCATGCCGCTAGGCCCAGCTCCGTCCCTACCACGCCTTGGGGAGTACCAAAGTACCCCAAACAGGTATTCATTTGCAACTACTTCGTCCGGGCGGCGGGATTCGTTTGCGCTCGAAGAGCGATCACCATTCAACCAAAGTCCAATGCAAAGAACCGGAAACACGCATCCGGTTAACGACCAATATCGCCACGGCAATCCAACAGAAAATCGAGTACCAGGCCTTGAACTTCATTACCTTTCAACTGGCGCTCAACAAGCCTCTGCAATCTATTCTAACCCCTTTTACCAACCTGCAAGCCACTGGGACTCACTCACTAATTTACCCGGACCGCATTCCCCCCAACCAAATTTGGGTCATCATAGTCAGCAACCTCCCATGCATAGCGGATTTCAAAACAACAATTATCCTTCCACAAACCCGTTTTACCGTTCACAAACAGATATCGAGTATAACCACAATTTAACGGCAGTAGCAACAACATCGGATAATGTCAATGTTGCGACACGTCAGGCTTCAGTACGTTGTGAACATGGTTACATAAAGTACACCACGTAAGTCTCATCGCAACTTAAAGATTAGTGTTTAATTAACTTGACCTAGCCAGACGGATTGCCCATATGGGTGTACGCCGCTTAACCCATTCCGAGGTATTCGTTGACTTGTATTTGAACAGGTCATTTCTCAAGACTGTACTGTCATTCTTCCGACATATTCGTGAAGTTACGGCTTAATGTCCACGGGAGAGGAGATTGCACTACGTGTGCTGTTCTAGAGGTTCTAGGTTTGCGTAACACTTGGGGTTGAATTTTATTCTGCCCAATACGGCACGATTTTTTCGAGGTCGAAACGTTCTTCTAAGTCACGAACATCATGATACCATCAAAAGACGGCGTTGATTGCTTAAGGTTCTTTGTTTTGCGCTGGGTTGCGTCTTCCAAGCCTCTTGTATAGGCAGTACCTATTTCGTTGCTGTATAGAGAGGCAGCATTTTGAGGAGGCGTAAAGCTAGCTTGTTATATATCAAACATCAAAACATCTCTGTCACATACGACCATAGGTCACAGAATGCAAGGCATCCCGTCCGCTCTGCCAAATTTAAGCTGTGAACCGGCTGATTAGTAGTTAGGTGGGTGACCACTAGCGAATCCCAGCTGTTGTATGTTTTGTTTTTGCTTCTCATGTCACTGAGGAATGTCTCTTCTTTAAGCTCTGTAACGATAGCAGTTCTTTTGGAGTTCTTTTAGTTTAGTATAAACGATAATAGGTGCTTTGTTGAGTTTTGGCGTAGTGAATTTTTAAGTGAATAAAATTTGCTGTCGTGTCGTGAGCGCTTTCTACAGACACCCTCCTTATTGTTCGATTCATCTTGTGCTGGCACCGCGTATGCACTGGAAAATTAGATAGCAAAAGAGAGTCTTACAAGTACGAAATTATAGGCCTGCGTGAGGAAACATATCTATAATAGTGATACCGGGCCATTAGATTCCGAAGTAGCGCCATCTAGAGTCTCAGTGAACCTTACGGCCGTACCGTAGTTAACTACATTGAATAGTTATCTTTTTGCTGTATGGCGGAAGCTTAAGCGGACTACAGGTTTTAATGTTACGGCGATGCTTAGACATTTACCAAATCAGTTTTAAAAGACCTAAAAGTTATCAAATTAAGAGCTTCAATAATATCGAAAACTTGCTAAGTACATACACACTTAACTTCCCGCAAACATACCATACAGAAACGAGTAAAGTAAAGGAGTGCATCTTCATAACTCGTAAGCCAAAAGGTATCAGGATGAAGGTAAGAGATGATTCGAGGCATTGCTTCCTGCAAAAGGCATATTACACAGAATTTAGGAGGAGCGATTGCTATCATCCTCAATAGTTAGTGAATAGTATTTTAGAATTATAAACTTTAGAGCAGCTCACTTTCTCTTGTAGGAGTGTGCCGCCTGCGCGTACTAGCCCAACTACATATTTTAGTTGCTTTTATCTCATTGCAACATTCACTGTTAGAAAGATACCTTTGCAGGTTTGCAATGAATTGCTGCCGGGGAAGGGCACACCATGTAGTCGATTCCTGAAAGTCTAGGCAGGTGGAGGAGGCGGAGGTGGTGATTGTTGAGTCGCCTCAGGCGGAGGTGAATATATTGGCGAGGACGTGCATTTATGGCCCCCTCCAAAGGCTATCTGAGGCCGAGGATCACCTTGACCTAGACCATACGGTACAACGATCCATGGTGCTACGAACTGATGGCTGTAGTAGGGTTCAATGGTGGAGCTATCCATTAAATCCGTTAATGGTCGTGAACTTGACCTGTGGTATGATGGAGGTGCCGAATCGTCATCCCGTCTCGAAGAGGGTGTTGAGGCGTAGTTACTGGAAGTGTCGTAACTGCCCTGTACGTCAGAGGTAACCACCGGACATGGTCTAGGTTGAGGTTGCACCCATGATGGTCTCTTCCGTTTCATGCCGCTTTGATAGTCCCGTGACTCATCGGTCTCTACTTCTTCATCATTCTCACGGTTTTGTCTGTCAATCTGCCTAAACTTGGCGACGGCAGAGGTGAAAGTCGTGGGCATGTTCCACCAACTTTGCGCTTGTGGGTTATTGTTGTTGCCGTCAACTCCATGCTCCTTTATTGAGTTTTCGGTCTCTTCCTCGACCTGTTGATTGTCTTCCATTGAGCCGCACTTAATCGTGGGTAAGTTCATAGGTTCCCAAACTGTTCCAGAGACGTCTTGCGGTTGCAAAACCGCAAGAGCAGCAATTTCAATACTTTTGTCTTGGAGGCTTGCTTTTACTTGTTCAATTGTATCAAGTGCCGGGACGACATAAACATCTCCAATAGGGTTGGAACCAATGACATGACCGTAGAGTGCTGGGATGTCGAGGTCAATTATCACAGCTCCAGATTCGCCAGCAACCACTCCTGCTGAGTAATTAGTGAGCGTGAACTCAGAGAATAGAAAAGACTTTATACCTTTAGAGTCAGAAGGAGTGAAATTCCAAGCGTGACAGAGCCCTGAATCTGAACCGTCACTTATTTTTGCCTGGATGTCGCGCAAAAAGCCATGTCTCATTCCTCTGACTCCCGAAATCATCACTGCCGGTATACAAGCCTCGGTCGACGCTGATTTGATATTTGCTGGAAAGTAAAAAGGGCGAGCACTACCCTCTGGATTATTGGTGCTGAGCTCAAATTCAATGACAGCCCAGTCAAGGTCAATGGCCGTTGGTTCCTCGTAGGAGCTGATGATACAGCGGCCGTTACCAACCAACGTTATCGAATTTGCATTTCCTAGCGAGCTTTCCTTTCCTTCCGAACCACTTTGTGGAATGGGTGTCGAAGCTGTCGATGATGTTGCATCACTGTTATATTCAACGTCATCATACCATGCACATGAATCGTCTGAATCAGAGGTAGATGCAGCTTCAAGAGCCTTTTCTCCTTCAGATGGACTCTTTTCCCATACTCCTTCAGGCAATGACTCAGTGTGCATGTTGAAAAGATGCCCTGCTGTAAGACCTAGTGTTCTCGTTCTCGTCTTGATGAGGGCACCAAGAGTTGCTTGTGAGCCGTTGAAATCCACTAATAAGCCACGGATTTCTTGGGCCGGGGATGCAGCTGCATATAGCGATACTTCACCGGAATTTCGTGTTGTGGGTGGGTTTTCCGACTGCCAGAAAACGAGCCTTAACGATGGTCTTTCCAAGGCAGAACTAGGAATTTTTTGTGGCTTGAGGTGAAAAAGCGTTTGGATATTCGACGTCACAGAGCCTTGTTGATCGGTTGTTTGATATTGACGTCGAATATGCGCGCTTGTAAAGAGCTTCCGAAGGCTTCGAAAAAGTTTCTTGAGACAGAATACAACAATGGAAGGCCTAGCATCATCAGGGCAACTTCCGCATGAACGCAATTCGTAATTGATGTGCCTTGTCCGGTGTCGCAAATCAGAGTTATTCTCCACAGCCTGTTTGAAGAGATCTTGGACCACTTCGTACTTCTCACGGAAGGCAGTATCGATCGCGACGCGAGGATAAATGTAGAGTTTTGTATATGGTACTGATATCTCGTCGGTAGAAGGATTCGGTGTTGAAGTATAAGGAGGCTTTGGGCTTCCGGCTCTGTCGCTCGGCCCACTAGGACAGCTACCGCTTTGTGTAGCACGCACTTTGTTCCGAGTTCGGATTTCCTCATCTACGTGGGGTGTTGGTGAGCCTGGTTGGGCCGCGAAGAGATCCCAGTTACCCTGAGGATCCGTAAGGGTAGTGACATGTTCGAAGTGATTGAAAGGTCCTGTCGCACCGGATTTGTTTGTTTCCTTAGACGGGGATCGTGGAAGGTCTTTATTGGCGGGTTTGGCCGAACAACAAGGAGGTGACGAGGGTGCGTAACGGAGGTATTCCTAATCCCGATAGATGCCGCTACTATGGCGATAGTAGGATGGCACTTCGGACCTTTCTTGGAGTGTCGCTGAAGTACCGTGATCCAATATACCGTCTGGTCTTTTCGAGTAACTTCCGTTCATCCCGAGACGGCTTTATTCGGTATAAGGTCAGTGAACTACACGCAGTCTGTACCGATCGTAGATGCGGATTCGAAAGATCAGTCTTTGTGAAACATCTCAAGGCAGAGTTGGGCTGGTAGAAAACTCTGCACGAGGCTGATATGTACAAGGTGGTACAAAACCCCGCACGAGGATGATTTGCTGCCTAAAAATAGCCTGACGCACCTACACGCCACTTCACTTTCAAGCGGCTTCATACGACTATTTCCTAGGTTTCTTTATCAACCGACAAGATAACTGATGTGAAACGCTAAAATGTTTCCAGCGACCAAAAATGACCGGGAAACCCTTAAAAATGAATTGTTTGACAACAAAGTGGCTGTTGGAGCACTCAATGCATACTTCGCTACATACGATTCCCTTACACTAGACATGGCTACTCCGGCCGTTCTTCAAATCGAGACACCTATTGTGCGCACACATCAGGACATTTTGGTACTCGTTCGGCTCCTGAAAGCAAATGCGCATCATACGCGTACTCAAACACTTGCCCTTGCTATCCAGTCATTCAATCGGAATGGAGCTACTGATGAAGGGAGCGAAGCTTACACTCGGGAGATGACGGAGCTCAATAGAGCACTTAATCTTGCCGTCCAGTTGCTCTGCATGATTGATTGTTCCGCCAAGGAAAAGCATTCTCATGATTTTGAGTTGGGAGACTTCAAACCAGTGGAGTGGCGCAAGGAGGAGACTTTTGTTAACTTTTTGAAGAGAATATTACCTGTGGCGGATCCGGGCATGTGTTTCAGTCGTGAGAAAAAGAACAAAATGAAAGCCTGGAAGCTCAGTAAGCGTGCTGGGATTACTTTCAAAGCAACCGACAACATCGTGGAACATCTTCTTTATGATCCAAAGGATGAAACTGTCCGACTATTTCATCATGCTGCATTCTTGAAGGCACAGCTGGATTCTTCCACAAACCATTCCATGAGCATAGCATGCGAGGAATCTCTTGCAGAGTAAGTCCAGCCTCTCCACCAACTGGTGTATTACTTTACTTACCTAGGCTGTGCAGGGGAAAGTTGCCACCGCGGCTTCTTCTAGAAACACTCAGCACTTTCCAAACCATCCTCTTTCCCAGTGTGGACGTCAAATCAACCAAACTCCTGGAAACTCTCATCTCATCGAAAGACACAAGATTCGATGCCGAATGTCTCACTCATGATAGCCATACTCGAAATGTACCTGCAGGCATGGAGTACGTGTACTGGGGCCAGCGCCTTCAACGGTTACATGAGCTCGTCACCAACCCAAAACCAAGACACCGGCTTGGGCGCTGGCTGCAACGGCACAACTCGGACCGCAATGCGCTATACATTGCGATTATTGGACTTTTTCTGTCGGTGTTCTTTGGATTCTTAAGCGTACTGATCGGAATCTTCCAGTCATGGGTTGCTTGGAAGGCATGGAAAAGTCAGTGATCATCCACCTAATCCGCATACATTTCTCAGTATAATTCTCTATTGCTATGGGATTTACAAGCAGATTAGAAGAATATGTGCGTACAGTATTCCTTAGAAGAGGCCGGTGAAATCTGATAAGGACAAACACTCGTAGTCATTTTAGTATACAAGCAAGGTTCATATTGCAATTACCGCAGCGACAAGGTCCTAATTACTATACACCAGAAGCCACGCCGTCATCCCATCATCCACACTCACCACAACGGCCACCAGCCGGCACCGCACCCAGACGACCGGTGAGCAAATCCCGCACCGCCGCGCCTTCCAATCCCTCGTCCCTCGCACGTCACTTACCATAGGCCTCATGATTGGCGCTCGTTTCTCGCTCGCCTCGCACTTCGGTGCCGCAGTGCGGCCATGTAGTGGTCGTGGCGGCCGTGGCGCCGCGAAGGAGCGTGTGGCGCGGGCGTCGGGCGTGGATGCGGCTATGGCGCGCGCTAAGGTAGGGTGTGTGGCTGCCGAAGCGGAAATTGTGGTGATGGATGGGGTGGGGTATGCGGGTAGGGAGGGCGTTGTGAGAGTGGTTGTGGGGTGGGGTGGGAGATTATGGGGAGATGGTGGGTGTGCGTATGTATGTACTTTTGGGGTGGTGAGACTTTTGAATTTGCAAGGTGTAGTAACGCCTCGATAATGAAATGTGCAGAAAGATTTTTGAACGTAAGAGACGCTCATCCGCCCATGCATTACCAATTCTATAGTCTAAACAGAAACAAGTCTTGCAAACATTATGAAGCAACCATGGTATCTTAAGCATGTTCGCAAAGCGCAGCAAGCAACAACAGTATCAACAGATGCCGTGCCGTCATACACATACCCATCATCGTCAAGGCCAGGTGTTCAACACCTACCGAAATCAACTCTCGTCAGCACAATCGACGAGCACCAACACACGACGATGCCCGTGAAAATACTGTTCCAAGACAATAACTTTTGGTCGTCTTTGACGGGCTCCTCCCGTCCCTGCTCAAGAGGAGCAACTTCCGGAACCATGACTTCAGCATCCACCTCAGCAGGCGGCACGAACGCCTCAACAATGGAAAGCGCCGAATCTGTGCGCGTGTGATACGGCTTCTGCAGCTTCGCGCCTTCGCCACGCAAGACGCGGCGCAGGATCTTGCCTGTCGAGTTGCGCGGCACCTTGTCGACGAAGCACAGCTCGGCCGGGACCTTGTAGCCTGAGAGGCGACCGCGCAGCCATTCGCGCAGACTGGCCGCGTCCAGCAAGCCTTGTTCTTGCTCCGCGCCGCGGCGCACAATGTACGCGCGGATGAACTCGTCGACGCCGTTGGCTTCTTTAATGCCAATGGCAGCGGCATCGGCAATGCAAGGGTGTTGCAGCAGTTCTGATTCGATCTCCGTGGGAGAAACTTGCCAGCCGCGTACTTTGATGAGCTCTTTGGCACGATCGATGATGTAGATGGAGGGGACGCCCGAGGCAGACGTCACGCGGTAGCCGATGTCGCCAGAACGCAGATAGCGACCACAGGGTGAAAAGGCTGCGGTGGTGGCGGTGGGGTTGTCGATGTATGAAAGAAGGAGATGCGGGGCATTGAAGATGATTTCGCCCGCTTCATAGTCGCCGACAATAGGCTCATCAGTTTCAGTATTCACGATTCTGTCGAAGTGTTAGCAAAGCACTGGGTGGTGGGCGTGGACAATACAATACGTACGTGAGCTCAAACCCTTCCACTGGCTGCCCAACGCTGTCGTCCTCCCTCCGTACTGTGTCATGAACAGTCGTAACCCAGCCAGCCTCGGTCATACCCCAGACCTGACGGATGACCGCATCTGGGTGCAGCATGTCATACAGAGGCTTTTGTTGAGAGTACTTCACGCTTGCACCTCCCATCCAGATGGATCTCAAGCTCCTCAGCCCTTCTTTAGTGGCAAACTCAGACTTGTGCATCCTCATTAGAACAGGAGGAGGAACGTAAATTTCGCTGATATCATAAAGAGAAATTGAAGTCAGGAAGGGCGCTTCAGCGAACCTGCGCATAATGTAAGTTGGAATGCCCGCATGGATGCTGGATGGAAGTATGGGAGATGCAAAAGCATGGAATGGAGGAAGAGCAAGCAGTCGAGATTGCTGAAGAAAGAAGTCAGCGATTGCGTCGACATAATTTATAGATAATCTGCTGCGGCCTGACATACCTTGTATGGAGTAACGTTGCACCTAGCTTCTGATTGAGTGACATGGTACGAGTGCGAGATCATGGCAGCCTTGGGAAGCCCGGATGTGCCGCTCGTAGAGTTGTACGTGGCGGGGGTGATGTCCGGGTCCGCGACGGTTACCCAGTCGCTCTCGCCACGTTCAAGAAGGGTCGTCCAAGATTGGAGACCGGAGTTTGTGTTTGGTGTTTCCGTGTCAAACACAAAAATGTTGGACCCCGCAAGACCAATCTGCTCCGCCGCTGCAAGGGTCTTCTCCAGCATGGGAGGCTCGACAATTACCACCTTTGGTCGGGTCAATTCGAAGTGGTGGACAAGCTCGTGGGTGGTATATGCTGGGTTCACGCCGGTAAAGGCAGCGCCAGAACCGATGATGCCGAGGTACAAGACGGAATATTGCAGCTGGTACCTGCGTAAGCACGGCACCCAAAATAGCCACAGGTATCGACCTTACATCGTTGAAGCAGTTCACACAAACGCAATCACCCTCCCGCACGCCGGAAGCTTGCAGACCACGGATTAATTGCCGAACTTTCCTCTTGATTTGGCTAAAGGACAGGGAATTTGAGGGCGATAGCGCGTCGATGAGGAGCTAATTTGTGTCAATGGTCGAACTTTGAAAAGAAGATCTCTTGATAGACGCACCGGCTCATCTGGGTTGCGGACAGTGCCGCCGATAGTCCAAGAAACGAGGTCCATGTTTAAAGTGAAACGGCTGAAGGTGCAAATTGAAGTTTGAGCAAGAGAAGTTGAAGGAGAATAAGGTTGTATCTTCGGTGATTAAGGCAGACAGGAAAACGGCGAGGGAGATGCGAGCTATAAGCCACGTGCAGACGTTGGTGATGGAAGGCTTCAACAGTGAAAGAAAGACACGGGTGTTGCGGCTTTGACCCGTCCGCCTCAACTCAGACAATCAACAAACAAGGCTCAGCTCCCACACGCATGACAAAAAAAGACAATGCATGGTCAATCAGCGGAGACGCTCAGGCCTAGCCCAGCATGCGTGCAGCAAAGAGGTTTCCACTTCACCGTGCTTCTCGATAGTTCGAGAGCGGTGGGTGTGCCTGGTGACTTGATTAATGATAGCAGGCCGCAGAGGCCGATGGACTAAGAGGCAGATCCACGGCGAGGGGGCCATATCGGGGTCGAATTCACGAGTCATCTCGAGATAGACGACGAAAAGAGAAGCACTCGGGCTAGATCGTGGCCGTGGTGGCAGCGGGCCGAATGTGATCACAAGCTCGGGAGGTGGAGATGTCACAGGGATACGAGGCGATGGTGTATGTCGATCAGGTACATAGATGATGTGGTGGAGTGTGAAGAGTTGAGTTGGGGTGGGGAATCACGGCATCCAAAGCGGCTAGTCTCATCGTCGGGCCATCTCATCCCCCGCGCTCTGAAATCCAATCGCGCGTCTCGCTTCGCCCTCTCGTCCCTCGTCGCCTTTGTCTTGCGTCTCACGCGGACGCCTCAGCTTGCCGCCAACCGCCGCACATGGCATGCGGCACGTTTGGCGCGTGAGTCGCTATGTCCCGCCATCAGTTGTAACTCGTGCGCCAAAGTCCCGTATGGTGTTCGATCTGCAATCCTTCCGGAACGCGGCTTCCTCAACACCCGCGCTATCGAAAACCCTTGCAAGCGCCTCCCGTCTGGACGGGACGTGCTGCTCTAACAGGTTATTCCCGAGATCCATCCGCTCCAGCAGACCGGTTAGACCCTGTCTGCCCGACGATTCCGTGCGCGGGGTCGCATCGACGACGTTGGGATCCAGCTATCATGCCCGGAGGCTTGTCCGCTCTCGTTGTCCCCTTCGGTATACTTTCAATACAATGGCATTGGATTGAGGGGCATGTCCGACTCATTAACTTCAAGCCACACACCGATACGTCTTCTGCGCCGCGCTCCATGTCTGAATCTTTCTCTTCATCCTCTTGTGAGGTGCGGCGTGCACGCCTCTCCCCCATGCAGATCGCGGCAATCCCTCGCGCAAATCTCCACGCGGGTTCGCCTTATCTGCTCACCGACAACAGCACCACGTTGCCGGAATCTACGGTCTACGTAGCGCGCGTTGCGACAAGGCAAAGCTATACCCCATTCTACAGACGCTGATTCGAAGGCCGTACTGGCATCTTCGACACTGTCATGGCGTTGAGAACAATGTCGTTGCGCCGTCGTGACGCTAGATACAATGTTGACGGCCATGCCTCCACGACTGGCTGAGAACGCCCAGTTCCACATGCAGCAGCTACCATGCAGGTACCTGCACCACTTCAACCCCCTTCTAGTACGCATGAAGCAGGAACCGTGCATCAAGGTGGGGGCATGCTCATCTTTTCTTTCCTTCTTTGAACATGAACACAAGCCACTTCAGGTAGTTCGACTTTCGAGTTGGTGGGATGTCCTGAGACATTCCATCACATCCTCCCACCTCGGCATCATTGTGGAGGAACAACGCCTGCCGACCGCCCACAGTGCTAACATTGTTTAGTATCTTTTCCTCTGCCCTGTCAACACCACTTGTATAAAGTCGAGTGCCCCTGTCAATCAGTATTGTTCCTCATATCCTTGCACGGTTCGAATTCCTTATACCCTTGAGTGGTTCAATGACCAGCAAGCCAAACCATCAACGCATCGACAGCGCAATCACTGTTCGTCGTCGCACAAATCCCACCGTACAGACCCCTTCGTCAGGTTCTTTTACGGCCAAAGACTTTGCGGAATACGAGCAGCGTCTCGCCAATTCCTCTCCCCAGACGCCGACCATGGAACTCGAGCAACAGGCTGGCTTGCCTCAGCAACCCCCTACCGCCCACAGATCGAATCCTTCTACGGCATCCTTCGAGCCCATCAGGGCAGGAAGATTCAGCGGGCGCGATCTTGAAGAGTACGAGAAGCGGCTGAGCACTAGCACCGTTGCAGCTCCCGTGGAAGCATTCGAGAAATCCAACGCCATGGAGGCTGGCACCGCCGGCGATGAGAGGCAGGCGTCGAACCACCAGCGGGGCTGGTCGGAGTCGACTGTCATGACCACAACCAGTGCGTTTTATGAAGATACCATCCTCCCTGAAAAGCGCCAGTCCCGGCTGATGCGTCATGCCAGGCACACGTTCCTCAACGTATACAGGCGGCTCTTCTCCATTGTCTTCATTGCCAATGTGGTCGGGTTTGTCTGGATCACGGTTGACCACCACACGCTCAACCTTCCGGTCGAGGCTCTCGCGACAGCTGCGTCAGCCAACATCTGCGTCGCGATCTTGATCCGTCAGGAGTACATCGTCAACCTCTTGTACGCTGCCTGCTTGGCCGTTCCACCGGTCGCTCCGCTCCGCCTTCGCCGCCAGCTTGCCAAAGTCTACGAGAATGGCGGCATCCACAGCGGAGCTGCCATTGCCAGCACCCTCTGGTTCGCTCTCTTGACCATTGTCATCACTTACCAGTTTGTCAAGGGCGAGATCATCCTCCACTCGGGGGCCGTCTTGGCCATAACGTACATTCTCATCGCGTTCTTGGTCATGATCGTGTTCTTTGCTTACCCCGCCATGCGCAACCTTACGCACAACACGTTCGAGTTCACGCACCGTTTCGCCGGATGGACCGCCATTGGCATCTTCTGGGTCGATCTGATCCTTCTGGCGTTCAACACGCACTACACGACCGGCACACCGGTTGGCCTCATCATCGTCCGCATGCCGACCCTTTGGTTCTTGATCATCATCACGTTCCATCTGGCCCTTCCGTGGGTGCGCCTCCGCAAGGTCAAGTTTGAGGCGCAGAACCTCTCGAACCATGCCGTCCGCCTGAACTTCAAGGAGAAGCTGGCGCCAATCCGCGGCGTCGCACTCTCAACGTCTCCCTTCGGGCAGTACCACTCCTTCGCGACGTTCCCGAACACTGCGGCCCAGGAGAGCGACAGCCAATCGATCATCGTGTCGTCGGCCGGAGACTGGACCAAGGCGCAGGTTGGCGACGAGAGCACTGAGCGGCACTACTGGATGCGCGGCATCCCCAAGATCGGAGTGCTGGGCATAGCAACGATCTTCAAGTCGGTCGTGATCGTGACGACAGGCTCGGGCATCGGACCCTGCCTGGCGTTCATCAACCTGCCGGAGAACCTGCGGCGGCCGTGCCGGGTGCTGTGGAGCACGCCGCGGCCCGAGATGGTCTACGGGCAGGAGATCTGCAACATGGTGCTCGCGGCAGACCCCGAGGCCATCATCTGGGACTCCAAGGTCGGTGGCCGCCCCGACATGGTCAAGATGACGTACGAGCTGTTCACGCAGAGCGGCGCCGAGGCCGTCTTTGTCATTAGCAACCCGATGCTCACGCGCAAGCTTGTCTTTGGCTTGGAGAGCAGGGGCGTGCCGGCTTTTGGACCCATCTGGGACTCGTAGGCGGCGGCAGAGACTTGTTGGATAGGTGTCGACAAGTAGAGTAGTGTGACGGTGTTGGCGTGGTAGGTATTGTACGATACTTGGGTAGTATGGTATTGGTATTTGTATTTTTAGCCAGCGAGCGAGCGAGCGAGCGAGAATTGTCATTGAGTGTTTGGAGCTCAGCGGTAGCAGGACTACGCTGCAGCGTGGAGGATGTTGACGATGGACCTCTTGGACGACTAGAATAATGACGGAGATGCAGAGACAATAAGAAAGAAATGAACTTGAGAAAGAATTGAAACTTGAACGAACAAATTGACCATGAAGAAAACTGTGACTGACCGTGCTATTCATTCGTATACCGAACGCGTGAAGCTATACCAACCTTCGTACATACGTAATATGCATCCACCACACCAACGCGTCACCACGGCCCACGGGAAGCAAATCCCATCCACGGACAGACAGCAGAGCGAGGAAGCAGTAAGCACGCGCTCTTAACGCCGACAGCCCCAGCGCGACCGAGCGACGCTGCGCTATCTCCGATGCAAGAGACAGGAATGATTCCCCGGGAGCATTGCGCCGGCAACAGAGTCGGCAGAGGGCGGCGTGGGCGGTTGGCGGGGCACGGCAGGCTTGCGTCAGGGCTGTGGAGAACCTTCCCCGCAGGCGCTGGTGCCGATGCCGGTGCCGGGCGTTGCGGGGGCTTGAAGTGCGAGGGCGGTGATAAAGAGCTGTTGTTGTTGATGTTACTTTTTGTGTGTTTAGGTTTTTGTTTTTTGAGAGTGTGAGAGAGATAGAGACAAAGAGATAATTTTGAGAAGATGGACCAGAAGAGCAAGGAAGAGCTGAGGGTCGTCGTGGTTGGCGCGGGTGAGTTTGCGCTCTTTCGCTTGCTTCTTTGTCTCTACCCCGCCACCACCACCACTACAACGCAACAACAACGACCACTTTGATAATCGCTGACGATGCGCTTCGCGCAACAGGCATGGGCGGGCTCACGGCCGCGCTCGCCTTCGCCCGCCAGGGCTTCGCCCACATCGACGTCTACGAGCTAGCCTCGAATCTCGGGTTCGTGGGCGCCGGGATCCAGCTCGCACCCAACATGGCACGGATACTGGACCAGCTGGGGTGCTGGGAAGAGATTGAGCGAGAGGCGGTGGATGTGCAGGAGACGAGCATCAGACGTACGTGAAGCTTGCAAAGCAGAGGACAGTAGAGCAGGGCTAACAAACCATGCAGAAGGCTCGAGCGACGAGGAACTCGCGCACGTCGACCTCCGCTACATCCGCCGCGACTACGACAAGCCGCACATGGTGGGCCACCGCTCGACGCTCGCCGGCGGCATCTACAAAGCCTGCCAGCGCTATGCGGCCATAAAATTCCACTTTGCGACGGCGCTCGAGGACGTGCTGGCGTGGTCGCCGCGGCCGAAACTGCGCTTCGCCCCGCGGAACGCGGCGCGCTTCGACGTCGAGGCGGACGTGGTGCTGGCGGCCGACGGGGTCAAGAGCATCACGCGCACGCGCATGCTCAGCGCGCTCGATGCCAGCGCCGACATCGTCGACACGGGCCAGGCCGCCTACCGCATCATGCTGTCCCGGGACGTCATGGCGGCGGACGCGAGCCTGCTCGAGCTCGTCGACTCCAACGCTGTCACCCGCTGGATCGGCGAGAAGCGCCACATCATCGCGTACCCGGTGTCTGGGGGCCAGATCTACAACCTCAGCACCATCCAGCCCGACACGCACTTTGCGGCTGCGCCCAGCATCACGTACACGACGCGCGGCTCCAAGACGGACATGCTGGCCGTGTTTGCCGACTTTTGCCCCCGCGTGCAGCGCATGCTGAATCTGGTCAAGGAGGACGAGGTGTGCGAGTGGAAGCTGCGCGTGCATGCGCCGCTGCCGGCGTGGTCGCACGGCGGGGTCGCGCTCATGGGCGACGCCTGCCACCCGACGCTGCCACACCTGAACCAAGGCGCGGCGCAAGCAATCGAAGACGCAGCGTGCCTTGCCGTCGTGCTCGCGAAGACGCCGTCATCTGCGCCAGAGGACCTCGCCCGCGCGCTGCGCGTGTACGAGAAGCTGCGGCGGGCGCGGGCGACGGAGCTGGTGGAGCTGGCGGCGGCGAGCGGCCGCGCGCTGCATCTGGGCGAGGGGGCGGCGAAGGAGGAGCGCGATCGCAAGTTCCGGGCGCTGAAGGAGGGGAGGGGCGACGGGGGCGTGCCGGACAAGTGGGCGGATCGGGCGACGCAGGAGGGCATTTATCGGCATGATGTTGTGGCGGTGGCGGAGGGCGAGTTTGAGCGCGTGTGGGCGGAGTGTGGGGCGTGAGATGGGATGGAGTGAGTCTTGTCCAGCTTGGTCCCATTGTGTTCCGTCTATCCCATCTCATTTCGTCCTTGCACTCAGTCAGCACGAAGCAAGTAGGTCCGTCATGGCCCTGCATCTCAGTAGGTATAGTCATCAATTCAATTACCGTATCAATCATACCGTCCCGTCATCCTCATATCAAATACCAAACCACCTAGCACCCGCCGCCCACCGTCCTTGAAACCCCCACCCATCCATCCATGCACAAAGGAGCGACGCAAGGCCCAGCAGCCAGGTATAAGGAACGACCAAAGCAAAGAAACCCTCCTCTCCCCGCGAGCAACCCTCTCTCCCTCTCTCAACCCCTCACAGCACGACCGCCCCGCCCAGCACTCCAAAAGCAAGCGCACCCAGCACAACCGCGCCAAGCACATCACCAGGCGCAGCCACCGCCGCGCCCGCGCCCGCGTTCTCAGCCGCCGCAGACGCAGTGCCCGAGGCGTCGGAGCCAGAGCCGCTAGCGGTAGCGCCGCTGCCGCCGACCGTGCGCGTGCTCGTGCTCGTGGTCGCGGTCGCGCCGCCGTTGTCGTCGCTGCTGTTGGAGGCGGAGGCGGAGTTGGCGGAACCAGTGGAGGTGGGGCTGGGGGAGTTGGAGCCAGTGGAGGTCGAAGAAGCGGAGTTGTAGGTTGTGGTCGAGAGGCCGCAGCTGCGGAGGATGTCGTTGACGTCTGTTATTTTGGGTGTTAGCGTGGCGCAGTCCAAGAAGAAGAAGAAGAAGACGAAGAAGGAAGAGAAGGAGAATCAAGGACGAAAGGCAAGCCAAAGCACAAAACAAAAGCAAAAACCCCACCATTATCGCTCCCATCATCATCAAACCGACTAACACAAGCCTCGCAGCTCGGGATATCAGCCGCGGCATTCTCAGCCTTGCACACGCAGTCCAGCTGGGCGCGGTCGTTGTCGTCGTTGTCGCTGCTGTCGTTGTCGTGCTGCGCGTCGCATTGCGTCGTCAGCGTCACGATGGACGAGCATACCGAGCGGCATTGCTGCGGGATGTCGTTGTCGTCGAGGTCGCTGAGGGCGTGGGTCAGGAGGGGGAGGAGCGTGAGGAGCGAGAGGAGGGCGGCGGTGGGGGTGAACTTCATTTTGGTGGGTTGTTTGGTGGTTGGGAGCGACTGTATGCTGTATGGATGGTGTGCAACGATAGATGGATCTGAAGTCGAACCGATTGCTTTGTAGGTAGTCTGAATGGTCTGTCTGATCTCCCGCAGTAGTAGTGTCTCACCCCGCCTTAAGTACCTACCCACCTTCCCCCAGATCAGCACGCGTCCATCCACCGTCCACGCACGCCCCGAGGCGCAGTCCACGCCGTCTGGGTATGTAGCTGCATGCACGACGGCATCATAACGCACCATCCCGCCTTGCTGCCAAGCCCGGCGCTCCGCCACACGGCGCGCGGCGGGGGTTGCCTGACAGGGCAGCCGTGGGGTTGGCGGAGTTGGCGGCTGCTTGGCGCGCTGCTCACTCAGCAGGTACGAGGACCTGAAACCTGAAACCTGGAAACTTGCACGCTGGGCAGGAAGATCGTGGTCGCGACGCAGGCAGGCAGGCGGACGGACATAGCCACGACGACGCGCGGAGGGGGCTGTGCTGGGCGCGTGGTGTCGCGTGGATGGATGGGGATGGGTGCGTGGGGGAGTTACTGCACTCGACGCGGAGGGGATGTAGGTACGGCTGCTTGGGGTTGGAGTGGTGATGGATTGGGACGGGATCTGCAGGCACGGGTGCGGGAGGGAGGGAGGGACGGACGGTAGGACGGGAGGGCGGGGGCTGTGGCTGCGGCTTGGGTGGTGCTGGGTTGGGTTGGGTTGGGTTGGCGGCGCGGACGGATGGCGAGGGGATCTTGGTCGTTGTCTTTGCTTTTTTATTTTTTTGTTTTTTTAGTTTTCATTTCCTTTATTTTTTGTTGATGGCGACTGAAAATGTTGGCGGTTAAGTAAATGCGGAGATGGGTAGAGCGGGGCGAGATCGGCTCCCCGCTTCCGCTCCCGCGCGCACTAGCTACAACCTACCTTACTCCCACAACGCCTGACGAACTCTCTTCTGAACTGGCTTGTCAGTTCGAGTACTTGAGCGCAGGACGACGTGTTTGACTATCTCATTCGGTCGACATGGAAAATCTGATTCTGCGCTTCTCTGCTGTCATTTGCAGGCGACGGACCCGGAAAACCCACGTAGACCAAACCTTCAACACGAGCATCTTCCTCTTAAAGCCCTGACGCCTTCAAACTCAAAACGTCCCGTAAAACGGCTTCTCTGGCCCTAGCTAACCATATCCAAGAGCCGCCACCGCCAATCCAGCCCCCCATTCGCCATACCGCAAAGAAATCCTAAGCACTTACTTCGCCGCTGCCGTGGAAAGCTTCCCGTCTGTACCACCAGCGTACACGCTAAGCCATGTGCTACGAGTATGTATGCAGAGCAGGCCGCACAGCGACGGGACGGGATGTAACGCACACTCCCCACGACCCCTCCCTTCTCCCTCTCAACCTCACCCCACAACCAACCCAAAAACAATGCCTCTCCTCCCGCTCCAACCCCCCATCGCCCCCCTCCCCCCCAACCTCACCTTCGCAAACAAGGCCGCGCTCCTCACCTCCCCCACACGAGGCATCACGCACGCCACCGCGCACCTCCTCCTCACGCACCACCTCTCGCACCTCATCCTAACCTCCCGGTCCCTTAGCACCGGCCTCGCCCTCCAGCGCTCCCTCCAACAGGCCCACCCCACCGCGAAACTAACCCTCCTCGCGCCCTTCGACCTCGCGGACCCAGCGCAGTGCGCCGCCGCGCTCAAGCGGCTGGTGCAAGACGAGGGCGTCACGAGTCTGGATATCCTGGTGCTGGGCGCCGCCGACGGGGGCACGGACTACGACATTTTGGAGGCGACGGGGAGGGAGCGCCTGTTGCAGGTGAATGCGCTGACGCCGGCGGTGGTGGTCGCGGCGCTGCTGCCGCTGCTGCGGAAGAGCGCGCACGCGCCGGCGCGGGCCGTGCTGATCGGGAGCCGGGCGGCGGCGCATGCGGGGTTGTTTGGGGGGGCGCTGCCGGAGGGGTGTGCGGAAGAGGGCGCGCGCGAAAGTGAGGACGAAGGCGATGGCGCAGCCAAACGCACGCCCCTCCTCGACTACCTCTCCACCCCCACAGCCATGGCCAACCTCTCGCGCTACCCGACAACCAAAGCCCTGGCCGCACTGCTCATCGCCGAGCTCGCTGAGCGGACCTCTCCCACGGCAGGCCCCCGGATCACCCCCCCGAACACCATCCTCCCACTATCCATATGCCCCGGCATGGTGCAAACGACCCTCACCGACGCGCTGCCCTGGTACCTGCGGGGCGTGCTCTCTATCGCGAAAGCCATTGCGGCACGCACTGTCGAGGAGGGCGCGCAGAGTGTCGTCTTAGGGCTGGTGATGGGCGAGGAGGGGAGGGGAGGGCTGTGGCGGGACGGGATAGTGGGTGGGTATGTGTGTGTGTTTTCTTTTTTGGGGTTTTGGTTTTGTGTTTTGGGGGTTGTTGGGCTAATATGTTGGTGTTTAGGCCGCCGTTCGAGTTTATGGTTTCGGAGCGGGGGAGGGAGGTGAGGAGGGTTTTTTGGAGGGAGGCGATGAGGGAGGCGGGAAGGTACATTGATGTGCCGGGGGAGTTGTTGGCGTGAGTGAGTATTGGAGGGAGGGCCGAGGTGGGGGTGTTTGGCGTCAGTTTTTGCTTGATTGTTTGCGTGGGAGAGGAGCACTTACTTTTGTGTATGGCTTAAGTGGTTATACTAAACGAACTCACTTCTATATAGAGGGACCAGCGTACGTATTACAATAGAGAGCGCTCAGGCTCTCGCATCATTCATAACTAATTGTCTAGGTATCATGTCGACGAGAAGCATGCAGCATAAACCATAAAGAAGCCCATAGGCAAACCATCCGACACCCAAACCCTGCATCCGAACCCACAGCCCACACTAAAACGCGCTGCCCTTGTGCTCAATGTCCTGCACGACCTCCGTAACGATCTTCTCGCCGGGCGCTAGGCCAACCTCGGCCGCAAACGTGCCGTGCGGACGCCATTTGGCCGAGTTGCGCGGTGTCGTCTCCTCCATCATCTTGTCCACCTGCTCGAGCGACAGGCCCTTTGTTTCCGGGACCAGGAAGTACGAGTACACAAAAGCGCAGGTGCAGAGGCCGCCCCAGATGAAGAAGACGGACGAGCGAAGGTAGCCCTCGTCTTCGTTGACCATGTACGGCGTGATGACGGCGATGATCTGGCATGTGTTAGATAGAAACAAAAGACGTTTAGGGGAAGAAAACTCACTGTATTCCAAAGCCAGTTTGAGGCAGTGGACAGGGCGACACCGCGCGAGCGGATGGGCAGCGGGAAGATCTCGCCAATCACGATCCACGCGCCGGGGCCCCAGGTCGAGGCGAAGAAGAAGATGAAGATGGCGATGAAGGCGATCTGGGCGTTCACGGCCGAGATGTTGTTGGCGACATGCTCACCAGCGGCGTCGAGGTGCGTCTTGTTGAATCCGACGGTAACACCAACGATGCCGACGATGAACTGGCAGATAAGCATACCCAAGGCACCCCACACCAGCAGCGGGCGACGGCCAAACCTCTCGACGGTCCAGAACGAGATGGGCGTCGAGCAGACGTTGACCAGGGTGAAGATGATGGAGATCAAGAACTCGTTGCTAATGGCTCCCGTCGACTTGAGGAAGGGCGTCGAGTAGTAGAAAATGAAGTTGACACCGGTCCACTGCTGCATCATCTGCAGAGAGGTGCCCAGGATGGTGCGGCGGAGGTTGGACTTTTGCTCCCAGAGGCTGCCCTTGAAGCAGTTCATCCAGCTGCCCAACCAGCCCGTGGCGGGGGTGATGGACCGCTCGTATTCCTCGTTGGCAACAATCTCAGCCAGCTCAACTTCGATGTACTCGGAGTTGGGGTCTTGTCCACGCAGTTTGGATAGAGAGAGGCGAGCTTGTTCGACGTTGCCGCGCTTGACGAAGTAGCGAGGAGAGTCGGGCAGGAACAGAAGACCGATACCCAAAACCAAGCCAAAGATGAACTGGAGTCCAATCGGAATGCGATATTGACCGGTATCATTGCGGTCTTTGACGCCATAGTTGACACAAGAGGCAATCAGAAGACCCAGGGTAATGCAAAATTGGTATCCCGCAACGAGGGCGCCACGGACTTTCTTGGGACACTGTGGAACCTAGTCAGCATGGTGTAGGGCTGGGGGTGTGAGACAGGCGACTTACAATCTCAGACATGTACAGAATGACAATGGCAGACTCGAAGCCGACGCCGATACCGGCAATGAGACGGCCGGCAACAATGAGACCAAGACCATGGGAAGCGGTCTGGAGGATGACGCCGATGGTGTAGATGATGCAGCCGGTGATGATGGTCCACTTGCGGCCAATGATCTCGGCGGTGTCGCCAGCAATGAGAGCACCGAAGAAAGTACCAGCAGACAGGATGGAAGTGATGAGAGAGTTGTAGGAGCCTCGGAGCTTCTCCTCACCGGGGCCTTCGATGATTTCGATGAAAATCTTAGAAGCAGTGACACCGTTGATGTAGCCAGAGTCGTAACCGAAGAAGATGCCACCGAAGGACGCAAAGGCGCAGATCAGGTAGGCCTTCCAGGTGACTGGAGCCTCGATGCGGGAGACATCGGCCGTGGTTGCGAGGCCGCCTGCCATTGTGGTTGTTGTTGTTGCGCAGGACCAAGGAAACGGAAGGAGGATGAGGTGGTGGGAGGAAAGGCGGGCTTGGAGAGGACGAGGGCAACCACTTTATCCTCTTCCACGCGTCGACGCATCTCAGCTGTGGTGGTGGTGGTGCATGATCACATGGGTAAGATGGAAACTGTGGCTTGGGGGCGCAAGCGAATCAATCAGCACTGGGGCGTTCCCCTTGTCCTAGCTTGGGGCTGTCCCCGTGGGGCGCGACCTGGGGATGGAGTCGCGTCGAGGGCTAGACGAGGCTCTACGGACGACGCCGCACGCTAACGCTCCGTCTCCGGCAATCCCCGCCAAATCAGCCTGAGAGCGCGGACTTGCGGAGAAGATTTTGCTGGGGAAAGTCTGTGTGTTACCTACCCCGTTCCTCCCCAGACCCCCGGTCCCGGCTCCGGCTCGACTCGAGTTGTTTCGCTGCAACCCTTCACCCTCTACGCCGCACTCTCACACCTTCCAGAACTATTCGTTGAAGCTTGGGAAAGCTTGCTGACGGGCGCACCCTTTTCGCCCCGATGCGGCCACCCCGTGCTCCGGTCACCAGCCCTTTGCCTTTGTGCTCTTCGCCGCCATCGCCTCTCTTCCACGGAATCTCCACAGCGTTGCCACTCGCACTTTCCCGTCGCAATTTCAATAGCAAATCCTCCCGCTTCAGCTCGTACGAGCGGGCGCCTGCCAAGACTGACACGACTAGCAATACGGCTTACGTTGCAGCTCACCCTTCCACCAGCTAGCCGCTGCGGTGCCACAAAGCCCGTGCAACCACAACAGCCTAAATCTTCTTCACAACGACCGCTGTCTCGTCGTGCGCAGGAACCGCTGCTGAACCCTGCGTGAAGCATGCCGGTTTCTTTCTCCGGACGCCATCGCATCGCGGCGGCGACATCGCTTTCTTTGTGAGAAGAACCGAGGCTAGCGAGAGCCATTGTCCTCGTCCCCGCCATCAACATTGGCATGAGATAACCACTTTTCTCTTTCAGTCGGTATTCCGTCATGTCGAGGCAGTACTCCTACTTTGATTTGTAAAGAGCCTCCCATCGCCGCGGTCTTGGTGCGCTAACGCCGGAGTGGCCATGACGGCGTGCCTGCCCAGCCGGACCTGGCAGCATCTCGAGTTAGTCGTGCCAGACCAGACGCAGGTCCAACAATCCCTTCCTTCCAGGGGATGGCAGACGCTCACTTGACGTGGAGGTTACAGGCGGCTTCAACTCTTTGGAATTTTGACGGACGTCGTCGACGATGGTGGAGAGATCGACACCGAGCGCGCTCGCCTCCGCAAAATTCGGTTTGCGGGGTCGGTTGCGGAGCCGACAATCCAGCGTGCCAGGGCCCCAACGCTGGTTCCACCTCACGAGCATTGAGCAAATGCGTCGACGATTACACTGACAAGCTCGGTAACCGTCGCACCCAGATCAGATCACGGAGTCCATGATCGGCAGATCACCAGCAACGAAGTCTGCACGCGCGCTGACACGAGCAGTGGGTCGACACGCTTCCGTCTTCTGCAGCGGCGCGACCCGGCACCTTCCAAGCTTCCTCCGCCGCCATCCGCGTCTTGGTCGAACACGTCAATGACGCCGCATGACAGTTCTTTCTACGTGATTATCGCGCGATGGTCACCTCTCGCTCACTGCTGGTACTCGAAATCACTCGGTTCATGCCTGCACGCTGCGATAAAGTTTCGACGATGCTTGGATGATGAGGTCCTCCGAGCAGGAATAAGTGAATACGGATGGCATTCCGCGCATGTGAAGGACAATTCTGCTGTGACAAAGGATCAAGTGGCGGTATCAGTCATCCTAAACGGGCAGTTCATCAGGCATCAATGAAGGACATATCAATGGTGTCATCATAACAGCAATACCAGTCCAACGGCAACCACGCGCGTCGAACCCAATCTCGCGTAGCGGCCAATCTAAACCCGCGCAGAACATACACACGTACCTAACGGCCGGCATCTACATACCGCCCCAAGCGCCTTATCATCCAACCAAACACATCAACGCACAGTGAACCTCCACCACAGCAGCAAACCCACCACAACCAGCACTTCACTCCACGCCCCAACCCGCCCCACCGCCAGCACCGCCAACCACCCGCGCGGCACAGTCATGGCTAGCTACATACCTACGTATGTAGTACATCCCAGTCGATGAGGTGAGATGCCCAGGGCAGACACGCAGCCCGTCCAGAACGCAGGGGGGAAGATTCTTCGGTGCTTCGATTTCGCTTCCAGGGGATTATCGGAGGGGCGGCCACGTGGAGATGGCGCGCCCCGTGGGCTGGGCTGGGCAGGCCGTGTCGTGCCGGGTACCGCGTACGAGGGTGCGTGCGGTACTTTAGGTACTTTGTGCATCGGCTAAGCATGCTGTTTGCCCTGCCTACATACATAAGTAACGGCTTCTGTGCGTGCTACGGTAGATGTGGGTGGGCGGAACGTACGCCGTACCTATGTGCGGGATTGCTTGGTCTTTACCTACGTACTGTACGCTGGCTCCCGGGATGCTTCTACCCGCTCTCTTTCTTCTTCTGCCGCTCAACGGAAAACAGACAAAGACACTAACAAATATACAAACCACAAACACAAACGCTTACAGTATCCGCAGACACTACACGGCACAGCACGGTACGCCGCATCCTGCCAACACGTGGCCCAATCCATCCGTCACACTCGCGCACCTATCCTTCCATCCACCCACTCCTCACTCACCTCACTTCCCTCCCGCGCCCAACACAGCCCAGCCCACCACGCCAGGCCCAAAAAGCGCGCGCATTATTTCGCGCGCAAGCCAGGGTTCTCACCACTCACCCCCCCACTAGCCCAAACAGGCAGGTGACAGGTCCCTCGACCCGGCGTGCCGGCTTTCTGCACCTGCATCCATGCATCCATGCGTGCATCCATAATTCCATGCATGCGAGTATCAGCGTGCAGGGGCGGGGGAGGCGCCTGTTTGGGTTTGGCCTGGGCTGGTGGTGCTGGGTTGGGGAAATCCCGCAAGCAAGAAAGCACGCAAGCATGCAAGCGGTTTTGGCGCGGGTGGGTGGGTTCGCGTGGCTTGCTACACGTGGCAGGGCGTGGCGTGGGTTGCTTACATGCCATTGTGTATGCGAAGGTGCGTGGTGGTGGCGGAGAAGTGGTTTGTTCGGACTTACAGTCTTACCTATGGATGCAGGTATGTCTCTACCTACGTACCTACTACCTACGTACCTACTACCTACGTACCTACCCACCCACCCAACTCACCAACACCACCACAACCACCAAAAACAAACTCGAAACCCCGTCTTGCCCTTCCTCGCCTCCCAACCAACCTCCTTCACGATGCACTCACACGCCCCCGCCCCCTACAACCCGCACAATAACCGTATCAACACCATGCATCTCCCTCCCAAACCTACACGCCGCCCCCCGACACGCGGCCCCAAATGGGCATCGATGCCCCGCAATGCACAGCTCGTCCCGGCACTCCAGGCCGGCCTCGCACGGCGCCAGGCGCGCCACCTGCCGCAGCGCCAGCAGCTGCTTCGCGCTCAGCGGCGCGCCGTGCCCGTGGCTGCAGTGCGTGTAGTGGCAGGCCCCGAGCAGGTGGTACGGGTTGCATAGTTTTTTGGCTTTGAGGGCCGTGAAGAGCGTCGCGGAGTACGGGAGCGGCGCGTCGATGCGTTGGTTGAGGGCGTTGAAGGCGAGGAGCGGGGGGCAGGCCGGGGCGGTGCTGGCTTTGCCGGTGGTGGTGGTGATGGCAGTGGGCACGACGTCGACGTTCCCGCTGCTGTTGTTGTTGAGCGCGGCAGCAGAAGCATAGTTCCCTGGCGCAGCGCCCTTGGCGATAGGCGAGACGGGCGGGGTCAGCGGGGAGGGGACGCGGCGGGGGACGACGATTTTAGTGGAGCGGAAGAGGTCGGGCAGGGCGGTGGAGGCAAAGGCCTGGGCGGCGAGCAGGTCGCGCAGCTCGCTTGCGAACGGCGGGCCCTCGAGCAGGGTGATGCGCGTGTTGGCGGAGGCGTCGGCGCTGTAGGGTCCCAGGAGGCGGGCGTAGCCATTGTCGGCCGAGCCGCCAAACAGTATGTGCTTGCAGTGCACGTCTGCAAGGTGCAACTTGAAGTTTTCTTTGATCTTGTCGTCGGCGCATTCCTTGCCGTTGCCGGCGTCTACCATATCACACATGGGGTGGCCGATGTTGAAGCCGCGCACAAACTGCTCCAGCTCGCTGGCGTCGTGCGTCACGCCCGCGTCGCGGTATACCTTGGCCAGGCCCTGCAGGTTGGCGTAGACGCGCACCACCACGTCCACGTTGGGCGAAATCCGAGGCACGTTGCTCTTCAGGTACGCCGAGACGGAGCTCATGAGCTGCCGCGCGGCCTGGCGTCCACCTTGGTCGCCTTGCTTTATGAGCTCGTCGGTAAACTGTCCGTTTGGGTCAGCGAATTGCTTTGGGTAAGTGATGAGACGTCTTCTCACATTCATACAATCACCGTCGACAAGCACCGACACGAAACCGCGGTCCTGTTACCCGTCAGCATTTACGTCCTCGATACACCACCCCGGATGTCCAAACTGACGATTCCCTGCCTCAACGCCTTCAACTCCTCGTCCACCTTCTGGTACCGGTCGAAATGGAAGCTGCACTCGTCCTTGGTACGGGCCAAGTCCATCTCAGCCTTCTGCAAACCCTGACTGAGCTGTTCATTCCACTCGAGCAGTTCCTGCCCTCTCCGCATTAGCCACGACCACCATCACTCTCCTCACCGCCACCAGGAACCACTCACCTCAATAAACCGATTCCGCTCCTCCTCCTGGCTCCTAAGCCGTTCAAACCGCGCCTGAAACACCGTAGCCTCAAACATATCGTCACATCAAAGCCGGTGGTGGGGAAGAAAGTCAATCACAAAAAAGGCGGCAGCCCGTCGAGACAACAAAAACCGACAAAAAAGAGCGCACCCACCGCAGCTTAAGCGTCTTGCTCAACGCACCCCCAGCGCAGCCTTGCCAGCGCGCCATGACAGCGCAAGACGCAGTTCGTGCGCAAGGCGCAGCGGGGTCGCGCGGCTCTGCGTGCGCATTGGCTCAGCCCCGGGCAATCACATGCCGACACGGCAGGCCGCGCGCGTGCTGCACCGGCTGCCCTGCCGCTGCAGGCCCCGTTTGCCTTGTTGGGGCCCCGTTGCTGCTTGCCTGCTCCGCGCGGCGATGTGTTCGGCGCTGAGGTGCTGCGCGCTGCGTGCGTGCTGCTGCGGGCGGGGCTGCTGCGCTGCCGGACGAGTGAGCACAGGAGATGTGGTGGGTTGGAATGGTCTGATGGATGTGGTCTGGTACTGCTGTCGCTGCTGCTGCTGTTGCTGGCCGCAAGGATGGAGTCGTTGCTGTTCGGCATGGCTACGCTTCTCGAGGCAAGGCGCTCGATATCGGCGTCGTACGAGCCGGCTGCTAGACCGGCGTTTCTGTCACATCGAGTCTGATGCGGTGCGCCGCTTGCTGCTGACCATATGTTGCGCCGGCTATTGATGATGCTGCTGCTGAAGATTCAGCCCTGGTAAGCAGATGCTGGGTCTGCCTTGCGCGGGTTAGCGGACTGTGAGGCTGGCAGGGATGTGTTTGCGCATTTCCTAGGCTGGTCTCCAGCCTTGTAGGCAATATTGCAGATCTACCTTTACGTTTTCAACATGCATTTCTGTTCGTAAGTGTGCTGTTGTTGGACAAGGACTGATGAAACAGCGTAGCTACGAGTTCATCTGTCACTGGCCGAAGAAAAGGCAAGCCAACTCGGGTTTCTCAAGTCTTTCGCACCCACCCACGAAGACGGAGCCCCGTCACCAGTTTCTGGGGTAGGCGCACGACATGTGGCACATTCGCCGTTCCTTGTCGTCGGCCCCAGCCGTCGTGGGCTCGTGAGCACTGGCTCCCCCTAAATCTGTGGCGTGCGCCTATCAGCGGGAAGACGTCGATCTCCGAGATAAAAGCATCAAAGCTAACGGCTTAGCAGGAGCCCTTATCGAAAGACAGCCACATTCGTCAGTAAAACTCCGGTCGGGCGTTCATGACGAGAGCTGGTACAACACGGTCATGGGCGGCTGGGGATGGTGCCTTTCGACGAGCGAGAAGCATAGCTGTGCTGTTGAAAGGGTGCGTTTCGAGATGGATTGGGCTGTTGCGATGCAGTTGAATTAACATTCCGTAGCTCCAGGTTCTGATGTCACTGAATCCCCTCGGCTGCTCAACGCCCCAACCCGGTGCTGATCTACGGGCCGGCGACCCGGAGATTTAGCCGCCCTGGTTTTGCTATGTGGAGCACGTCTTGTTGGCAAAAACTGCTGACCTTCTCAGGGAATCTATTTTCATTTTTTCCATAAGGCTCGGATGGACTTCCTTTTGCATTTTGAGTTTCTTTCGGTTATCTGATTTTACTTGGTCGGATAGGGATACTCTTGCGATCTCGCGCCAGCACTGGCTAAATTAATGGCAACTCTCTCGCAGTTTCATGCCTACGGCGCCATTGCTGCCTGCTTGGCTGGTGGGCCTTGACCCAATTTTGGCTTTTTATCGTCCTGCATCATGCACGCGCAGGGTATTAAGCGACTTGGTACTCGTGACGGCTGATCGCGTGTTCTTAGCCGATTCGCCATAAAACCATTCGTCTTCCCGGTTCTGGACTAATGCAGGATTCTCCTCTTACCCGTTTTCACCTGTCTCGAAGAACGTGAGTTATGCAACATGAAGAAAGCGATTCTCTTGGGTGCTTTGTTGCTGGGGTTTGCCTGGGGTGGTTAGTTCATTGTTTTTCTTTTTTGTCTTGTGACATTTCTTTCTCACGTTACCAGTGCCTGGTTTAACTGTTTGAGCAGATTCATGTGGTACTGGCGCGACAACCACTATTCGGCCCCCGGCGACAGAGACTGGATGCAAGACCTATACTGGAAGCATCGCTGTAGCGACAGATGTACAAACGGATCCGGAATGGCTTCGCTTCGTCGAAGAAGTCTCCGGATCCATAATCGTCCACAATCACCGCAACATGGTGACACTATGGCTATCCCATCTCCATAAAGCGAGCACCATATCCGTCAAGGACCAGTCATCGCTCAGCTTCGCAGCTTTGGACCACCTTGAAGAGCTGGATAACCTAGAATGGTCTCATTTCCGCTAGCCAAGCGGCATGCATTGGCGGATCAACATCACCAGCATCTCTAACCTCGTAATCGCGGACACGACAATCCCTGCCATACACGACGTATCCAACTCAAGAGCATTCAGCCGTCTGGAAACAGCCGAAACCATCCGGCTGGAGCTCAATCTGGCCATGAAAGAAGTCAATCTACCAGTGCTCAAGTCCGTCAGCAAAGCGTTGATCATCGGCGACAATGGCGAAGGATCTCACATCTATTTCCCGCGCTTAGAGTGGGCGAGAAGCGTCACCGTTCGCGACAATGGCCGCCATCATCCTTACAGCCATGGCACGCTGGAGCTGCCGCGCATCACCGATATCAAAGGCCCCCTCCGTATAAGCAACAACCCCAGCCTCGAAAGAGTGCTCCTACCCATGCTAGAGAACATCGAAGACGATCTGAGAATCGAGAACAACCCGTCCCTGCAAGCCATTTCGTTCGAAAACCTGGTAAACGTCGACGGCGACATCCTCCTACGCGGAGATTTCGAAACGTGAGCATTCAGAATTCAAAAAACAAATATTTTTGCGCAGGTTCTAACGCCCCCACAGCATCGCCTTCCCCGCCCTCCTCTACGTCGGCGGCTCCCTCACAGCGTCCAGCACGCACGCCAACTTCTCGTGCGCCCAGCTCGACGACCTGCGCCTCTACGTCAACGGCGACGTCCTCTGCCAGCACGTCCCTCCCGCGTACACGCACACGCCAACACCGCACCCCACACCCGCTCGCCGCCCCCACGCCCCGCCCAACTACAACCCGCTGCAGCACCCGCGCCAGAAAACCTCGTACTCGCCCCTCATGGACCGGCCCGTCCCGACCTCCATCCTACTACTCTGCGCTGTCCTGGTCGCGGTCGCGGCGCGCTGCCTCCTGCTAAGGGTGGCGAGGCCGCTGCTCAAGGAAAGACTGGTCCTGCTGGTGCGGTTGGCGGGGTTTGTCTATGCGTTGGGCTGGGTCGCGTATGCCCTGTTTGCGTTTTCGGGGTTGGTGTTTGCTTAGGTTGGTGGCGAGGAGGCTTTCGTTCACTTGGACGGCTTTGTTGTGATGATGCGTGTGGGAGTGGCTCGGCTGTTGGGGAAGGTTGGGGTTGGTACTTGTTTGGAGAGTGGGTGTAGTGTTCGTGGTTGTAAAGTGTTGGCCTCATGCAGCTTTACATTTGAAAACTGAAAATAGTAAATGTTGAAATGCTAAAGTTAGTCGTTGGTATTTCTAAGGATAGTGAAATTTAGGCAGGACTCTGCTTGTCGTTTCTCACATTGCTCATGTTATATATGCAGCTAATGTTTTTAAAGGCCTGATTTAATACTGATCAGCCTAAAGCAAACCGCTAAAGAAGCGTATAATACGTTCTTGAGTATAGTTACGGCGATATAGGGGATGTGGATGAAACCGAGATTGCATATGTTTGCTAGAAAGTTGTTGGGCGTGATGGTGCATTTGCTTAGTGTCGCCTGTATAAGACAAGGATAAGGTAATATTATAGTGTTTGGATCCTGCTAATTTTTCATGTACAGCGCGACTAGTAAGAAAGACAAGTCATCTAACTGCTAGTAGTTGTTGGTGATATAGTGATAAAGCGTTGTCTAATCAATATCCAGTGGTTGCGTGGCACAATCTTTGTCCTTGCTATTTGTCGTTGCGCTTTCTTGTATTTTTGACGTGGTTAGCATAGTTGTAGACATAAAATTTGTTTCTGATACTATATCCATATTATTTAGGAACCTCGCATGATCTATAGGCTTTGTCACTTCTGTCGGCTGTCAACGTTATGACTGTACAAACATTAGTGTACAACAAATTTAGCATCTAAGTAAAAGTAGCATGATCAAGCTGAATCTAGATTGTTTGATTTTATTATCCTATCAAAGTGTGTGGTGCCTCCTTATAGATCTGTAACGGAAAGCAAGCCAACAAACGGTATTTCATTTAGCAAGTAGCTTTCATTAAAGTCTAAAATAATATAGTTTCATATAAATACCTACATCCCCATCGCAGTTAGTTGAGCCTAGGACTTAACCAGTTGAATCCAGTTGAATCCAAAAGCCTTAACAGGAAAACAAAACACCATGCCTTGCTTCCATTACGAGAACTGCGGACTTCATCCTATCATTGGCAAGCTTTAGCACTACTCCAAACTTAATCTCTGCAACAGCTGCTACGAAGCAGGAGTCTGCCCAAACGAAACACTCACTGCCGTATCAACGGGCCAGGACCCATGCCGATGCTGGGATGAAGAGCAAGCCACTGCAGCCCATGATCCAGTCCAGGATGCCGAAATAGCCACGTCCAGGAGACTCAGAAACGACTACTCACAGTACAAACCAATCGACAAGACTCGCCGGGAGATTCGTCTTCTGTACGTACTGCCAGGCGATTATGAAGACCCGCTGCGCTGCGTAGACTTTAAAGTGTCTGAGCCGTGGAATCGCTTCAAGTACACAGCCCTTTCATACACTTGGGGTGACATGAACGACGCAAAGCCGCTTCGCCTAGCACATACAGTGTGGAATTCTGGAAGTACAAGACCTCTTCTGACGGAGGCTAAATTCAAGTCTTTCCGCGCCTTGACCGATATTGGTTCAACACGAATCAAAGAGCCTTTTCTGACGCAGGATGAGTTCAAGCCTTTACGCATCACAGCAAATTTGGATTCAACATTGAGAGGTCTACGGAACACTCTGTCCGGATCCATGTGTGACGATATTCTCGTGGACAAGCTCCTATGGGTTGATGCGCTGTGCATCAACCAAGGAGACAATGCTGAGCGCGGTCACCAAGTAGCGATGATGCAAGATATCTACTCGGCTGCAGGCCAGGTTTCAGTTTGGCTGAGCGATAATGAAGCGTATCAGAAAGTATCTCTTTAAATTGACAGCCTTATTGATGCTGTCGTCGAAGCTTTCGGTGAAGACATAGACCGTAATGAGTTCAATCAACAGGAATTTATGCGACTACTCAACGAGGAATTTGAATGTGATGGCAGGCGTTTCAAAGCGAGTGATGAGCTCATAATTAAGATCATGAGTGGTTTCTTCGCTCATTCCTGGTTTAATCGAGTTTGGGTGCTCCAAGAAATGTTCAGCGCAAACTGTGAGCCCCACATCCATTTCGGCCCTGAAAGTCGAACAACCTTCCATCGGTTGATCTTGGCTGAGAAAATCTTTATCACTGCCGCAATTGACAGACTTGGGACGTCTAACCCATACAAGAAGAATCACATACCATTTCTCTGGGGCGACATTGACAAGATCATTTCACATGTGAAGGGCCCTATGGACCTGCAGCAGCTTTTCAAAAAGGCAATCGGCTCATTTAAAGCAACTGACCCAAGAGACAAGGTTTTTGCGCTCCTGGGGCTAGCAAAAAATGCTAATTGGTTAGAGGGGCTACCACAAGAATTACGACCCGACTACGAGAAACCCACCAGCCATGTTTACAGAGACTTTACACATTGGTGTATTCGATTCTCAGGTAGTCTCGACGTCCTCAGCATCGTAAAAAATACCTCGCCTGATGTTTGCGCGGGTATTGGCTGCGAGGTTGAGCATGCAGGCCCAAACCATCCCTCGTGGGCTTTGTGGCATGTCAATTGCGACCGCAAGCCGAAAGAGGACCTGCCGAATTCAAGCAACTTCAACATCGCGTGTAATCACCAACTGGATCTCACTTTGCTACAAGAATCGTCTGAAGATATTTCTCTTCGTGGCATCCGTCTCGCATGTATCTGCTCCATAATTCCCCTGCCTTTCTCTGTAGTTCGGTTTGATGACTTGTCCCCTGCTTTCGGTTTTAACATGCATAAAAAAGCCGCACCTGCTCTCTACGATCTTTGGAACATTATCAAGTCTCCCCACTCGGTAATCTTTGCCGATTCCAGTATCTCTAACTGCCAATGGGTCGGAGGGTCCGTCTCAGTCTCTTCTCCTGATGATCTCTTCAATGCCCTCTTAGAAACTCTTACTCTGGAAAAACCGCTCGCACCTCTCTATCCAGTTATAGAGCTAGACGCCAGTCCTAAGCCTGAATGGCTTGATGTGCTCATACCGACTGATTTCTCTGAATTGTTCCGTCACGCGGACCGGACTCAGAATTCGCCAGCTTTGTCTAGGGTCTGGCACGATGAAAAAAATCGGAAGGGCCTTAGCCTCTGAATGGGTTAGGTGTACGGGTGATCCTTCACTTACCACTCTTCCACCAGAAGCGCGCGCTTACATGCTTTCCGTAACCACTTCGGACGCTACACCCAGGAACATGTTGGCGACCATTGTCTATCAATTTAGACATGCTATTGGCCGTTGGCTTTTCGCAACAGAGGACGGCAGACTAGGCCTCTGTCCACCCAGCGCGCGCCAAGGCGACGTGGTCGTTGTGCTAGGGGGCGGCCGCGTACCGTTCGTGCTGAGACCCATGGATAACACTACAATCAACGTTGACGGGCAGGACGAAGGGAGTCGAGATGTGCCAAATGAGCGTAAAGGTAGCGTGACACGCTGGAGATTCATGGGAGAGTGCTTCATTAACCGCTCCATGGGGCCTGAGGTTGTCGAGGAGCGACTGAAGGCAGGCGTGCCCGAAGAGGTGTTTACGCTTCACTGATGGTTTTGCGAGCTTGAGTCGGATTGGAGAGTGAGTTTCATTATGGGGTGGAGTGGTGCATTTTTGTAGCGGTGGTGAGGGATATTGGCAGAGGAAGTTAAGGTGGATGCTTCCGTGTTTGCAGGTTTGGGCATTTGTTGTTCGCGGTTCTCTTAGCTTTCTCTTTTCAATGAATTCTGTTTTGTCTCAGCCATTGCCATTTAGTTAAGAGGAACGTGGTGATTGAAGCAGCGTAGCAGGTTGGACAGAAATCTAGGAAATGCATCGTTATGCAGAAAAGTTTGAAGATAATCGTTTCTCAGTATTCAGGAAAGCTACCCGGAGATTATCTTGCGCGACAATTATTTCAGTCTTGGTTGGTATAAACATGATCTTTTTTCTACTATCTAAAACAGTACCCCAAGTTTATAGAGTATCCTTAAATACTCTCGTCATTTCACGTTAGCATACATAATTAACTATTACATCTTTTAAGTTGAAGCCAGAACTTGCAATACACAATATGCAAGATTACCAGAACCCAATTCAAAAGACCATCCAAGCATGTACCAATCTTGCGATTGGGAGTCAATCTGAACATACAAACAAACACTACAACAACACCCTGAAAACTCTCTCCCACAACCCAATCACTTCACACAAATCCCGCCACAATCCGCCCCACCAAACCTCGGATCACAGCCATCCCTCAGATCATCCACGCACCTCAACCCCTTCGGACACGGCACCCCCGCAAACCCGCCGCAGAAAATATACCGCTTGAACATGCAAATGCCACCACAATCGGCCTCGGGCCCGCAAGACGCGCCCGGGATTCTCACGCACTCCTGCCCAGCTAGTGGGCACCCTGGCAAGTTTAGGCTTCCGCACTCGGCTTTGATGGGGCTGGGACGGGGTCTCACCGGGAAAGGATCAAATGGTGCGGGATCGGGCACGAATGTCTGGATCGGTAGCGGCCCGATGGGCTGGATGGGCAGCGTCTGCACGGGATCGATGACGGGGAGCGTAAGCACCGGGAGCGTCGCAAGTGTTGCGGGCTGGAGCGTCTTCACGGGGAGCGTCGCGGCTGGAATAAGCGGAAGTATGGAGACGGTTTCAAACGGGAGCGTCTGGATTGGGAGCGTCCGAGTTGACAACGTCTGAATTGGAAGCGTCTGGATTGGGAGCGTCTGAATAGGCAGTGTCTGAAGCGGGAGCGTCTTAGTAGGGAAGGGCCGCGGGTCGACGTGGAGGGTGCAGTCGCTTAGTGTCGGGAACGGGCCGCCGCATTTCTTGTAGCAGGCTATGGCGTTGTTGTTTGCGCAGATGCAGCCCTGCGCGAGTGTTTTAGTGCCGAGGCTCGCCTTTGCGGCTTGCGCTGCGCTGCACTGAGGCGACGTACATCGGGGAATGACTGAATGCAGAACCTAGGCTCGCAGATGCAGCGGGCTGGGATTTGAGGATCTGGGAAATACGAGGCGGCTGGGGATGCGGGAATGGCTGGGATGGCGGGTATCGGAGGAACTAATGGGATGGCTGGGATGGCGGGTATTGGAGGAACTAATGGGATGGCTGGGAAGGCAAGGGTGAGTGGTAGGAGGGTGAAGAGAGCGAGAGACTGCATCTTGGAATGTGGCCCGTAGGTACTGGGAACGTTTGGGTGATGGAACGAAAGAGCGGCGGTGCAGAGGGATATTCAGGAGATACGAACGCCGAGAGATTTAAATATTTTTTAGAAGTGTTGAAAGGTAAGCCTTACTAAATTATGCGCTTCCCTTTTTAGGAAAACATGCTAGCTCACCTATCAAAGTGAGGCATTGCTACTGACCATTACGACAGAAACTTTGCGCCCAAGCGTCAAGGAGTGAGGCGTCGCATGAATATTGCTGTCAACAGGAATGTACCAAGAAGACAAAGGCCAATGACTATCTCCGAAGGGATACGTATGATGTCCTCAGGCATGCTGGTAATCACATTTGTGGAGCACAAAACGCGGGGTAACCGTCTCAGCCTTACGGAGCGATCAGCGGACCTGTCATGCAGGAAGCCAAGACATATTGGTGATAAGCGAACTCTTTGTAGAAAGGGCGGGACGGATACTCCTTGAAGCGTACACAGACCGAGCGGACAAGATTGAGCAAGATTTGAACAAAGAAATAACTTTTATGGTATCAAAATAGAACAACCTACGCACCCTTGGCGCCAAAAGACTTGCCACCCGCCGCCTCATCGAGCGCCATGCTCTCATCCAGACCACAGACCTGGAAGCAGAACTTTGGCGTAAAGAACTCGGGCGCATTGACCAAGCCCGACTTCTTCAACTTCTCCAGCCCCTCCTTGATCGCCGTGTACGCCGGCGCGAGCGTCGCAAACGGGAAGATGATGATACGGTAGCCCATCGAGCGCGCCTCGTCCACCGAGATCGTCGGCGTCGCCCCGTGCTCCACCATGTTCAGCAGCATCGGCCAGGGCGCCAGGTCCTTGACCACCTGCGCCGCCATGTCCTTCGACGTCACGCCCTCGAGGAATCCGCAGTCGGCGCCGGCGTCACGCGCCGCCTTGAGGCGCTCAACCGCCGCTTCGTAGCCCTGGCCCTGCAGCGAGTCCGTCCGCGCGATGATGAGGATGTCGCTGCCGACCCGGCGGCGCGCCTCCCGCGCAGCCCGGATCCGCGCCGCGTACACTTCCACATCCACGCACTCCTTGCCCGCCAGGTGCCCGCACCGCTTCGTCTGCACCTGGTCCTCGATGTGCATGCCCGCTACGCCGCCGCGCGCGTACTGCTCCACTGTCCGCGCCACCATGATCGGCCCGCCGTAGCCAGTGTCCGCATCGGCGATGAGGGGAATCGAGGGGTCGAGGGACGCGATCATCGACGAGTGTGCAACCATGTCGGCCTGCGTGGCGATGCCGAGGTCTGCGTGGCCGAGGCGGGAGGCGGTGGTGCCGGCACCGGTCTGGAATGTCAATGGATGCACATCAGGAGGATCAATTGATTGCTTACCATGTACAGGCAGTCGAAGCCGACCTGCTGGGCGATGCGGGCGGAGAAGCCATCGTGAACGCCAGGAGCAATGATGAGGTCCTTGCCCTGCTCGAGGGTCTGGCGGAGCTTGGTGGCGGCGTTGGTGAAGGTGGACATGATGGATGGATGTGTGCGGGTAGGAGTAGAGATACCAATTGGATGCTAGCAAAATAGAAGAAGACAAGACAAGGGGATATATAAACAATTACATAGCTGGTCTGGACCGGATAGTTTTCTGCGGTTCGGCAGATGGTCTCTCCCGCAGCTCTGACGCCTGCCCCACGTCAGCCGACATCGGAATGACTCGCGCGCTTTATTCCCGAAGCTACCTTGTTTCCACGTGGCAGGGGCCGTAAGGCTGACCGTCTCCCCTCGCCACTGGTGCTGTTGTGGTCGCGATCGTCTCCGAGAGCGGAACAACGCATCTACTACGTAGTTTTGCGGATGAGATGCGTTGTTGTTAACTCCGGCCGTGGAACTGCATGTCAGGCCGGTCCAGCACCCACTTGACCGCGCGGTTCCGGAACCCTCCCCACACTTTGAACCGCCACTTCTCAACCTCTGTCACCACTCCCGTGTACACGCCGCATGGGTGCGATGCCGCCAGCCGCCACATATCCTCCATCCGGAGACACCGCGACTCCGCCATGGCGTAAAGCTCCTCGAATGCGAGTGTTGAATGCAAACGGATCCAGCCTGGGAACGACAGCGAGGGAGCAAAGTCTGGTGACACGGCTATCACAAATGGTGCAAAGTCTGTGTTCATGCAGTTGAGCGCCAGACTGTGCGTGCTGGGGAGCATGTTCGTGCCGCTGTGTCCTGGGGTCGTGTGCGTCTCTGCCCAGACGTCGTTTACTGCCTCGGAACTCTTCATCGGAAACCAGGCGTTGACCGAGTGAGGATCAACAATAAGGAACAGATCCGTCCGCATCCCGGGTTGGAGCTGCCCGCTCTCACGGAAGGCTTTGAAATGACTGACCAGTTAGTATTTTGCGGAAGAAAAATGGATGAGACTCACGTTTTGTAGCTCTCGACATCTCCACCCGCCATCTCAATCCATTGCAATTTCACTCTTTCCCTTATTCCCTCCGCACCCGGGGTCTTTTCTCCCCACTTTACCAATTCTCCTTCTACTATTTTCTTCAAATTTGCCCACTCCACGCCTTCGTACCTCCCCTGCCGATACACCACAAATCCAAACTCACCGTTGTTCTCCAACCTCTGCTTCACCTTCATCATCCATGGCTCCACTTCTGCGTTTGTCTGATCTGGCTGTTTGTTCTCCGGCTTGACTTTACTCTTACGCAGCGCCTTTTGCGCCTCTTTTTGGTCATGCAGGATCATTTTCACCTCGAGTTGTCCGGGAAACGGACCAAACCCCATGGCATGGCGCGTTCGCGTTATCCCTTGGACAAACTGCTCCACAAAAACATCATCGACCATACGGCGCTTCATCTGTTTCTCGTTGTATTGGGCCACCAAAGAAGCCTCAGAGTTGGCGCTCGTCGCAGTCGCTCCGTTAGACTTGAAGCCCCACCGGCTGATTTTAACATGCAGGTCAATGTCACGCTCCAGATCGATAAAGCGTGCGAGCCGGACTAGAATTGTCGAGTTGGTTGCATCTGGCTGTGGATCCTGCGCTTTCATGTCGTCAAATGCCTCATTTTGCTGCAGGCGCATGCCTTCTATACGTGCCAAGATCCAGGTGCTGGCCCGGGAGGCGGTGCTGCGAAACAAGGCGGCGATGAACTCTTGCCAGAGATTCGCCGCTTGAACATTGGCCGAGTCCGCACGCAGATCGTTGACGGCAATAGAAAATACCGCCAGTTCGTCGAGAATAGCATTGTACGTCGCACGCAGAGCGGCTTGGACGTGCGCGTCGTTCAAGTACTCGAACACGGCAATCGTCTTGGCCAGCATCTCTGACGCCTCGTAAACGTAGTTTGGGTAGTCGAGTTTGCGCCTCGCCCACGTGTCAGCCGATATGGGCGCGATCCCGGCCCAGATCTGATTGCGTCAATCGTGGGGAAGCTGGGGCTGAGGACAAGACCGCTGACCTTTAGTTTCAACGCTCTCAAAGCTCGGTGCAGTAGGATTTTGGGCGACAGGTCGAAGATACGTGCCACGTTTGAGGCAGGCGACCCCTCTCTCGATGCAAGCCCCTGTGGCGCCCAAGTACTGTAGTCACTTCGCCAATACTCGCTCACTTCTTTTGCGTCGAGTGTGGCCAACTGCGTCGTCTGCCCATCGGGCATCACGCCGCTTACTGCCGCATCGAGAAAGTCATCGACAACGTGCGACTCGAGCACTGTGTCAGGCACGTAATCCGAGTCTTTTGCCAGTTCGTCATACTGCTGCGCGGGGTGCAGAGCAAAGTAGACGGGCAGCTTTCCATAGCCGAGAGCGGCATCGTAGACGGTCGGAGTTTGGTGCCGAGTGCTTTGTTGAAGCTGGCGAAGCGCCGGGGCCATGATGATGTGCGCCGGGATAACGGATCCCGGTTCGCGCCGCGCGAGATTGCAGGAAGCGCCGCTGGAACGGTGAGGGTGTGATGCAGAGTGCTATGGAAGAATTCCAAAAGATGCAGACATCGAGACAGGAGAGTCGGCCTGCTTTTGTTCCCGGCAGGATGCAAGCCAGTGGCAGTGGCGTCGCGGTTAGTGTGCGGTGCTGCCTAGAACGGCAAGGCAGCGAGGCCGTGCGCCAGGCAGCGAGACCCTATGGTGTCGCGACGGCAGCCATGGTGGTGTTGTAGGTACCTGTATTGTAGCAGCACGCGCGGCGAGTTGTATTGTAGGCACCTACTCGCGTGCTTTAGCCTAAACCTTGATCCCAACGTCTGACGCGAACACGTTTGGGATTGTCGGAGCTCCATCTTGACATGGTCTTCGTCTCAACTCGGACCCTGTTTCGCGCTGTTTCGAAGCGCTTGGCTGATCAGAACACCACCGCTTTAGAGCCTCCTGATGCCGCCCCGTTTATATAGATGAATCAGGTTTGGGGAGGCCACTTCCAGATTGGGGCGGTCCGCCGGGTCTTCGGGCCTGCGCAAGCGGCACCGTGCTAAGCGGAGCGGAAAGCAGATGCCCGCTGGCCATTCGTGCGGAGTCGTCAGTTGAGATCCACACTGTGTGTTTCGGACGGAAGAGAGGCCCTCGCTCCATAAGAAATGACATTTATTAACGGGAAATGCTATATATACGGCCATGAAACGTGGACTACTACTGTAGACATAGGTCAATCCACACAGGTTCAACATGCTTACCTCCGCGTTCCTCTTGAGCGTTGCTTCGCTGTCGCTGGCAGCTCCCACCGCCAAGGCGGGGCCCAAGTACCTGTTCTCCTTGTATGTTGCAGCGGTACCGAGCGACGCATGGCATATGCTGACTTGTGTAGCGGAGACTCTTACTCCCAGACCGGCTTTGAGATCACCGGCACGAAGCCCTCTGCGGCGAACCCTCTGGGTAACCCGGACTTCCCCGGCTGGACAACCAGCGGCGGTACCAATTGGATCGGCCACCTCGTGCGCGACTACAATGCGACTTCGCTGTATTCATTCAACCTTGCGTCCGGAGGCGCCACGGTCGACGCGACGCTCGTGAAGCCGTATGCGGATACCGTGCTGAGCCTTGTGGACCAGGTCGGTCAGTTCAGCGCGAACCTCGCGTCGAAGCCGGACTATGCGCCGTGGACGAGCGAGGATGCGTTGTTCGCGGTCTGGCTGGGCGTTAACGACGTTGGAAACAGCTGGTATGGCGACGACGAGACGACACTGCTGGGAAAAATCATGGACCAGTACTTCAACCAGACCAGGACTCTCTACGCCGCGGGTGCGCGCAACTTTGTCTTCCTGGGAACGCCTCGTAAGTTTCTCGTCTTAGTATATGGCATCCCGCTGACGTCGTCGCAGCCGTCAACCGCTCGCCGTCGATGCTGGAGCAGAGCGAGGACAACCAAAACGGCGAGGCCAAGGTCATCACCCAGTTCAACGACCTGCTCAAGAGCCGGGCCGACACGTTTGTCGAGAACCACGACGACGCGACCGTGGTGGTGGTCGACACGCAGGCGCCGTTCAACAAGGTCCTGGACAGCCCTGCCGACTATGGCGCCAACAACGCGACGTGCTATAACGAGGACGGCAAGACGTGCCTCTGGTACAACGACTTACACCCGGGCTTGGAGATCCATAACCAGGTGGCGCAGGCGGTCGCGGCGGCGTATACCGAGGGAGGGTTTTTCCAGACGGCGTCGTCGTAGATGTAGCGTAGGATTATTGTTGAAATGTCAAGTTTGCGAGCGAAAAAGTTGTGCGTCGAGTCAGCGTGTCAGAGAGGGATGGAAAACGGCTCGGAGCGGGGCCGATCGCGCGTGGTGACGAGAGGTGGACAGTTTGTGTCGTGCGGTGGCAGAAGGACAAAGCAGCAAGCAAAAGAGCGCGGAGTCCGATGCACGGCTCCCCCGCGCGTTGATATGCTTGCTCTGCCTCATCGCCGCGCACTCTGCAGGTACCAAAGAGAGAGAGGGTCAGCGTCAGCCCCGAGCCCCCACGACAAGCTTGAGGGGTTCGACCACCCGCCCTCGCAACTCACTTTCCCTCTCTCACCCGTCCGCCCGCCCACATCCCTCCCCCTTCTCATCATCGTCGGCCGAGCCAGCTCTCGCCATGGACGACTTCTCTCACCCTCCCCAGCACGCGACCGTGGGTGGCACCCGTCAGCGAATCATCACCTCGTGCCTCACGTGCCGTCGTCGCAAGGTCAAATGCGACCACAAGTATCCCGTCTGCTCGGCCTGTTCCCGCGGCAACCATACCTGTTATTACGCAAATCTGCCCAACCATCCGCTCGCGCGCGCGCCCTCTGCCGCGCATCGCGTCACCAAGCATAGCGCAGCCCAGGCCCGCGGCCCTTCCGGTCATGCCGAGATCAACGCCCGTCTCGAGCGGCTGGAATCGCTGCTGGAAAGGGCGGTCCAGCATCCCGCGCCCGCAGCCACCGCACAGCCAGCCGCTAGGGCCGACGGCAAGGAACGAGCCGCCAGCTCAGCTTCTCCCAAAAGCAATGCCTCTGACCTCCAAGCTGCTGACGGCTTCGACGGAACGTTGCTAGTCGAGAACGGCCAATCCCACTTTGTGTCCTCCCTGCACTGGGCGCTTCTGACGGACGAGGTGAGTCGACTGATGACGAGACTCTTCGCCCACTGACCTCTCTAGCTGCAAGACATCAAAGCCATTTTGGGCCATGAACGGGCGTCGGAAGACGTCGCGTATGGCCGAGTGCCCACCTCCTCGTCTCTGTTGTTCAGCAGCGGCCAGGCCGTCGGGGATCCGCTGACGTTTATGCCCGACAATCAACATGCGTGCTACGATCTGTTTGGCATCTTTATTCAGAACGTCGATCCCGTCACTCGTCTGGTGCACGTACCATCGCTTACCCGGCGCTTCCATGCGTTTATACGAAGATGGGAAAGCTTAGCATCTCCCGTCGGATCGAGGTAGTGTCGTCAGCCAATGGGACGAACCTTGCTAACGACCCCAGTCCCCACGACTCCTACGACGAAGAGCAAATGCAGTCTTTTGAGCCACTGGCATTTGGCATATTTTACTCGGCCATCAACAGCTTGCGACCCGAAGTCGTCACATCCCGGTTTCGAAAAGAAAAGCAAGCCTTGATGAGGCAGTATCAGCGGGGCATCGAACTTGCCCTTGAACAAGCGGACTTTCTAACTACGTCGAGCGTTGAAGTCATTCAAGCTTTTGTTCTGCTATTGGTAAGACTTTCCCCCTCTTTGGAAACTTAGCTGACGTTCAAGACCTGCCAAGCGCGGGAGGATGATATGAGCCAGGTCTGGCCCCTCACTGGCGTGGCCATCAGGATAGCCATGTTGCAAGGCTTGCACAGAGAACCCACGTTGTTTCCTGCCTCCTCCATGGATGAGGTTCAAGTAGAAATCCGGCGCCGTATCTGGCATCAGATCTGCCATCTGGACTGGCGTGCTTCCGAGGGCAAGGGCATGGAACCGGCCATTTCCGACGATGATTTCACTACACTGCTTCCCAGAAATATCAACGATTCAGACCTGGTTGAAGGTCGCCTTTCATCCTCAGAAGTCGTGGAGGAAGAAGGTTTTACAGACATGACTCTCCAGCTCTGCCGTCTCGGTATGATTAAGTGTTTTCGGAAAATTGCCCAAAGCACATATCGTCTGGATCGCCGGATGAAAGCCAGTAAGTTACGTGACGGCGAACAGATTGATACCATTACCGAGCTCCAAAATCTCTTCTCTGAGACGAGTCAAACGATAAACGACGCACATGCCAAGAGCGCACAGTGCTACCTGAGGCATTGCCGCCTTGATATCCCGATACAGAGACTCACAATTGGCCTTACCGCGAACCTCGAATGGCGATGTTGGCTCATCTTCTGGTGTGGCGTGCCGAAAGATCTGAGGCAAGTGGTGATCGCGGAGGATGTCAGAGCGATGTGAGTGTGGACATGTGGATCTTATATTGTCTGAGCTGATGTATTATAGGATCTTTACTCGCTCGATCTCGCTGATCGAATCTCTCAACTCCATCTCTTCCGACAAAGAAGCGGAGCATTTCCAGTGGCACATTGGCGGCCATGCAGCATTTCAAGCCATTATGCATGTGCTTTCCGAACTTCGTGACACCAATTTTGTGGCAGCGAACGATATGCACCTCCGCTCTCGTGCCTTGCGAGCTCTTCACACAGTTTACCGCGTCAAAGGCCGTGCAGAATCCAACACTTGGACCGTCATCCGCCGTATGATAGAACGATTGGATCCTACGCACGAATGCGCAAAGCCGCATGGTAAAAGCGGTTTTAGTGAGAAGCGGTTTGGAGAGCACGATCTGAGCGCCGAGTTTTTCGCAAAAAGCCCCAGTCCGCCGCTCTATGCACAAATGCCTGGACAATATCCTTCGCCATCAATGTCACAACAGGTCCCTGAACCAATGCAGCAGCATCAGCAACAGCCGCAGCAGATGCCAGTAAATGTCTCGACGGATCCGCAGCCTGACCCGCTAGCATATGCCGATGCTTTTTTGGAGACGACTGGAACGGGGCCTCTGCAGGAAACTTATGCAGGAACGATGCAAGGAGGATATGCTACAAACATGGGAGCCGGGTTGCCAGGGCTCGGGCGGACGAATGCGGGAGAAGATGCAGGATTCGCTCTGCAGGACATGGCCATGGACATGGACTGGGTAAGTCGTCAGACGGTACGAAATGCCGCATCTACTTACTTCGATTATTTGTTCCCAGGGTTTTTGGAACTATGATCCTTTGCGATTTGACTCTGGATTTGGGCAGTATGCCGCGCCGGGTCTATGAAATTATACCGTGGACTGCTTTCGATGTATCGCTTCAGATCTTCGCTCCAGGGCTTTGCTCTAGACCTCGCTTTGCGACCTCCGAGAAAGACACGGGAGCGGATCTACCATGTCCGAGCGCGCTGAGCTAACCCAAAGCCGGCTAGACATAACTGTCCTCGTACGCCTGGCTACTCCGAGCAATTTCTATACGCATGCTTTCCTTAAAAAACAGGGTGCTCCGATGGTTGTTGGATATGAGCTTGGGTTTTTTTCCCCGGCAGCACAACAATCCTCAGCGAGGACAAAGACACCTCGACTTCAGACCAACCGTTACGGGGACAAGTAAATGGTACTTCAGATCGGTACTCACGGCCGCTTCGCTGTGACATTCCCCGGAAAGGCCAGAGCAAGGAGCGGGGCGGCCGTACGTGGACCCGCGGCGGACGAGAATGTCGAGGCATAAAAAGTGGTTCCAATTAGGATGTTCTCCGGATCATTTGCCGACGAGGAACCGTACTTCGTGGATCCGGCCGGAATCCCTAGCCGCGAAGTCTTAAAGGAATCGAACGAGCTCGACTGGGTGTTGCAGTGTACTATCAAAGGGACCTGCATACACGAAACGCCAAGCTCTTAAGCGCTTCGGCTTGGGTCAGTAACGGCGAAGGGTCCGGGCTTGAGATGAACAAAAAGCAATGTTATCGTGGTTTATTTGAAGTTAAGGTGAGAGGCTCTCGTTCTGACAAGAAAAGTTGTGGTTGACACTTCTATAGTGACATTACGGAAGGGCTTGTGGCCGGTGTGAATTCAAACAAGCTTATAACACGGTACTTAAAAGAGATTATGCTAAAAGAAAGCCCGTTCTACCTTAATGGCCTACGAAAATACTTCACTGCGCCGAGTTAAGAGTCTAGTGACGTCACCTCGTATTCGCTCGTACTCGTACTTGTATTCGTACTCTCGTTTGTACATCCGCATATTCATTACACGTGGAGCTAATAGTAGAAAGCCAATTTAGGACAGTATCTGCACGCCATAATTAGGCTAATCGTATGGCGGGCTCGACCTAAGTTTCATCCGATGTCAATCTCTGGGTTAGCCGTCGTCAGCCCAATGGTCGCATCCATATAAAGCCACTTGTTGTCCAGCAATTCGAAGACCAGTACCGACATCCTCAAATGTGCGGTTCAGATACTCGTTCTCAGCACTTTTTAGCATTGTCTCAAAGATGCTCTTTGCCGCCGCCGTTGTTTTGCTTGGGACGACTGCTCTTGCCATCCCGGCTCGCCAGTCTGCGTTTCCGGACCAAGAAAACTTCTTTGCGCGTACCACTGCGAGTACGGCCACCGTACCAACACCTCCAGACCCGGAGCCAATCGTAGTCACAGAGCTACCCCTGCCACCAGTTGCGCCAAATTACGATGAAGGATCCTGCACTGCCCAGATCAACTCACGAGGGACCGGTTGTATCTCCAAATCTCTTGCTGTGGATTCGAAAATGCAATCTGGAGGCTTTCTTCCAGATGGAAAGCATGTTGCCGCCTTTGTGTCCTTTGCGGGCGCGCCTGCCGGCCCAGACCCAGCGAGCATTTACACTGGCAAGCAGGTGATTATCGTCAAGGCCGACAACACCACCTTTTCCAATGGCGACGCCTGGAAATGCATAACTTGTGGGGCTCCGGAGGACAACGCAGTTGGCCTCTCGGAGACGTGGGACTATCCTCAGGCTTTCACTGACGGCAAACGTCTACTGGCCGGCGCAAATATCATTGACTGCGGAGCCGAATTGGCCAGTGATGACTGCACGCCGGAGAAAACCCACATCTATCCCATCCGTTGGAACACTAACCCGGACGGTTCTGGCAAAGGTGGAAGCATCCGCGAGCTGCGCTTGCACCCGGACAACGTTCACATCGTCTTCTCTTCGGAGGTAGAGGAAAACGGGATGTACAGTGAATACGGCTACTTTGCCAAATTGGAACTCAACGAATCACCAAAGTCCGGCATCCCTCTTGCTCCACGGTATGATCTGGCTAGTGTGACAGTACTGTACGACCCGAAAGCAAAGCAACCAGTTAGCGTCGATGGCGACCAACTTTTTGTCAACCCTGATGCCGTTATGGTTGGCGAGCTGCGCGGCTTCACTGGAACAGGAAACGAAATCACCTACGTCGGCTACCCAGCCGAGTCTTCGAACATCGACATTTTTGCAGCAGATTTGACAACAGGCAAGGTGCGTCGGCTGACCAGCCACCCGGAATACGCCGACCCCATTGATGTCTCGCCAGTCGACGACTGGATGGTCGTGATGGATACCCGCGGCAGCAACCGCCAGATGTTCATGGCTGGCATGCGTGGCATTCCCCCAATCACTGACCTGATCACCACATCCGCAACCTCCTCCACACGCAATAACGGCCAGCGTCGCTTCTTCCAGCCTTACCTCCTCGACCGCTACGGTGACCGCGGCGAGTACTTCGGCCAACGCATCAACGCGGGCGGTGACGACAAGCCCGGAGGCATCAGCGACCGTGAATGGAATGGCATGGCTGATCCGCGATGGTCGCCCGATGGGACTCATATCGTCTACTGGCAAGCATTGACCGTTTCGCCTGCTTGTGGCGGAGATAACCCGCTCCCTTGTGAAGACTCTACAGAGCCCGGCGGCAGGACTGCGCGTCTGATGATGGCCCACCTTACGAGCCGCAAGCCACAGCCAAACAAAACGTTCATGCCAATATCTGACACTGTCCCTTGGGGTACACCGTACGAGCCCGGCGTTACGCTCCCTCCGCGACCAAGCCCTAGCCCAGGCAACTACACTTTGAAGGGAAAGTCGCACGGGTCTGCCCAGATTGTCCTCACTGGGAACAGCGACAAGGACACCCTTAGCTCCGTTTCAGTCACTTACAACAACTTTTCGGACGATGGCATCAACGTCTTGCAAGGTTGGGAGAATGTCACTGTTAAAATCCCGAAGCCGACCCTAAACCATCTTGATTGGTACAGTGATCTCGTGCGGACTGGCGAGACGAACAGCATCAAAAAGACTAGCCCTGATGGATTCCATTTGGATATTGATGTTCTGACGAATATGTTTGATGCGAATGGGACGCTCAGTACTACTATCGATGGTCATACTTATGAGCAACCAGCTAATGGGGCATGAACTGCAAGATAGCTATGTTTCCTTGACAATTCTTAGGTTGCCTATCACTGCTATGTTTTCATTATCGAGTCTTTTGAGCAGGAAGCTTCTAATGCTAGCATTTTTCGGCTTCTATCAAGCCATCACAACCATGCACATCTGATCTAATTGCAAGCCGTGTTAGAGAGAGTTAATAGACATAGCCAGACCAATTTTGTATAGCCTCGGCCGTATTCGCATCAGCAACGGCATTAGCGACGTTCCCTTTAGAGCTTTAGACACACGCACAACTTTCTCGAGGCAGAAGGGAACGCAACAACTAGCGCTCCCAGGGACCTAAATCCGGCGCCAAACGAACCGGCACAGCCAGCTTATCTACCCCCCCAACTTGCACCAGGCCCCAGGCCTTGGTTGTTACGTTACAACCGGAAAACATACTAGTCTTTCCTCCGACCTAGCGGGAAAATTTTTCGGCGTTCCTTGCCAAGAAAAACCCCTCCCCGAGAAACTACCCGGAACTATAACTTCGAGACTAAAGAGGCACCCAGCTAATCTCGAGATAGAAACCCGCCCCCCTAATATCCGGGAGGAACCCTCTACGCCCCCCTCAACCCGCCTAAGAATTATCCTATCCTCCCTAATCCTAACGGACGACGATATAGATATAGAATAAGAAACGAACCTAACCTAACCCTAGTTTATAGAGGAAAATACGCTACTAGAAACAACCCCTACCCTAGGGATCTCCCGCTAAAATAGGAAATCCCTAGTAGTTATCCCCACCCCTATCCACGGTAAGCGCTAACGGGAGAATATTTTCGCCTTCTAGCTACGCTAGATAAAAACCCTAAAAGGACTCGCTACCCTAGTAGCTTTCCCGTCCCGAAAACGTCTACTAAATAGCTCTAAGCCTCCCTAGACTACCTTCTAAAGGTAGCTAACGCGGAACAAGATACCGACAAGATAGAGAGCCTTCTCAATCTCCTCTCTATCTTTAGGAATTATATAAAGATAGGAAAAATAGACTACTTAAAGTCTATCCTTACTACGCAAGTAAAAGCCCTAGAAAATACCTCCCGGATACTCTAGACAAACGTACGGAAACTAGAAACGCCTCTCCCTATAATTACCCCGGCCTTACCTAGCTAAAATCTCTCCTAAAACCCCTAAAGCTACGCCTCCGCAGCTATAAGAAACCTCTCGCCCGACTAAACCGGATTTACTCTTATTTCTAATAAGAAAAAGCCTAGAACTACCCCTTCGCCCGCTCCTAAGCCTATACTTAAGGAGTACTAAATCTCCTTCCCTAACCTAGGACTAGATAAATCCTTTAGCCTACTTAATACTAGAATACGGCTTAATAAAGCCTTCGAAACAGCGGGATACTAGGGAAAAATATAAGAGTTAGCCGACGGGCAATTACTAGGTTACTAGGAAACGTAGGTTAGACGCAGTTAGTTCGCACTAGGGTCACACTTAAATTAGTATATAAACTATTTCCTGCCCTAGCGCCTATTGCTCCTAGGGCAGCTATTTATCCTTATGCGTAGCCTCCTTCGGTAAAGGGCTTAGCACCTACGTAACCCGCAACAATATCGCATTACTTAAGGACCAGTCCCTCGTTTCTAAGTTCCTTATAAAAAACCGTTATCTTAGGTATTAGACTCTCCTAAAATAATAATATTATTATAACGGGAAACTAAGGATTCCCCGTATCTTTTCTACTAGATAAGATCGATATAATCTAGAAAATCTTCCCGTAATATTAGGCTAAAATAAACGAAACCTAGTATAAAGCGGCGATCTATAGCGTTCCTACCTAGGAACTAAACGACCTCGATATCTTAGACTTTATAAAGACTAAGATCTCTACCTTCTTAAACGGACTCTAAACCGTAGGTAAACTATACTAGCTAACCTCTAAATAAAAGAGAGATAGCTAGATAGTAGGATCGGTTACGGTAGCCTTTCGTATAGAAAAAGACCGGAAACTAGCTATCTCCTAATGCCTATATATAGTAGGTATTAGCTATAGAGTCGAAAATCTTCTCTTAACTCCGAGAGACTAACTCTATAGAAACTATAATAAAAAGGGATATAAGACTTCTAGGTATACTTAGGCCTTCTAGTTACCCGCCCGCTCCCGCCCGGGCCCTTCGGGCGGGCGGGCGGGTAGGGCGGTATAGGCGGGCGGGCGGGCGGCTAGCGGGCGCCTAGGCGGGCGGGTAGACGGCGGGCGGGCGCCTAGGCGGGCGGGCGGGCGGGCAGGCGGGCGGGTCGACTTAAGGTTTAACGTTAATTAGTTAATAGGCGACCTACCTTCCGTATTAGGTAAGGTGCCTCCTAAGCCCGATCTTCCCTAGAACCGATTTTTAGTAATAACTTTTTAATCCGACGCCGGAATCTAATAACTATAGATTCTAAATTTATCTACGCGTCGAGACGAGAAATAATATCTATTTTTTAGAGCTTAGAAATTATATCCTAGAACGTTATTCGCTAAAAACGCGAAGATAATAGAGTTTTTAATACCTCTAAGTCTATTACTAGTTAACTATAGGGACTATATAAGTTAACTAAAGTATAAAAACGATCTACTAGGTTATAAAAATCTATACTAAAAATCCTATACCTTAGGCGTAAGATCCTAAGACGTTAAATAGCTAAAATAACTTAATAAAATTAATTCTTAGAGGGTTTTCTTAATACTATAAGTAAACGAGTACTATTTAAAGTATTCTATAAACTAGAAATTATCTATTATAAGCTTTTATAAGAAATATTAAATTCCTAGAGCTTAGGTTCTACTAACTGTCATTCCCTGATATAAAAATATTAATTAGAATAAAGAAAACCTTTAAAAATATTACGGAAAAATATATATTATTATATAGAAAGCCCTTATTTTAGCTAGTACTTTTAGTCCTTATTAGCCTCTATACTATTATTACTTAAACAGCTACGCTAATTAGTAATAATATACTTAGCCTAGCTAAAAACTCTTTTATATTCCGCCGATATAGCCGGAATACTAAAAAGATCTAGGGCTATTTATTATAATATAGGCTATTTCCCGCCTTCCCTTATCTACTATAACGAGGCTGTAACGAGGCCTCTTCAGCCTAGGCGTTGGAATTGCCTAGCGGGTGAATAGGTTCGAAGGGTTTACCTTGAAGGACAAGAAGTATAGGAGTTGAGAGACAAGTCACGTGAAGGATCGGGTGTAGGCGTGTTACCATCAACCTAAGGGTGTAGATTGATACTTTAAGTTGACCACGAAGGTCCTATCTACTGCTAGAGAGCGTGGTCTAAATACATGTAGGAAATGCTAATAATCTGGATCCTGTCTTGGGATTATGATATTGGATCAGGTAGATGGATCAGTCCTGATCTATTAGCCTGTGCGTAGGATCGTCCCTAGTCATGTGATCCTCGTGCCACTTTTCTGACGGCTGGCTTTCTATAACTCGACAACCTTCTTCCTTGTCGCAGAGCGGACGCGATAAGTTCCTTATCCTTAATCGCTCTATAGGTTTACTTGTCGGCTTACTGCTTTCGTCCTTGTGGATATTAATCCCCTGCGGGCTTTCTGGAAACGTCGCCTTTTGGTCGACTAAGTCCCTGCGGGGTGTATTCCCGTGCGGGCTTCTTAGGGTTGTAGTCCTAGTTCCCTTACGGTCTTGCCTAGCACGTGTCTGCTGGTGCCTTGCGGGACGCGGGCCCTTGTGGTTACTAAGCCCTTGTGGTCTCTAGGCCCGTATGGGCCTTCTTCCTATAAGGTCTTTCCGACCTCGCGGGTTGATTTCCCTTGCGGTCTATAATACTATCCCCCTCCTTAAGGATCTTCGGCCCGAAGATTTTCCTTTGGGACTATATCTTGGGTTCTGTGCTACTTCCTCTTTTTCTTTCTGTAAGTTCTTTCGCTATGTCTGCCAAACGGAAGCGTACCGATTAACGAGCTGAGCGTGAGTCTCTGGCGTCCAAGATTGATTCTTTTGGGGATACCATGCCTGTTCCCTGTACCGAGTGTATGCTGTGGAATGCCCGCCGTAGGGCTTCTGATCGCGAGGTGGTCTGCAAGATGGATTCGGGTTATGGTCGCTGCGGCGAATGTGTCCGTCGCGGCCTGACTGGCTGCGATGGTGGTGGCTTAGAAGATTCTGACTGTTCGTCACCTCCTTACTTCTGGGTTCCTTGCTAACTTGGTTTTCCAGTTGCTCGGCTGAAGCGGGCTATCGACCAGACCGAGTCCGAGGAGCAGATGGTGCTGGATTTGCTTTAGAAGAATATGGGTCGTCTTTAGCGTGTGCGTAAGCAACGAGATTTGTTACGCCGCCGGGGTAGCTTGATGATTTCCAAGAAGGCGAAGACTGTTGAGGACTTAGAGGAGATTGAGCGTCTCGAGGCTGTCCGTGGGGCTGGGGACGCTGTTGACCCTGAGGACGAGGGCGATGATCGGCATGCAAAGCGCTTGCGTGGCGAGTCCTCAGCTGATACCGCTGCGGGTCCTGCGGATGTGGGTTCCCCTGGGGCCGGTTCTGCTGCGCCTCCTGAGACGTCTGAGCCGGTGGATTTCGCGCGGATGCCTGCCTTCTGGGAGGTTGATCCGTTTCCTGGCGAATTTGACGTGTCGGCTTTGGACGATCTGGGTTTCGGCGGTGGAATTCTTTGATGAGTTCTTGACATCCTTCGCAGTTCTCGGGTGGTTCCTAGGTATTATCCCAATTTCCTTCCTATTTTAGGAGGTAGCGGAATTGACCGTTGACATGACCACTGTCTAGGACTTTCTGTACCGTCCATTCCTGGTTTTCGTCGGCGTCAGGGTTTTCCGGTATCATTTCTTCCGTCTGTTGTACTGTGGGAGCGTTTTCTGGTGCTGGTTCTAGCAGTGAGACGTGGAAGACTGGAAAGATTTTCATTGTATCCGGCAAGTTGAGACGATAATTGACTTTTCCAATTTGTTTGTCAATTTCGAATGGTCCGATTTTCTTGAAATCTAATTTGTTGTTCGGCCGTTTCGTCCGGATGTTTTTTCTGAGGAGGTATACTTTATCCCCCTCCTTAAAGGTCGGTGCCTCCTGGTGCCGCCTATTGTAGTATTTTGACATTAGAAATCCGTTGTATTCTATGTCGAGGCTTAACTGTCTGTGTAGTTCTTTCAGCTGGTCTGCTTTCAGGATTCCTTTCTGGGCAAGAGACTGGCTTGGTTGCGGCTCGTTATAAGCCGTTGGTTTATATCCGTAGTTGGCGTAGAACGGTGACTCCTGGGTGGTTGTTGCTTTGGCACTGTTGTACGCGAACTGGGCGAGGGGTAAGAGTTCCACCTAGTTGTCTTATGCGTAGTTGACGTAACAGCGCAGGTGTTACTCTAGTGTCTGGTTTGTTCGTTCTGTTTGTCCGTCTATTTGCGGGTGCGCCGTGGTGGACATCTTGTGTTTAGCACCAAGCTGACGGGTAAGAGTCTGCTAGAACCGGGAGGTAAATAACTTATCCCTGTCTGATACTAGCTCTTCTGGTAGCCCGTGGTTGCCGAGGATTGTCCTAAGGAACGTGTAGGCAAGTTCTTCCGCGTTTGCCGTTTTGAGGTAAGGCAGATAGTACGCGTACTTTGTGAGCCTATTAACGATGACGAGTATCGAATCGTATTTTACCCTAGTGAGTGGCTCCTTCGAGGGTGGTAGATCCGTGATGAAATCTAACGAGATCGACTGCTATGGTCGCTTAGGCGCCTTGAGTGGCTGTAGTAGTCCGTGGGGAGCGTGTCTCGCGGCTTTGCTTCGGATGCAAAGATCGCACTGCGAGATTACTCGCTGGATTGTTTTCCTGAGGCCTGGGAAGTAGAAGTGCCGGGTGATTCGTTCGATTGTCTTGTCGGTTCCTTGGTGACTATGTGCCGGTGGCTTATGGATATCTTTGACTAGACCTTCTCTGAGCGTTGTGGGGACGTAGACTAATCCTAAAAACAGGATTGTTCCGTCGGAGTCTTTTGTTACTCTTGGGTCGTCTTTTATTTCCATGAGTTCTTGTGCTATCGTATCATGGCGGTATTCCTGCCGAATCTTTTCGAGCTAGGAACTATTTTCGAGTCTGATTGCCGGTGCTAGCTGTCTGCTTGGGACGTATCTATCCGGTTCTATGCCGAACCAGTATTGCTTTGTGCGATACACCGGGGCGACTGCCCTTGCAGGTTCTAAGGAGCCATCCTCGTTTTGCTGCAGTACCGCTGGCTGGATACCAGGCTTCCCTGCGAGGTGATCGGCTCTTCTGCTTAGCGTATTAGCTCTGGCGTTCTCAGATCCCTTTCTGTAGGTGATCTTTATGTTATAAGACGCCAATTCTTCAGCCTACCTGACCTGCCTCCGGGTCAATTCCTTGGTGGTGGTGAAGTGAGTTAGGTTCTTGTAATCGCAGTAGACTATAACCTAGTATTTTGCCCCTTCAAGGTAGTGTCTCTATTCTTTGAAAGCCGTAACAATGGCTAGGAGTTCCTTGTTATGGACGTCGTAGTTTAGCTCCGGCGGGGTCATCTTTCGTGAGTAGTACGCAATGGGGTGAAGTTTCCCTTGTTCGTCTGGTTGACTGATATAAGCCCCGATGGCGTAGTCTGAAGCGTCTATTTCGACCATAATGGGTAGTTCTGGGTTGTAAATTCCTAGGACGGGAGCTTCGTAGAACATCCGTTTTAGTGATTCGAAGGCGTTTTGTTGCGCTTCTCCCTAATTGAATCCGTGCTCTTTTCTTACGAGTCTCGTGAGGGGTTCCGAGACTTCGGTATATTTCTAGATAAATTTCCGGTAAAAGTTAGCAAATCTAAGGAAGGATTGCACTTCTTTAACGGTTCTGGGTATTGGCCAGTCTCGTATGGTATCTAGCTTCTTTTCGTCTATCTCTACGTGTCCTGGTGAGATGATAAAGCCTAGAAATTCCGTCCTTTGGACGTGCCATTCGCACTTTTCTGGTGCTACTTGCAGGTCTTTGCCTTGCAGTGCCTGGAATACTTTCCTGACGTGTTCTTTGTACTCCTCCAGGGTCTCTGAATAGATGAGTATGTTATCTAGGTAAGCTATACAGAAAACGTCTAAGTAGTCGCGCAACGTATCGTTGACCAGACTCTGAAACGTTCCTGGGGCGTTTGTGAGACTAAAGGGCATAACCGTGTACTCGTAATATCCTAGGCGGGTTCTGAACGCGGTTTTCCATTCTTCACCTTCCTTTATGCGTACTAGATAGTACCCTTCTCGAAGGTCGAGTTTGGTGAAGTATTTCGCCGTCCGCAGCTTGTCTTGGAGCTCGGTAATTAATGGCAACGGATACCGGTTTTTTATGGTAATATCGTTTAATTGACGATAGTCCACACAGAGGCGTAATTTACTATTTTTCTTTGGAACGAAAAGGATCGGGTATCCGGCTGGCGAGCTTGATGGCCTAATATAGCCTCGTTCGAGATTCTTATCTAGGTAGTCCCTAAGCGCCTCGTTTTCCTTTTCGGAGAGCGCATAGATGGGCTTGAACGCTGGCTGCGTGCCTGGTAATAATGGTATCTCGTGATCCTATGGTTTGTGTTCCGGTAACTGGCCTTTGCCTCTTTCCTGGAAGATTGCTCGGTAATCCTAGTATTCTTCTGGTACCGTTTCCAGTTCGGGAATGGGCGGTTCCTTCTCTCGCTTTAGAGGTGTACTAAGCTGGTATATTCCTTTCGCAGGTATAGGTTTTCCCCCTGGTGGGTGACCTTCCTTGATCCTGTTTGGATCATCCCCGACGGCCGGTTTTGGACCGTCGGATTTTGGCCTATTGGCCTGCATGTGTGCCAGAATTCGGTTTTCCGTTTCTTGACTGGGCTTTAAATATATCATGTAGATCTGTTCTCCCCTGCGCCTTATTCGCTTAAGCGCTGCGGCGGAGATTTCTTTGATTTCGATTGGTTCGGGGTTTCCGTGTTCTTGTTCCGAAGGGTCTTTTTGGGTAGCGCGCGTACTGTTCGGTCCGTTTTGGGTGCTCGGTCCTCTAGAGTTCTAGTACTTATAGCTCGGGCTCCTTTGGTTCTGGCAACTCTAGCTCTAACTCTCGGGCTCTGGCTTTTCCTTCCTTTGACTCTCTGGGTGCTGGCGTTCTCGGCTCTCTGTTTTCCGCTAAGCTTGTATAAGATGTTTGTTACAACCCTCGTCTGGGAACGTGATTTCCCCTGTTCTCTATCGAATGTAGGGTTCGTGCGTCCTTAGCCATGGTATTCCTAGTATAACGTCGTAGGAAGCGATGGTTGTGACGTCTAGATTGATTTTCTCCTTGTGTTGTCTAATGGTAAGAGTCGACTGGTTGGTTTCGATTCGTACCCACCCTTTTCCGTAAGTAGAGGGTGTTCTATCGACCGTATTAAGCGCGTAAGGTTCATCCTTCGCTTGGTGTGACAAGTGATTTTTGATGACAAACGTGGGGCTTACGAAGTTGCCACTGGCTCCGCTGTCAATTATGATTTTAGCGCTTACTTTGTTGATTTTGGCCGTAATCATAAGGTGTTTCTAAAGATCTATCCCGGTAGGTATGGTTCCGTTTACTATTCTAATCGCCTGGTTCAGGGACTTAGACTTCGGCCCCTGCAAGGGTCCCGTTGGTTACTGTGTAGGGCCGTCTAGTTTTTTGACTGTCCCTTCTCGGACCCTTAACGGCTCGATTGGGGCGTATCGTCGTAGAAATCGCCCGTATCGCTGTCGACTATTAGGGAGTCTTCTGGTAGTTCCTTCACGAATCCATGGATTTCTTCTCTAGTAGGTGTTCCCCATTTATTCGTTCTGCGCGTTCTTTTAGCGTTTTATTTCTTTGGCTTGTGTGGAAACCATCCTGTTACCAATTTCTCACTTTAGTGGATTCGATAGTTATCGTTATAGCATGCAGTCCAACTGAGCGTTCCGTGCTTAGGCTCTTTCCGGGCTGCTACTGACGTAGTTCGATTAGTGGCAGCGGCTTCTTTCTCCTTATTCTTGTTTCGCGGATTCTGCGGGTAGTTGTGTCCGGGTTCCTATTTGTCACCACAGTGGATATAGAGGTTTTTATTAAATCGTTCCTTCTGTTGGTCGGTCCACTTGTTGTTAGCTTTTCGGTTGCCTTTTCCTTTCTTGCTCTTGTCCTTGTTGTCCCGGGATAAGCTGTCCAATTCCATGGCGTCACCTCCTTCTTGGGTGTGCCTCGGTCTTAGGGATCGGGATGTATTGGCTTGTTTATCCCAGCCACGTTGTAAGCGGCGTCGATCCAACATAGTGGCAAGTTGGATTATTTCAGCAAGATTTTCGGACTCCTCATAGTAGGTCATTACTTCCTGAATTTCGTCCTTTAGTCCTTGGGCATAGAACGTTCTGAGCGTGTAGTCGGTGTGGTGTCCAGCCACGTATGCTGCGTTCTGGAAGTCCGTAGTGTATTCCAATACCGACTTCTTCTGCTTCAGGGTTTGAAGCGTTCTTATAGCTTTGCGGGTTTTATCGATGTCCGCGAAAGCCTCCTTGAGGTATTTAACGAAAGTTCGATAGTCATTAAAGACCTCCTAAGTTCGATCGGTCCATTCCCATTGCTGTTTCTCCTAGCGTTCCCGTTTCATTGGGCGGAACCATTTTTCGGCTGCGCCGCGTAGGTAAGTGCTAGCGTACAGGACCTTTTCCTCGTCATCGGTGAACTGTCCGCGCGAGAAGTAGAGGTAATCGTCCAACTGGGTCAGGAAGTTCTGGGTCTTGTGTCGGTCTCCATAATAGAGATCGGGCTTTGGAACCTTGGCGTGGGACGTAGCCGGCGTAGTTACGGGTGGCGCAGCAACGGGTGTAGGCGTAGGTTAAGCCGGTTGGGCCTCTTGTGGTAGAGCTACCGGGTTTGTAGCTTCCTGCGCTGGGGGTCCCGTCTGCGGGGCTTGCCCCTAATTAATGCGGGCTCGGAGGCGCGCGTTCTCCTGCATCTAATTGTTCAGTTGCGACTGGAGGTCGGCCATCTGCCCCTGCATGCCTTGTATCATGGCGAAGATATCGTCTAGGGTTGTAGGGTTTCTCTGCTGCTGCTATTGCTGCTCCTGGGGAATGCTACTGCCGTCGTTCATTTCGACTGTCGACATCTTATCCTGTCTAGGTTAGATAGGACGGGGTAATACTTCACTAATTAATCTTGACTCGGGATTGAATCCTCCTTCCTTCTTGCAAGGATGGTGGTTAAAGTGTAACGAGGCCTCTTCAGCCTAGGCGTTGGAATTGCCTAGCGGGTGAATAGGTTCGAAGGGTTTACCTTGAAGGACAAGAAGTGTAGGAGTTAAGAGACAAGTCACGTGAAGGATCGGGTGTAGGCGTGTTACCATTAACCTAAGGGTGTAGATTAATACTTTAAGTTAACCACGAAGGTCCTATCTACTGCTAGAGAGCGTGGTCTAAATACATATAGGAAATGCTAACAATCTAGATCCTATCTTAGGATCATAATATTAGATTAGGCAGATAGATTAGTCCTAATCCATTGGCCTGTGCGTAGGATCGTCCCTAGTCATGTGATCCTCGTGCCACTTTTCTAACGGCTAGCTTTCTACAACTCGACAACCTTCTTCCTTGTCGTAGAGCGGACGCGATAAGTTCCTTATCCTTAATCGCTCTGTAGGTTTACTTATCGGCTTGCTGCTTTCGTCCTTGTGGATATTAATCCCCTGCGGGCTTTCTAGAAACGTCGCCTTTTAGTCGACTAAGTCCCTGCGGGGTATATTCCCGTGCGGGCTTCTTGGGGTTGTGGTCCTAGTTCCCTCACGGTCTTGCCTAGCACGTGTCTGCTAGTACCTTGCGGGACGCGGGCCCTTGTGGTTACTAAGCCCTTGTGGTCTCCAGGCCCGTGTAGGCCTTCTTCCCATAAGGTCTTTCCGACCTCGCGGGTTGATTTCCCTTACGGTCCATAACAGAGGCCTCTTTAGCCTAGGCGTTAGAATTACCTAGCGGGTGAATAGGTTTAAAAGGTTTACCTTAAAGGATAAGAAGTATAGGAAGTTAAGAGATAAGTTACGTAAGGTATCGGGTATAGGCGTGTTACTATTAACCTAGGAGTATAGATTAATACTTTAAGTTAACTACGAAGGTCCTATCTACTATTAGAGAGCGTAGTCTAAGTATATATAGGAAATACTAATAATCTAGATTCTATCTTAGGATTATAGTATTAGATTAGGTAGATAGATTAGTCCTAATCTATTAGCCTGTGCATAGGATCGTTTTAGTTATATAATCCTTATACTACTCTTCTAACGGCTAACTTTCTATAACTCGATAACCTTCTTCCTTATCGTAGAGCGGACGCGATAAGTTCTTTACCCTTAGTCGCTCTATAGTTTACTATTAGCTTACTACTTTCGTCCTTGTAGACGATAATCCCCTGCGGGCTTTCTAGAGTTATCGCCTTTTAGTCGACTAAGTCCCTTTAAAACCGCCC